TTTTTTTTAGAAGAAGCTGATTCTGGTTTTTAACTCCAATATTTATGATACCTGCTTGAGAAATTGCACTTAAAATTGTAAATGTAATCCTCTTCTCGGTTGGTACGGTGCTTTTTGTAGGTGTGCCTTTTAATGAACGGCCATGATTTCTTTGAGTATGTAAATTGAAACCTGCTTCATCAATGAAAACACAATCCTTGGAAAAATCCATGTCTGCTACACTCTTATATTGCTCAATAATTGCTTTTCGCAATGCTATTACTCTGTCGGAATTTCTAGCTGCTGGTATCTTTTCAAGCTTTTTTAAAGTAATATTATGTTTATGTACCAAATGTCTGTGAATGGTAGAAGTAGAGATTTTCAAACCCTCAAATTTCTCACAAAGTTTTAACTTTAACTCATCTAATATAGCAGTAGTATTCTTTTTGATATAGTCAACTAGAAATTTAGAATGCTCCTCAGTTAACTTAGTATCTTCCACGAGGTTTAGAATAAGATCCTAGAAGTCGTCTCTCAGAATCATTATTATAAGTTTAAACATAATTCTGGACAGTGCGTACATTAATCCCAGTAACTAAAGCTGCAGCTTTTGTCGTGAATCCTTCTTCGATTACTAAGTCGAAGAGTTTCTCAGCTTGTTTAGGAATATAATTTCTGTAAGAACCTCTCGTTTTAACATTCAAAGCCGTATGTCTTTTTTTCAACGACATTGACTCTGCGAAAAGGAAAGCATCTCCAAAGAAATCTTCATCCTCTTCCTCTGGTAAATCTACGTATGCTCTACTTGTGAAGATCGAACTCTCAGACATATTTTTAACGCCTTATCAGAAAAGGCTTCTCCTTACTTCTGTGGCGATAGTTTAACAGTCAAACAGTGCAAGTCTTTAGCAAAGCATATCTTTCAACAAAAGATAAACATCAAGTCTACCTGGTCATCCACTGTTGATCGAAATGAGCGACATGAAACCGTTGTCAATGGCTTTCTTACTTTCTGGTCAGCGTACGATGCTTCCAGTGATGCTGATATACCAATTGAAGCTAATCTGTATGCCAAGCCTCAATGCCACATGAAATGGTTACACTTTATACAGCAAGAAATGCAGAAAAAGAAGTTCATTCAAGTAATGAAACTTGAAGACAAAACATCAAGCAGTTATGTCCACCGAAAGTTACAAGAGCTTCCTTTTGTCAAGAAGCTGAACACAAGCAAGCACAGATCATTAAAAGAAAACATTTTGGCCGCTATCAATTCCAACAAGGCCTTGGAAATAACAAGCAAGCATAGAAATATTGATAGAAAAGATATTGATGCTGTTCAAGCCTTTATCAAAACAGTACAAGCAAAAATTCAAGACAAGACCTTCATGCATCTCAAATACACTGACCCTCGAGGATCAAGATATTTTTCTTTACTTCCCCTGTCCAAGATTGAATCCAAGAGTATCCAGATTAATACTCAATCTTTTTGGAGACTTGCCAAGCAATGTGACAACAAGATCAAACCAGTTCAAAAGGATGATAATGACTTTACTTTATGGTACTTTAATGTCTTTGATTTTTCAAAAATAGGCTACAAGATATTTGAAAGCTTGACTTCACGTTCAAAGAAGTTTGCGTACGTATGCTTACATGGCTTTTATTTTTGAACTAAACAAATGTCGTCATTGTAGAAATGTGATCACTACTGATGGTTATGCTGTATCCTTTATGTTTAAAAAAACTGTCGCTATCCAAGATGAACCTAGAAGTGAACCAAAGACATCCAAGGATTTTGCTGATATCGTTGACGACGCAGAAATTTGGGCTGTTGATCTTGGTATATCAGCTACCTTTACTGCAGTAGGCTCTACAGAGCATGAACGTATCCGAACAACAATAACAAGAAATATGGCACATGAAGTACAATTGGCGCTAAAAACCAAACCCCAAACAAAAGCAAACATGTACCTCTACCTCCTGCTGAGCTCCCTTCCTCCTCTCAATGGAAGCGGATCATTGCATTTGGAAATGGTTCTTTTGGTTCAAGTATAAAAGGAAAACGAGCTGCACCTACTAGACGCATTACTGAAGTAATCAGACGAAAATGCAAACAATCTAATGAGGGACCTGATTTGTTTATGTTGGCGAGTATTTAACGAGTCAGATCTGTAACAAGTGTAAAATGAAAGAAATGAATGATTTCTCTGTTTCTGGATCAAAGCAAAGAGTACACTCTGTCTTCAAGTGTAAATCTTGTGGCACGGTTTGGAATCGCGATGTGAACAGTGCATTAAATATGTATAATATCTTTGTTTACAAATCAAAACACGACAATGGGAGTCCTCCCCCTTCAAAAATCCTTCAAAAGACTAACGGTGCTCCTGGATTTAATGCGCTGCCTATAACGGCAGTGCATTCCTTAACGCCTCGGTAAGTATAAAGCGAATAATAAATTATTTTTTATTCATTAGTCTACTAGTTAGAATCTGTCGACTTAACAGAAGAAACGGAGCCTGACGCACATAAAAGGGTGTCTCTAGTAAAAATGGAGCGCACGTAGCATTACTCTACAGCATACGACAACAGCAGGCCCGAGATCTTTCGACCAAGATAAACTCATTTATTTAACTTTACTATCATTTTATTTTCGCTGCTAACACTATTTTGTCTTGTGCATAGACGATATATGCTATCATAAAGACCTATGTCCTCTAAAACAAAGGGTACAGCCCATGCTTAATTTGTATTCCAGCAGACTGTCTGAAATCAGCTACGCACTTTTTGTACAACAACAAAGTTCAATGCGTAAAATAAAAATAGAACAATATTTTTTTTGTCCTTCTTTTCATTTTCATACAAGCCATGGATAAAACTTCAGAAGCATCGACTGTAAAAAGACTATGGAATTTATTGGTATAAATAATAGACTATAAAAGTCAGGACTTGGTCTCATACTATGTTTAGGCAAAAAGAGTTACAGAGTCAAAATATACTATCGCTTACTGCACTTTACTCACCTTATCAACTATTACATGTATCATTCTTGAAGCGATCATTGTCAATGCAGATTTAGAAATATACAGCGATCTACAACGTGTGGACCCAAATATTACCACTTATCCTTCTACATCCATTCACCTTGCCAGCACAGACACTGATACTGTGGCGTTGGGCTTAAGAAGGCTTAAAAATGAAAATGTTTTTTTTATTTTGGTTTCGTTGTTTCAGCTTGTTTTGGGCTTGGATGCTGTAATAAGATCATATCATAGCTCTTTCTTTGCTTATACTTATTACTCTCTCTTTTGATTAGGTGTTAAGGCAGAGTGTGATTCAACTGATAGCACATACAACAAATCAATTCTTGTCAACTGTATTTGCTTCTATTCAAGTTTTAGAAACATCCGAAAAGTAAGACAATTGTGCCTTAAAGACTCCATATCTTACACATTACTTTAGAAACCAGATTGTGAACCAAAACATTTTAGATGCGATTGCCAACGCTACCGGAATACTCACAAGGATTCGTCTTTATTTCTTGATCGCGCTGCGGAACGGAATCGGATTGGTCGTAGTCATGGCACTGTTCTCCTTCATCTTTGTCTATTTATCTTATCAGCTGTTTAAACAGGTAAATAACCGGGATCTATACTAGGTTTGATTGAATAATCCTTTTGTCTTTAGTTTGGTTGGAATACCTATAAAAGAATAGGCGCTGACATTCAACAACAAGAACGATTTAGACTAGCACAAATCTTCTTTATGTTTTTAAAACTAGACGCCTTCTTCCAACTTGTACTTTGCATATTCTATACCGTCGTCATGTCTCAGGAACAATATTTTGCACTATGGAGTATTGATCGAAAGAAATTCGTGGGCTACATCATACACATTGCCCTTACTGCCTTGTTGATACCCGCTTTACTTGTGGCAAGATACGGTGTCATTGCAGAGAATAGGACTGTCATGGTTGCATTCCAAGTTACGCAAATCATTGTCATAATGGATTTCGTTCTTGTCCTCGTCGATAGTGCTGGCACTTGGGTATTTTGGATCCTTGCTGTCTGCGTTGCCATCGCCTTATGCGTGGTTACCATTGTCATTTCGTTTCTTGTGGCTAAAAATTTTGATAAGGGACTCAAGCCATACATGCAAAGACTGTTTGATTCAAATGAGGAAAATGACAAGCAGGATAAAGGAAACCTGCTTAGGAATGAAGAATGGCTCATTGATGATGAAGACGATTATACCCCATCTCATAAATAACATTTCCCCCTTTAATACCGTATATAAAGTAAGCAGTGCGTTAGTCACATATCTTCATAAAGGCCCATGCCTTTTTGTTATTTGTTGAATTTCAGGATTATGCTCAGAGAACGGATACGAAGTCTAATCATGAATACCACAGGAAACAGAAAGAGCTGTGTACATTCCTGCGGAGTTCTCGAGTGGCTGTAGGATGATGGAGCATTTGGCAGTTTACAGTGTTTCCACTTTGAATTCAGATGATGGAACGAAAAATATATACAGGCAGGAGAAAATTAGTTTTCAGATAAGAAAAAGTATATAACTTACCTGCATCGTGGTTTACTCTATCAATATCCACCCTAGGCAAGATCGTTGCATCGTCGGGCAGCATAGAGCAAACTTTTTTTGAGGAAGAGGCTTCAGTATACGTTGAAGAGCGCTTGGGGGTTTGCCTCTAAAATCTTGAAGAACGACCAAGTGTTTGTCGATAACTCTCCATGGTTGCTTTGAAATTCAAAGCAGCTACTAAATCCCTATTACATTGATTCTGGACTCCAAGCACTCTTGATTTGTGCATCTAAGAAAAGGAGTTAAGAGCCCGTGACACAAGACTATAGGCTAACGTACTCGTCTAAATGGCCGTGGATTAGGGCTTTTGCAAACTTTTCTAATTCTTCATCTTTACGGGTGAAATAAAGGGAAGATATCTTGTGTTCATTGATCGAATAAACGGAAAAACCATGTTTCTTCAACATTCTTCGTATACCCTTGCCACGGATTGGTTCATAGATCTCACACTATCGTCTTTTAATTTATGGCAGTGGCGTGCGATACTGATTGAATTCAAGGGGTTTTTAGTAAGCTGCAACTTCATTTTGAACCGCCTATTCTTTGCCACGATGCTTTCAGAATGATCGATTACTCATTTGTCTAAAAAACATATCCTTCTATCTGAAAAGAAAATTGAATTCATCCAAAAAAGATAATCTAAAAATCTGAAAACTGAAATAGTGGCACACTTTCTTGTTGAACTCTTTTATACAAAAACGAATGTTTAATCTCAGGTAACCACCTTTAAATAATCCTGCTAATTCCTTTACTGTTTTCTTCTTTGTTTTGTTCAGCCTTTAGCGACAAAAATAAAATAATCATAGATTTTAAATAGTTGTCTTCGAAAAGTCAGTAACAACTGATTATTTGTCTATCCTGAAAACTAAATAAAATAAAGATATTCGTTTTAAAAGAACAAATTCAAGTTTTATCTATTTCAATATAAAATCGAGAGAGAGAGAGAAAGCGAAGGGCATAACAACAATCCTATTAACTCATAGCGTATCTGCCTGAAAAGTTGGTTTAACCTTAAAATTTTTTTTGAAATTTGCTTGTAGTGCGCCACTTCATGTTCATTGATTATCCAATTTGTACTTTAGGGTCTTATGAATCCTTTAATCGTGTAGCTCATTCAAATTGGTATCTTAGTATTCGATCTTACGCACAGAGAGCTTTGCTCAATCTCATTACGACCCAATCAACATGATGGTTGTGTGCTTATTGCGGGCATTTAAAAATAAACCCACCATCTTTGGACACCCCAGCTCTCTTTTCTTCCACACAAACGTTTGAGCAATGGCTAATGAATTTAAAGTACTCGTTTACATGACGGCCATTCTTGGCACTGGATACGGTCTCATGAAGTATACCGTGCCTGACGAAGAGCAAATTAAAAAGGTTTATACAATTACCGTATGACAGGATAAAGACACACTCAAACCCATCTTAGCGTTTGGATCCAGTACTGCGTAGAGAATACGATCAAATCAAGGCGACCAATCGTGAAAAAGGGCAACAAATGATGGACTTGATGCGTGAAGCTGCCGAAAGTGACAAGCCAGCATGGGAAATTGTCAACCAAAGAAAATAAAGTATACGTATACCCTTGCTATGCTCTATTTATTAGACCTTTCGTTTCTTTTGCTGCTTCTTCAGTTGACGCAGACGTTCCTTTTCCTCCCATTTACGTTGCTCAGCTGGGCTCATCTTTTTGATTCTTTCCTCTTCAGCGCGTTTAGCCTCTGCTTTCTTACGAGCTGCCTCTTCTGCCTTATCAGCTGCTAATCGTTTGGCGTACTCCTTACGCAGACTTTCGCGGTTCTTGTTGACTTGGTTTCTAATCTACAATTCGATCAGCATATACTTTGCATATGTTTTTAGACACAGATGATAAACTTACATCACTTGTCAACTTTAACTCGTTCAACACGTCCGGAAGTTCACAGGCAAGCTCGACAAGAGGATCAAGAGTGTTGCTGTTGGACATTGAAAAAGAAAGCGAAATCGTCAAGGCCTCATCATTCTCGTATCGGTATGGTACATCTGCAGGCAAACTTGAGATAACTAAATATTCGAGACGATCGGATGCATCGGAAATGAGTTTTCCTACACTGGTAGTGGATAGTATCAAATCAGCCAGCTTTTGTGATTCTGTATAAACTGCCAATGATTCGGGAATAGCTTTGCTTGATCCAAGCTTGGCAACACGGTTCTACAATAAATATAAGTCATCTTTTTCTCTGCCTCTGGTTTTGTTTTTTCTTTACCAAATCAAATCGCTTCTTGCTTAATTCAGCTGATTCGCTCTTCTTGATGACGGCAAATACAAATTTTTCAGGCAATGCTTTATCAAGCACCATTGACAATGTCTAATGTTTTTCTGTCAGTTTTTTTTGTGTATCACAAAGAGTTAACATACCACACGATCATTCACAGGCTTTGTTTGTCCAACCATTGAAAGTACTTGTGTCGTGAAATAGGTCAGCATATCATTTCTAGGCTTCAACTAGATATTGCTGCCAAATTAAGCATTGTACTTTTTAATATGTGATATACCTTACCTTGAGCCACCAATGACCAAATTGTACATGGCGTCTGCCAGAGACATATAAAAGATAATCAGCAGGTCCATCCTTCATCAGCACTGATTTACCATCACCTACAAGGGCAAATTGAGACTGAAGATACTCAAGTTGGCCTCCTAACCATATCTTGGCTCTTTTCAAGTTGGCTGATTTTCCTTGATACCAAGCAGCCGCGTATAAGAGAAAGGTGATGACAAGAATAATTTCCATCACAAAGTCATGGATGGTGAATGCTACATGTTTTGTTCATCAGACTTCATTTCATAAATTATAAAAGCCATTTAAATACTCACGTCGAATCATGACACTGTCAGAAGGAACTGTGTATATAAATGATGAGCATTAGATTACACACACATTTTGTATTATATAGTTTTTACCTTCCATCGGCTTCTTTTCTGCCGTGTTTTCTCCTTCTGCGACAACATAGGATAGCAAGGTTGTCAAAGTTACTATTAACAAGTTTGACATGGTTTAAAGAAGAAGAGAAAAAAAAAAAAAGAAATAGGAAAAACCCACAGATGTGATGACAATGAGCGGTCATTAAAAAGAAAGAGTACATATCCCCACTTAAAGAGAAAGAGGAAAGATTCTTTTATGTAGTTAACAAAAATAAGAAAATATATATAAAATATAAATAAGATGAGGTAGAAAGGGAGATTCTTTAAGCAAACTTGACATCAATGCCTGCTTCTCTGGCTAATGTGACAATTTGTGAGAACTTGACAGCCTTTTGGGCAGCAGTGTCTAAATCTTCAACAGCAAAGATACGAAGACCAGATTCAGCAATCAACTTTTTGGCTTCATCGACCTTTGTACCACGGAGACGGACGATCAAGGGAATCTTGAGATCCAAGTCCTTGGCAGCAGAAATGATACCTTCAGCGATAACATCACAACGCATGATACCACCAAAAATATTGACGAATGCAGATGAAACATGAGGATCAGAGGTAATGATTTCAAAAGCAGCCTTGACAGCTTCAGGGGTAGCAGCACCACCGACATCCAAGAAGTTGGCGGGCTTACCACCGTGAAGTTGAATGATATCCATGGTAGCCATAGCAAGACCAGCACCATTGACTATGCTTTGTTTTAGTCTCTCTACACACACACACACACACACACACACACACAAATTACCTAAACAACCAATGCTACCATCCAAACCGATGTAGTTCAAGTTGTACTTAGCAGCAGCAATTTCACGAGAATCTTCTTGAGTGAAATCACGGAGAGAAAAGACATCTTGTTGTCTGAAGCTGGCGTTATCGTCAAAGTTCAATTTGGCATCCATACAGAGAACTATATATAACGCGTTACCTTCTTTTTTCTCACGCTTTTTATTTTATTTCACCGCTTACCTTGGTGATCGCTGGATTCTGACAAAGGATTGATTTCGACTTGAGTGGCATCCTTTTCGTTGAAGAGCTTGAAGAGGTTTACAAAAGTGTCAGCAGCTTGTTCTTGACCTTGAGGAGTGAAACCCATCTTCTTGGCGAGACCCAAAGCGGCTTCCTTAGTAAGACCAACCTTGTTATCAACAGGGAGAGTGATGATAGCATCAGGGTTTTGAGCAGCAACAGTTTCGATATCGACACCACCTTGAGCAGAGGCAACGATAACGGGACCAGCAGACTTACGGTCCAATAAGATGGCAAAGTAATATTCATTACGAGCATACTTACGTTCACAGATGTAGACAGCGTTACAGGGCTTTCCTTCAGCACCGGTCTGCTTCGTGATCAATCTGTGACCAAGCATGTTTTCAGCAAGCTCTCTAGCTTCTTCGGGTCTATAAAATTGATAAGCCGCGTTTCAATTGAAAAATTTTTACACAACAACTTACGTATTGAAAGTCTTTACACCACCCTTATAACCATTGTCAAAGGTACCTTTACCACGACCACCAGCAAGGACTTGAGCCTTGATGACAAGATCGTCGGATCCTACCCAATATGTCAGCTTTCTTGTTTGTTTTAATAAAATGGTTTTCTTTTCTTTACCGAGTTTCTTTGCAATATCATAAGCCTCTTCAGGTGTCTTTGCAACTTCACCCTTGGGAGCGTTAATACCGTATTCTCTCAAAAGCTTAACAGACAAGTATTCGTGGATGTTAAGGAAACGCTTTTGTTGATGTTGAACGGGTTTACGAGCGACCTGATTATAAAAAAGTTAGCATCATCCATTGCTTCCAAAATGTTGGAATTACCAAAGAGGCACGCTGGGCGAAAGAGCTAGCAGCACGCAAGGATTTGAACATGTTAAAGATGAAGGGGGAAGGGAGATTGAGAACTTGTGAAAAAAGAAATCTTAAAAAAATTCACCCCTTCTCTCTCTCTTTCTCTCTCTTTCTTTCTTTCTCTCTTGGCCTATAATTTTTTTGGAACTCATCGACCAAACAAAAAGCGGGTAACAGCGGAAAACAAGACACTTTCGACGTCACAAGCCCGGGATGTCCCGTTGTCTTCACTTTATAAAAGAACTATTGTAAAAAAAATTTTACAGGCGCAAGTATATTATACATACTGTTGTGTTTATAGAAAAGAATAAGTACACATACACACATAGATATGGCTTGGATGACTGAAATAGACTTGTTGTGTCCATGACCAGACGATAAGTTACACGTGATAGGCAGTAATGCACACATTGACAAAAAAACGTTACTAAGACAAAAATATCGGAGTATACTTTGCGGCAATAGAGAGAGAAAGCGTAATGGATGTGCTTGTATGACACTAGAATCTATTTGAAAGGCACATGTTAATGAAAGGAAGGAGTAGTTGATAATAAGAGACATTGTAATCAATTTGTCGAATGATGTCTATTTACTTTAGATCAAATAGTGCACTCTACTGCGCTGTGTACAATGTAAATCAATACAACTAATCATCTTTCCCAGCCAAGGACAAGTGCCCCTGAAAATTTTAGATTATTTCTCACTAATTTTTGGAGTCAGAGAGGTTTCTAATCATAGCTTATTGCTACAAGCATTAAGAAAACCCTCTTTTTTATACATGATAAAGTATAATGAGTCGAGTGTAAAAAATGACTACCTCTTGTTGATGAACCAAGTCGTATCTACATATCGTTTGTCAGCTTTATCTCTCATAAAGATACAAAAGCTTTACAATGTCCATTCTTGAACAAAACCATCTATTACTTTGCTATTAAGTTATATTCCTTTCTTTGATTTGACAATAAAAAGTATATCACGCTTTATATATCCTGAGACAGCAAGACTGCAATGATCCATTCTGTAGATACATTCATCATTCATCCTATCGTGCCTCATCGCTTTTTACCGTCTTTATATATATGAATATACAAAAGCGCCACTCAAGAATTTATACAAGTAAAACATACAGTCAGTTTCAAACAGTTTGAGTCTGTTTATGTTTAAAAAGTCTGGAATTAAAGCAAGTTTGTCATGTCAGAACATGTTACATTTCTCCCGTTTGGGGGTTTCGAAGGATGTTTTGTAGTTCAATAAAAAGAGAGACAATCATGAAGCTGATCTTCACTGTAGGGTGTCCAATTTGTCATTATAGTTTTTTATATGAAAATCTAGGAGGGACAAAAGGACTCAAAAATGCATAAATATATGCATACACATGTACATCTTTAACTTGCTTTAATTTACATTCCATTAACTGATAAAGAAACAATGATAGGTTTCACACATACAAAGCAAATGGGATATCAAGTGAAACGACTTTCCCGGGCTTATCCTTAAAGATAACAAGATCATCTGATCATAAAAATAAAGTAGATCGTTTACAGTATCTATCTGCAATATTAGCTTCGTATCACTCAAAAAAAAAATAGGAGAATAGTCAACAAGAACACAAAAATAGCCTCATTAATAACCTTGGCGTACACATCTGTGTGGTTTCTGATATTCATTTGGATCAGTTTAACTACTTTTGTAGAGAAACAAATAACAATTAAAACAATAATAGAACAAATCAGATAGAGTTAAATAACATGGTATTAATTTACACATGACCAAAGATGTAAATTAAGGGAGAAGTTCATATTTGAAAAAAAAAAAAAAAAAAAGAAGCTATATCTATGCAATGTCTGCTTCTTTGTATTAAAGTGGCGTACGGTTTTTGGTATAAAACAATTTAAAGGAGAAAATGCTTGGTTGTGTTTAAAAGTACCTGAAAGAGACACACATGCGCACAATGTTATAGATTACGTAAACAATACAATAGAAAATAGCTACAATATTCAATGTTTGTTATAGTTTGAGATTGAACAAATAAGAATGCTTCTAAAGTATGATTGGTACCGTACGAATACTGTTTACGGAAAGTGCATTGACATTGACATAGACGTCATGACATGGTGTGTAGTACATGACGACGTAGTCTTTACGTCTTTTTTTATTTTTTTTATTTGTTAAATAAGAATCATTGACATCATGTATAATGGACGACTTTTATTAATGCAGAATATAGAAAAAAAGAGAAAAAGAAAGGAAAAAAAGATGCAAGGTTAAAATTCTACAAATGAATCTGTTTCTTCGACATACTGCCATTTTTTCAATTCGGTACCGTATGGCTTCGGTCTAAGCTCATAGACGCTAACTAAATGTAAGTAACTATCACACCATTTGTAATCATCTTCACTTACGTATGAATGGGAACCATCATATGAGGCATTTCTTCTCTTGTCCAATCCAACAAGTAGCCCAAGAGGATACGCATGACAACTCGATGTGTGATGATCAGACATGACTGAGTCATTCTTTCTAGTTCAATGATCATAGGCTGAAGACGATGGATAACATCTATATAACAATTGAGTATGTGTATGATCTGTATATGTTATACTACTATACCAATATAAGATTCTCCACCCATTCCGGGATATCGATAGAATAGTTTATTTGCCTGTCTTGCCCTGTACTCTTCTGGATATTTTTGTTGTATTTCTTCGTAAGTCATGCCTTCACATATCTAAAAATATATTCTTTCAATTGATCGCTCGTACGTGCTTTGTTTTCTGTTTACCCCTGAATTGATCTCATTCAAGAATCGAATATGCTTTATATCATAATCATCTGGATCCAATGTCTCTGCAGTCTGCATGGATCGCTTGAGCATACTCGTCCACACCATAAACTGTGAATTACAAAATTCGGCTGTCTTGGCTAATGCCTTTGCACTATCATACTTGTCTTCATCCGCTTCTAGATCATTTGCCTTTGCTGCAAGTTCACATGCAAATCTGATACGCTGTGTCTGAACAAACTTGGCCAACGCCTTTGCAAATTTTCTGCCCTTAGCTGACAGTGGCGCATCTCCGCCGATCTTGCCCGTGACATTATCCTCACTTTCACCATGGCGAGTCAAAAAGATTTGTCGCTCTATATAGACGGCTTAGTACTTGATTCTACCTTTGATTTGCCTGGTTACCATTGAGATTAAAGTTCATAAGATAAAATATGCATTGTCCGGAAAGATAGCCCGAGATATGATGAGCAATAACCTTTTTGCCCACATTGATTAATTTACAAAATTGAATATCATGTTCTTCTTCCCACTCGCCCACGGGTTCGTATGCCTTTTCGTAATTAGCAACTCGGGACCTAAAGTCAGCCAGCGCTTCCACAGGGTCCTTATTCTTGTAATCAGGGCCCGAAAGTTTCAAACGAAAATTACGTTCGAGCATCTAATAAATGAGTGTTGGTATAAAAAGTTTTTCCTAGTATCTATAAATTACAGATTGATCTGTGCAGATCGATTCAATCAACAACACTCTGATCTCTGGCTCCTTTTCCAGTCTGTCAATCAGTAGCTTTCGCCTTGCCAGTGTCGAGTTGGTCGCATCATGAATAGCGACTCGACCGCCTTCCTTGAGCCAACCGATCAATTGCTCGAGTACGCTCATCGCAATTTCATCACGCATACGCTTGTTGTCTTGATTGTTGGGATCAAAAAATCTGGCAGATTGATCGGATGTGTCACAGACACGGCGCATGTTGCCAACATTAAACACTCTGGTCTCGTATTGAAGCCAGTTGAGATATCGCCGAAGTTTTTTTACTAAATAACTCTTTCCTCGAGCAGGCAATCCCACTTTAAGAATAAGTAAATTTATATTGTTTTTTGCTATCATTGTATTTACCCATAATCACAACCAATTTGCTATCCAGCTGCTTTTCGGTTTTTAATTCTATTAAAGATAAGCAACATATCTTTCAAATGAGAAAAATAAATTACTTGGCGTAGTAATCGTATGAACAGCTCCGGGTACGTCTAAACCTATAGAATGTCTATTTCTGTATGCATTATCATCGACATTCAATCTTAGCCAATTCGAAACAGCAGATGCAATATTATTATCTTGTTGTTGTTGTTCTTGAGGTGGTGAATTAGAAGGAGAAGCTAATAGAGGTAACACGCGTCTTGAGATGGTATCGTCTTCTAAATCTTGTTCTTTGCTTACAACTGGTAACGTTTTTTTCATAGAGTAAACAAAAAAAAAATGTACAGAAAAAGTCAGACAGCTTAGAAACCAATCTGCCAATGAAATCAATAACTCACTTTTTTGGTTTAGTTTTGATTTTAGTCTCTATTTTTTTTTTTTTTCTGTTTAACACAAAATAACAACAAGATGAATCTATCTGGTTCACATGGAAACGGAACTAATTTGTGTGTGTGTATATATATTTTTCTTCTTTTTTAAACTTCTCCATTGATTGTGATCTAATGACAAGATATCAAAAAATGCACTAGTGATTTATATGACGTTATACGATCCAATGAGATCTATTCCCAGACTTGTTCCCAGAAAAACTATTTTTTATTCCGTTCGACTAAATTTTTTGTATAACTCAGTGATTCAAAAAAAAAAAAACTTCTTAAACCCTATGACGCTAAAATGGATTTAGACAAATAAAGTTTAAATAAAAGGTACATGTTAAACCGAACTCCGATATGCACACTTTTTTGTGGGTTGCATACACATCAAAGATATAAATACCCCTCCACTTTTTTACTTTGTCTCTTTACGCTTCTTTTTTTTTTTTCTTTCTTGTTTTTATTTATTGATCTGATAATATGGGATTCGTCTTAAAAGGAGCAGCTCTTTTTAGAGCCTCAACACTATTAGCTGCCATCGGTTTCTTACTCTTTGGTTATGATCAAGTATGTTTTTTATACAATATTATATGCGCATTTTACTTATTTTTTTTGTATAGGGTGTCATGTCTGGTGTCGTAGCCAATGATCTCTTCCTTAATACAATGGGTAATCCTGATTCCGCTTTGGTCGGTGCCATTGTCGCCTTGTACGAAATCGGTTGTATGTTTGGTGCTTTATCCACTGGCCGCATTGGTGATTGGTTAGGTCGTAGAAAGACAATCCGTTTGGGTTGTTTGATTCTTTGTATTGGTGCCATCTTACAAACCGCTGCTGTCAATGCAGGTATGATGATTGTTGCTCGTATCATCACTGGTGTTGGCAATGGTATGAACACAGCAACTATTCCTGTCTACCAAGCTGAATTATCTCCTCCCAAGTCCAGAGGTTCTCATGTCGCCTTTGAAGCATCCTTGTTGACAATCGGTGTTGCTGTTGCCTATTGGCTCGAATATGGTCTTTACTTTGTCCAAGGTGAATTTGCCTGGCGATTCCCTCTTGCTTTCCAAATGGTCTTCGCCATCATCTTGGGTCTTGCTTCTTTTATTCTTCCTGAATCACCTCGTTGGTTACAAGCTCACGGCCATGAAGAAGAATGTAAGAAAGTGTTGGCTCGTCTCTGGTCAGACTGTGATACGACTCATCCTCGTTGTATTGCCGAATGGGAAGAAATTCGTGACGGTATTGAACTCGAACGTCGTGAAGGTATCTCATCCTATGTCGAATTGTTCAAGAAGGGCAAAATGAACAACCGTTATCGTGTGTTGCTGGGTATGGGTGGTCAATTGATTCAACAGTTTGGTGGTATTAACGTCATCAGTTACTACTTGGCCGATGTCTTCAAGCAAGCAGGTATGAGCACTGAAAAGGCTATGCTCATGGCCGGTGTCGATTCCTTTGTGTACTTTGCAGGTGCTGTCACCCCCATCTTCACCATCGAACGTCTCGGTCGTCGTTGGCTCATGTATGCTGGTCTGATTGGTCAAGCCATCACACTGCTTATTGTCGGTGGTGGTGAATACATTGTCCAAAGAGATCAAGCACTCTATGGCACCTTGAACGGACCCGCTTCCAAGGCTGTCATTGCCTTTGTCATGCTTTACACCTTTGTCTTTGGTGCTGCCTGGTTAGGTCTCGCCTGGTTGTATCCCTCCGAAATTTTCTCGACTGGTCTTCGTGCAAAGGGTAACTCCATGTCAACAGCTGCCAACTGGTTGGGTAACTTTGTTGTGGCCATGATTGCCCCTGTTTTGTTTGAATACGCCAAGTACTGGACCTTCCTCATGTTTGGTATCCTCAACGTGATCTTTTTGATTCCTATTTACTTCTTCTATCCCGAAACTATGGGCAAGTCATTGGAAGAAATCGAAGTCTTGTTTGCTACCGAAGATCTTCAAGAAGATGCCAAATCGATTGCTTCTCACATTGGTTCTGTTTCCTTGTACGAAAAGACACACGGAGATGCTGAGTCAGGCCGCGGTTCTCGACCTCAGTCCCGTCGTTTCCCAAGTAACTTCTCTGGTCGTCAAAGTGTCATGAGTGCCAATAAGGCAAATGATAAACCCGCTGTGGACTCCGAAGCTGCCCATGTGAAGAATGATTATGATGAAAAGGGACCCAACTATAAATAATAAGGCAGTGCCTTTTTAATTGTTACTATTATTTATTATTATTATTATAGTTGTGTATATATATATTTTAATGCTATATTCAAATAAAAAAAAAAACAAGACAGACCCTTTTAATCTATTTCTTTATTCAGATAAGGTTTCAATGTATGTAGTACCAACATTTATATTTATGTATTATTTGAACACATGCTGACGATAGTACTTTAATTCTTCAATACTTTCAATAATATCATCCAATGCTCTATGAGATCCCTTTTTGTTTACTTGAATACTTGGATACCTATTTTTCGAAAAAAAATTTTTTAGCACTGTTTTTTAGTGCCATTATAAAATGTCCGATTTTACCATCGTTTGGCTAATTCCTTGATTGTGCTCACATCTGATGCAGAGTCAATGTTACAGACTGTACGACAATAATGAACTTACCAACAATTCGATAGTGCAGGTAATCAATAACCCTTGGCATCTCTTTATAAAGAAACCGTTTATCTTCATGAACTGAATTACCTGCCAAAGGGGCTACTCCCTTGGGTAAATGCTGTTCCAAGAACTGAACGATTTGATCTTGTGCTTGGTTCGTTGTCAATGTTGATTCGAGTACTTGCTGAGTTAGACCAGACTATAGAAGGTCGCACAGCGTCCCGCGCGAGCGCAACTTAAATACTCCACCCCCGCATTTTTATGTTTTATTTACCTTGCCATGATGTTCAATGCACCAGTCTATTTTTATACATTTGTGTGAATGAGAATTCAAAAAAGATGAATAATAATTTTTTAAACGTACCATTCATGTTGTCCATTACTTCTTTAGGTTGATGAATAATCAATTCCGGTCCCTGTTGAATCATGTCATTTTCCCTTGTCTTTCCTACTCTTTTTTTTGTTTTTATACTTTGGCTACAATGTTTAAGTCGCCATCAGTAATCAACACTGCAATCTCAATCAAGTGATCTTTGCTAATGTCAAGACCAGTCATCTTAAAAAAATGAGAGCTGATATTTATATAACATAAATGCTTTTCTTACTTCACAGTCTATCCAAACTAAAGGGTTCTTAATCATGTTGAGAGCGCGCTTGGCAACAAAAGAAATTGACATGCAAAAAAAAAGAGGATTGCCATGCCATATAAAAGTCACACTTTGTATCCTATTTCGCTACTTAAGGTAATTTAAAATTTAGAATTAAACGGTACGAATTTTCTCTATAAGAGCGATAAGCAGCAAGAATATTGACCATCTTGGTTGTTAGATAATCTTGAGACGTAGAAGAATGTTCTGTAGGAACAATTCTGTTTTCAGCAGCAATGTTAATAATATCAACCTGAATAACCGAGCCTACTTGCTCAAACGATACAATATTTTCTTGTAAAATACAAGTCAGTTTTAGCATATGTCATTACAAATACATACACCCCGCAACCCACCCTTAAAAGGAACTATTCCAGAATGTAAACGTTTGAACAGATACATATGCTTACATGCAATGTTATTGTACCTGGAATCGTTACAAGTGTAGTTTGTCATTTCATTTTCCATTACAGTGATTCCGTGCTGAAGTTTTATATTGCTGAACAACTGGGTTAGATGACCTCCAAGTGTAATAATATCAGGAATACGCTCCATATTGATTTGATCAACTTTTATTTGCCTTGTCCTTCTTTTTCTTTCCTCAGAACCCATCCTACCAACGTTTAACACCAACCTTTGAATATTTTGGAGATAATCCTCTTCAGTATCACTCACTGATATGAATATCAATCTGTCTACTCTTCTGTCTTGCTTTCTTTTTAAATATGCCGTTTTCAATTGATTATACCAGCTTTCGATGTGGTTGTTCGTCTCCATATTAGTATAAATAGCTGACTGATATGTTCTTGTCCAACACTTGAAATTGCCATTGTTGAAGTATGAAATGCATAGATAATAAATTAGCTGTGTTGTACTATCCACGCTACTATTCAGTGCTTAAATATAACATCTAGAGTTGAACCTAATGTTATTATAAGACCTGCTACACCTTAATCAAATGTTGCCAACTCGGTTTAAATACCTCAGCTTTTTAATACATAAATATAGACTGTGCTATCATCTCTTTTCTCTTTGCTTTATTCCGAATAAAGATACACACACTCTCATCATACTTTTACTTTATCTGATGCTATTCCAAAGCTAAATGCAACACTCTCAGCTTGAATCAAGGAAGGTCGGTAGCAACGAAGGAATCGTGAATTATTTGTACTCTATTTCGATGCAACACGAGAGATAAAGCGTTTTGCTGTTCGCTCCAAATCACCAAAAGTTACTAATTAATATACTGCATTATCTAGCATCTTTAATTTTATGAAGGCTTATAGGCACCGTGAAAACAAGGACCAAAATTATAGCAATAGAAAGCAGGTTGAGGATTATATTGTTAGGATTCACCGATCTCAAAGAGCCGTTTAAATTAACCCATGTTTCAGCCAGAGAATACAGCAAAAATATCCGAGCAGTATACAGACAAGAAGTTGTAAATCGGGTTCGGCCGCTTCAATAGCGTATGGTGATTCGTCTCTTGGAGGAACATGTCGGCACATACTCCTGTTCTGGTTAAAGTAATAATTAGCTTCTTATATTGACGAAAATGTATACAGAACACACTAACGCTATGTTATTTTAGGCTGTACAAAGAACTATAGCAATGAAAGTGATTGTAATTCCTGTTGATGAGTTTAATGCTTCCCAAAAATGTTGCTATTGCCTTACGCAGCTGAAAAAAAGTTTAGACTTACTGGGTTCAGTCAACTTCCTTATGAGCCGCGCTCTACAAAAAAATGTCTCGATGAAGAAGATTACTTCTTATGTAGATCTGATGTTTGCCTAGAAAGCGCTCCTCCAGGTAACTTGAGATAGAATTGATTATTGATTTTAAACTTGGAACGTATTCTCTTTCATTTTAGAACATGTTTTGTCAACTTATCCATTGAAGTTGTGCCTTTAGTGTTCGGTGGGTGGTTTGATTAACATGGTAAGAATGAAACAAGCTTCTTTTGTGTTCTTTTTTGACAAGTATTAATTAGGTTATAAATTTTTGAGTACTGGACGTAATATAAGCAGTTTGTGAATTTAAGTTAAATTAACTAAAATGAAAATGTTTAAAGCACCTCTACAGCATACCAAAGCTGTATAATTTACATGGGGCAATAGTCACTTCATATTCTACTAAAATGTGTACACTTCAAATTACCATTACTCAAAAGAGTTTAATATCCTTATCCTGTACTTTAGATGTGAGAGTATCGTATCCGAACATATTTCACGCTTATTGAAACTAAGGATATTACCCTTACAATAACAGAAACTAGTGCATAAAACCAGGAAACCCTTAATTAAGCCATTTTACCTCAGAACAACTGCTAGACCTACGTCAACTATAACCCCACAGTAAACTTAAAGTAGAAATAAGAGCTACTCTTTATCAATAAAAAGGTTAACTCAGTCTTACTGCATCTTGTTATCACTTACTGCTTTTAATATGAACACAGAGAGGTCATTTGGTTTTAAATTTTACACAAATTTCTGAAAAAGGCGATCAAAGGATGTATAGAAAAGCATAACAAAGACAATAATAATAACAGCTCTTATATTCCTTTGAAAATGAGTAGGCGTATTTAATTAAAATTGAATAATCAATAGCATATTTTAGGTTTCAAGGTACGGCAAAGTATAACTGTGTATACGCATTTGAGCGAAGATGAAAAACAAGTAGAATTTGGTGGGCGCACTGATGCAATTGAATTTTACAAGTAATGTTCTATTATAAATATGACACAGATAAGCTAAGAAAGAAGCTACATAATTTGCAGCAAGCAAAATATAGCGAATTCTTTTCCCCAATAACCAAAGTCAAGCTGAAGGACTCCGGTACCGCAGCTACGCATTCAGAGCTATACATTTGATATTTCAAGTCATCATTACAAGATATTGAAAACTACAGTCTTGATAATGGCAATCGATTCTCTCTATTGCCAATTGCATCACACCAAATAGGCAATTCTTCTGCTCTAAAATCAAATAGATGCTAAGGTAGACGAGTATAGGACAAGCAAAGTGTACAGTAGCTGTGATAATGAGGTACAAAATTGTTATGAGCCAGCGAACTCAATGACATGCTATCACAGATACAGGATCAACCATAGATATCTATTTTTTTTTTATATGTAGAGTCTAAATCCTAGACAAGTCTGTTTGGGGACAGATAAGAAAATCATGTGCAAGAATAGCGAGTGTGTCGAAAGAAGAGCTTCAGGTATTTCCAAAGGAATTTAGAATGTTGAAATGTTTACAGATGATGAAATATACCAGCAGCAGAGCATTTACTCATTGAAGGTATGCAGTTACTGTTCAGTTGGTAATTGTGTGCGACTACGTCCAGTCTTTGTTTTTTATATGTACGAATAATTTAATACAGTTTCGATAGATCCGGAATCAAGACATGAATGCAGCAAGGAATACTCGATCAATTTTAACAAACTATATTTCATCTAACTATGATATTCAATCAAGGCCAGAATCGCTTCAAAGAGGCACAAGAAATGTGGAGGGCTTCTACGACAAGCCATTTAATCTTTTTAACTAGGCCTACTAATGTAGTAAGTGGAAAAACAAAAAAAAGCAATGTAACTAATGTAGTTTTTAGGGCGTGCATCTAAAATTAATCTAACAATGACCATCATATACAAGACATAGGGTATCAAGCATGACCCCCTTTTTTTCATTCTTGAGGTTTGCCAAGGTCTGCAGCTTTCGGAGACACAATTTTATCTTTCTTGTCATTTTATCTCTCTCTTTTTGCACGCCCAGAAAAAAGTCTTGGATATTTTTTTCTTCTTCTTCTTCTTTATAATAATTTCAGGAACTATAGAACAATAATAACATGTCAACACCACTTCTCTCAAACGAAACAGCACAGACAATCGGCGCAGCTGCAACATCTATTGCTAATGACGCTCGATTCTCCTTTTTACAAAAGTTTCGCGAGGAACGTCTATCGAATCTTCGACCTCTTGGCGATTTCTTTGATAAGAATAGAATGAGCTTTACTACCTCATTTCACACCATCAGTCAACGATGGAAGTAAGTGATACATTTTATGATTGACAACTTGTTAATTCTTTACAGTTACAACTTGCAATACTTTTCTGCTAATTACTTATTAATTGTCCTCGCCTTGAGCATCTATGCCATGTAAGCTTTTTATTTGTTTATCGTTATTGTTTTCTTATATTATTATAGTATCACCAGTTGGTGGCTTCTTTTCACCATTGGTTTTATTGCTGGTGGCTTCTATGTGATCTCACGCTTAGATGGACCTGTGACGATCGGAAACACGGTTTTATCACCTTCATCACTTTATGGTTTCTATGCCGGTGTCTCGATCATCTTGTTACTATTCTCAGGTGCAACAGGTGCCATCTTCTGGATTATTGGTGCCGCAGCTATCCTCATTCTCGGTCATGCGGCCATTATTGAACCAGGACTTGAAGGTGAATTCTCTGCAGATGGACAAGTATAAAAGGAACTTTATTCAAATAAATATCAAGCCTCTTTTCGTAGCTCTTGTTCTTCCTCAGCCTATATAAAAATAAGCATATAGGTCCTTTTTTCTTTTTTCTTTACTATACACTTACCAGCATCTTTTGTTGATGAATGAACCATGAGGGCAAATGTAAAGGTAGTGTGACCAAATCAAGATCAAATAGTTCTATAAATTGCTCATTCACATATCTCGCTTTGGATCCTGCATAAGCTCGATACTGACAACAATATAAGTAAAGTTTTTCTTAAATAGTGATACATACTTCGGTCACAATCGAACTAAAGTTCCATCCTTCCAGCTTTCTTAAGCAACCCACCAAGGTACCAGTTTCATGAATACCTGATCTATTATGAAATGTTGATCTACTTATTCTTTTTTATACATGTGTCTTACGTGCACATGATCAAAATAGGGTGAGTTTCAGCATTCAGAATGAGTTCGAGTCCTTCCTTGATCAACTCTTCAGAAACAGGTCGCCATGTTGAAGGCTGTGTTGGCTTCCACGTGGCCATACCAACGTGGACCAGTTGAATGTTTCCTTCTTCAATGAAATTAGTTGTTACTCTATTCGGAAGCTCAGGACTGAGCATCACTAGTGTTTTGAAACCAAACTGTTTCAAAAAGGTAAAATTGGCTTGTTGAATCATGTCTGACCGGTAAATGCCTGGCTCGACAATACCAAATTGTTCAGGTGGGCATAGGAAACTGAGTGCATTCGTTCCCATCAATTAATACAGAAATGAACAAGAGAAAAAAAAATCCGTCTCTCTCTTTCTTTATTTTTTTAATGACAACCAAAAGAGCAATCAATCTTCGATACAAACCCATTCACCCTACACCTACGCCTACGCCTACAACTACACCTCCAAAACCCAAGCCTAGGTTAGGTCCTCTCTTGTTTGGTGGTGCACTGCTATATGTGACCGCAACCTACGTGTCGATGAGTGTACTCAAGAGTAAATCAGATACCACAGATAGATTGTTAGGCAAGAAAGATCAAGATCCTGTATCCCCAAGCAACTTTGATACAACAGGTGTGTGGGACAGTGTAGCCAAAAAATACGATAAAGAAATTGGCTGGGATGAGGTTGTAATGGGCATGGGTCTGCTCAGACGCTGGTTAATAGGGAAGGCACAGGTAAGGACAGACAGTACGTTTCTTTTGTTTTATTAACCTCTTCTCAAGGGTGATGTCTTGGAAGTATCCACAGGCACTGGTCGTAATTTCAGTTATTATAAGCCAAATCAGGTCAATACAATCACATTTACAGATCGTCATGATTCTATGCTTAATATGGCAAAAGAGAAATTTGAAGCTTATAAAGACAAGTTTCATCAAGCCTTTTTCGAAATAGCAAGCATCGACCAGCAGACAAATAAAAAGTATGATACGATTGTGGACACCTTTGGACTTTGCTCCTGTCAGGATCCAGTAGAAGCTCTAGTGCAATTGGCTGATCAATGCAAATCAAGCCAATCAAGAGTTCTACTTCTCGAGCATGGCCGGTCTCATTATGACTGGTTAAATAGACTATTGGATTCAAATGTTGATAAACATGTCAAGCAATGGGGCTGTTGGTGGAACAGAGACATTGTGGGTCTATTTGAAAACGAACGGGTCAAGGACAAATTAGAGATTGTAGATGTATCTCGCTGGCATTTTGGAACAACCTGTTATATTGTCGCAAAGCCTAAATAAAAAAATTTGTGACGACAATTATATTACTGTGTCGGCGGCGACGGCTTGGTCCTGTTTAATAAAAAAAAAATTTTGACTTATTTTTTTTTTTTCTTTCTCTTTCACTTTACATTTAAAAATGAGGTAAACATTGCAGTAAAGCTATAATCATAAAAAGACTAACGGCTGCTGTAGTAACGAACCTTTAAAGGAAATCCAAGACAACGAAATCGAGGCAAGTATAAGATTATACACAATTTGTGAGATTCTGTATATTAAAAAAATTTTTCTTTTTTTTTTTTTCTGTAAATAGTCCAACTGGGAAGAAGTTATCGATAATTTTGATAACATGAACTTGAAGCCTGAGCTTCTCCGTGGTGTTTATGCATATGGGTAAGCTTGGCTTTTTTTTTTTATATATATTGCCTTACTTATACTTTAAAATAGTTTCGAAAGACCCTCTGCTATTCAACAACGTGCTATCATGCCCGTCATCAAGGGCCATGACGTTATTGCCCAAGCTCAGTCTGGTACCGGTAAAACCGCTACTTTCTCTATCTCTGCCCTTCAATCTATTGATATCGCCCTTGCCGAGCCTCAAGCTTTGATTCTTGCTCCTACCAGAGAATTGGCTACTCAAATCCAAAAGGTCGTCTTGGCTCTTGGTGACTTTATGGGTGTCAAGGTCCATGCCTGTATTGGTGGTACCAACGTCCGTGAGGATATGGAAACCCTCAAGAACGGTGTTCATGTTGTTGTAGGTACACCTGGTCGTGTATTTGATATGATCAACAGACGTGCTTTCAACACAACAAACATGAAGTTGTTTATTTTGGATGAAGCTGATGAAATGTTGTCTCGTGGTTTCAAGGATCAAATCTATGATGTCTTCCAATTATTACCTAACGAAACACAAGTCGTCCTTCTTTCTGCTACTATGCCTGCTGAAGTTTTGGAAGTAACCAAGAAGTTCATGAGAGAACCCGTTAGAATTTTGGTGAAGCGTGATGAATTGACTTTGGAAGGTATTAAGCAATTCTACATTGCTGTCGATAAGGAAGATTGGAAGTTGGATACTTTGTGTGATTTATATGAAACCGTCACTATCACACAAGCTGTCATCTTCTGTAACACTCGTAGAAAGGTTGACTGGTTGACTGATAAGCTCACAGCCCGTGAATTCACCGTCTCTGCTATGCATGGTGATATGGACCAAAACCAACGTGATATTATCATGAAGGAATTCCGCTCTGGTTCATCACGTGTTCTCATCACCACTGATTTGTTGGCTCGTGGTATTGATGTCCAACAAGTCTCTTTGGTTATCAACTACGATTTACCTTCTAACCGTGAAAACTACATTCACAGAATTGGTCGTGGTGGTCGTTTCGGTCGTAAGGGTGTTGCTATCAACTTTGTTACCAACGAAGATGTTCGCACCATGAGAGAAATCGAACAATTCTACAACACACAAATCGAAGAAATGCCCATGAACGTTGCTGATCTTATTTAAGCATGATTTCTTTTCTTTTTTTACAGGTTGAAAAAAATAAAAAAGACGCTGTTTTGTATCAATAGTTGATATAGTATTCAATAAAGAAAAAAGAGCTAAAAAATAGACTTTATTAAAACAATTCAACACGAACGTTGACAAGACTATATATACTATCTGTATGGTAGGGTTTAAAGGGAGGATGACTTTATAAGAAGCTAAAATATCACACATTTATTTATCTTTATTATTCAACCTTGCCACCAGGAGATGATGACTTGGAACCATTTTGTTCATTTTCTGATGGTTGAAACGACGGCGGAGATGATGATGCCTGTTGTTGTTGTTGTTGTTGTTGAACTGCAAATTGCTGTAGTTGATATTGATATTGCTGCATTTGCTCGGGTGTTAATGTAGGATAGTATGCAACTGCAGGATCCATTGCCTAAAAATTGCGTTATTAACCTTGACTTTTTGCACTTTTGGGACATGTATATGTGTTTACCTGTTGTGCTGTATAAGGAGGAACAGCAGTTCCTTGAGCATAATAGTTGGTATATTCAGGTTGCTCAAAAGGTGCGGCTGTGGCTGCCTTAAGTGCTTCCTCTCTAGGCACGATATCAATCAAGAAATCACACATGTCCGTCTTTGAGATAGCCGTAGCAATATCAGATCGTTGTAAGGTTCGTCTCTTGTTCTCCTCGGCATGTATCCTTATTGTAAAGGTTATTCATTGTTTATAATGTAATATATACATACCAAGCACGCTTTGTTATCTCTGTAATGAATATTTCACAACCCTTTGCAAATAAAATGGGCGCCTATACATAAAGTCAGTGCCCCCTCTCTCTTTTATATCCCTTGTTTTTACTTCTGCGCTAATCATCTACAAAAAGGGAGAGAGAGAAAAATGAGCACAAGTTTCCATTCAACAGAACATGGCCTCATTACCTTCACTTCAGGATCTGTCTTCATCACTTTTTTAATACGCGCTAATGGCAAAGGATGTGACTTGAAGTCAGAACTGTAACTGTCAACAAGCTGCATTTGTTCTTTCCAAAACTTTCTCAGGTCAAAGGCAGGATTATTGTTAATCGTATTGATTCCTGGTCCAACAGGTGCAGCAGTAGCAGGGGCACTTCCGAGAGTAGCAACAGCATTAGCAAAGGCAGTAGACACTTGTTGTTGTTGATCTGGAACTGAGGAATAGTGATCTGTTGTCTGTTGGGCCATTTTTTATATTGTGTGTGAGATAAAAGATCCAATAAAAATTACCTGAAATATATATATCACTAAATTCAGAGATTATTCTCCCCAGCAGCTATCATGGCGGTCCCCCGTTTCATGAGAAAGTTGTACTATGGCTCCATGGCCACTGTTCGCTATTCGGGGAAGTTTTCTTTATTCATTAAGCTTAAGCTCAAAGTTGATGCACCAATAATGTTATTAAGAAATATTGAGCCAGCAAGAGGTTTATGCAATGGCTCTCGCCTGATTTTCGTGCGAATTGGCAGCCATATGCTTCAGGCTTGCCTAGCTAATAAGCCGGATGACACACTAGAGCATATACCTAGGGTTACGCTGTCAACGCAAGAAAGTGATTTGCCATTCATTCTAGCAAGAAAGCAATTTCCTATTAGGCTATGCTTTTCTATGACCATCAACAAGTCCCAAGGCCAATCATTGAAATACGTGGCCATCGACCTAAGATAGCCAACATTTATGCATGACCAGTTACATGTTGCTCTATCAATAGCCACTCCTCTTTCTGGCATCTCAGTTCTTCTGCCAAAAAGTCCAAATACAACCAACAATGTAGTTTACCCAGAATTACTACTTCACTAACATACCCATCTATGTAACACATATGATCGTCAAACATGAATAAGCGTGTAGACAGGAGTCGGAGTATGTCTTTAGGCACAAAAAAAGTCAATTTTAGCCATTCCTTAAAGCGTCGTGTTAACATTTGCCCTTACTTATCACAAAGGGTGAATCCCTTAAGCCTGTGGCAGCACAATGACGCGCAAAAATGAGCGTAGTGTATTGAAAACAACTAGTAATAATAACAACTATAGTAGCTACCAGTATAACATATACTGATATCTCTCACTCAAACTTAATTTAATAATATTCAACTCTTCTTTTTATAAAGAACCCATTTGCTTGTCATCGACTTAATTTTTTTTAATAACAAAGCTGAATACAGCAAATACGTATATCAAGATGTGCAAAGATAATGCAGAAAGGCACGGATTTGGCCTACAATGTGAAATCCACCAAGTATTAGCCAGTAATAAAATCATCCTCTTGAAGAAAGGGCAATTATGTCCAGAACTTGTCAAACATAATTGATGCTAAATTCTTTCTCAACAATACTCGATCAGACGCAGTCGACAAAGGTATCAAAGCTGACACTAGGGTTCATTTGGAACTAGCTACAATGCTTCGTGATATGAATGATAAAGCTGACAGATGAACACTCAAGATCAAATTGAATAGATTATACAGTCTTTTCAGAAAGTAAAGTCGTATTTTGCAATTTTATAATACAATTTATACGAAAAATCGACAAGTAAGCGTGACATTTCTTTCTGGAAATAGTATATCAAGAAGCAACCAAAGAGGATGGCATGATTTTCGAGATGTTTGTCAATTTGGTGTCCAAGCTACCCAAGTTTGAACGACTGTCTCCTGTTGGAGCTACATTATTTTTATTCATGAGTCTTCTAGTTACACTAAATAAAAGTCACCTGCTCAATCTCTCTCTCTCTCTCTCTCTGTCTATTCTCAACAGTTGTCAGGTAACAACAATAGCTGTAGTTATTTTTGGTGCCGACCACGGAGGAGTTTTTTATTATTATTATTTAGAACCCCAACTACAAATCTTCATAAAACCAAAAGAAAAGTGGACAAGTTAAAAAGTTGTGTTTATTGATTTGATTTTTCTATTAAAGAACAAAAAAAAAAAAAAATAGAAAGATTTACTTTATTTATGAAAAAAGGATCACTTAACAAAGTGTAATATAGAAGAGATTCTTGTGAGGTAAAACAATCTGAATAAACAAACCCTTGCTTTGGGAACTTTAAAGGCACCCAAAGCAAAGAGAGACTGTAATATCTTAATGACAATCCAAAACATTCGATATTAAAGGGGATTATTATCCACTATCTATTGATCGCACCATTCACACGCACTTTATCTGCTACATCTTGAACTAAGATCTTGATTTAAATTCAGAAATATATCCCTGAACAATCTCTCACTCTCTCACTCTCTCACTCTCTCTTTTTCTCGGCGGTAATAGGATTTCGTCTTTTTGCCCCAGATGTGTTGTGACTTGGGTATCCAACGCGGTGCATTTAACCTCACATGTTGATTTCACACTTTTTTCTTTCTTTTCTTTTTTATAAAATATTGAAATAATGTACGTGTTCTTTATCAGCTTATGAAAAAAACTTATACTAATATGTTGTAGCTATTATCATGGCTCGTAAATTCTTTGTTGGTGGTAACTGGAAAATGAATGGCTCCGTTGCTCAAGTCAAGGAGCTTGTTGAATTATTAAACAAGATTGACGTTCCCGCCAACACAGGCAAGTATTTATAAACTATACACTCGAGTTTTTTTTTTCTAATACCCGGCCTGTAGAGGTTGTTGTCGCGCCTCCTGCTCTTTACGTTGACCGTGTGAACCAAGCTGTCAAGAAGGAAATTCAAGTTGCTGCTCAAAACACGTATATCAAGGCCTCTGGTGCCTACACGGGTGAAATCAGTCCTCAAATGCTCAAGGACCTCGGTGTCAACTGGGTTGTCTTGGGTCACTCTGAACGTCGTGAGTACTTTAAGGAATCTGACGAATTCGTTGGACAAAAGGTTCGTTTCGCCTTGGATGCTGGTGTGTCAGTCATTGCCTGTATTGGTGAAAAGCTCGAAGAACGTGAAACTAATGTGACAAATGACGTTGTCGCTCGCCAGATGAAGGCTATTGCCAACGAAATCAATGACTGGACCAACGTCGTCGTCGCTTATGAACCTGTCTGGGCTATTGGCACTGGTAAGGTTGCCACACCTGAACAAGCTCAAGAGGTTCATGGATTCCTTCGTCAATGGTTGGCCGAGAACGTCTCTCAAGAGGCTGCCGAAAAGACTCGTATTCTCTATGGTGGTTCTGTCAATGGCGGTAACTGCAAGACTTTAGCCTCTAAGCCTGATATTGATGGTTTCTTGGTAAGTTTTTTTTTCCCTTTTGTTTATATTGTCATATTCATCTTCTTTCTTAGGTTGGTGGTGCCTCTCTTAAGCCTGAATTTGTTGACATTGTCCTTTCTGGTCAACAATAAGCTGTATAATTTTGACTGTAAAATAAATAAATCAGGTGTTTCATATGAAATCATGCTCTTGTTTGTGTTCCCCGCTTAAATAAAGATTGGATCTTCGATTGATAATACTTTTATGGAAATTGTCTTATTTTATGCGCTTAACAGCTTTAAAAGAGCAATGGATTAACATGTGGACATTATTATTGGAGCAGAAAAACTTGGTCTAAAAGGTCAAAGGACATTTATGACGAAGAAAAGACGAAAGCTTATATATATAAACGATACGCTTTCTCTTTCTTTCCTTCTTTATAAACCTTTATGAGCGGATTGAATACAGAAACCATTCTTACTGCAAAAGAAAGAAGACGACTTGCCTTGGAAGAAGTAAAGTGAATGACTGATTCATATGTTGTACTGATATCTGAATAGATTGACAATGCTAAATTTGGCTGGTACCATATCCGAGCATGTCTTGTCTCTGGCATCGGCTTCTTTACGGATGCCTACGACATCTTTGCCATTAATCTAGTCTCGACAATGATTGGCTATGTCTACTGGCCTAACGAAGGAAACAAGACACCGCATGATATTGATACGGCGATCAAGGTATCTTGTTCTGCAGGTACTGTTATCGGACAACTTTTATTTGGATGGCTGGCTGATCGTGTGGGTCGTAAAAGAATGTACGGAGTGGAGTTGATGATCATCATCATTGGTACCATCGGCCAAACCTTGGTAGGTAATGCACCCGCAGCCTCCTTTTGGGCCGTCATCACCTTTTGGCGTGTTTTTGTCGGTATTGGGATCGGTGGTGATTACCCGTTATCATCTGTGATCACAGCTGAATTTGCCACCACTCGACATCGTGGCGCAATGATGGCCGCAGTATTTGCCATGCAGGGTATCGGACAGGTTACGGCTAGTCTGGTTGGTATGGTTGTCACTGCTGCTTACAAGAGTGCAATTGAGGCAGATCAAATGTATCTGGATTATGTCTGGCGTATTGTCATTGGTCTTGGTGCTGTGCCTGCTGTGTGTGCCCTCTACTACCGTCTGACAATCCCCGAGACACCTCGATATACGATGGATGTCGAACATAAAGTCGGTCAGGCTGAACAGGATGCCAGAAAGTTCTTGCGTGAAAATGGAAAGCCCATTCCTTCTTCTTCTTCTTCTTCTTCTGCAGACACCATACAGCCCAAGGCTTCTTGGAAAGACTTTTTTCGTTATTTTGGTCGTTGGAGACATGGTCGAGTGCTTTTGGGAACAGCGTATTCATGGTTTGCTTTGGACGTCGCATGGTATGGCCTCGGTCTTAATAACTCGATTATTCTTCAAAACATTGGATTTGCAGGTGGACCAGATGCATACAAGTAAGAAGAGAACGTAAACAAAAACAAAAAAAGAAATGCTGATAAATTCTCTACAGTGCCGTTTTCAAGACATGCGTGGGCAACGTGATCATCAATCTACTAGGATCTGTACCAGGCTATTGGATCTCAGTATTCACCATTGACAAAATGGGCCGTAAGACGATTCAAATCATGGGATTCACCATGTTAACAATTCTATTTGTCATTCTTGGTTTTGGATACCATGCCATTATTGAACGCTCGGTCGTGCTCTTTATCGTCCTCTTCACGATCACACAAATCTTCTTCAATTGGGGGCCCAATACTACAACCTTTGTTGTTCCTGGCGAATGTTTCCCTACTCGCTATCGATCGACTGCTCATGGAATTTCAGCAGCATCTGGAAAGATAGGATCCATCATTGCTCAGGTTGCCTTTGGTTTACTCAAGGATATTGGTGGACCGAATGCATGGATTGACCATCTGCTTCAATTATTTGCCTTCTTCATGCTCACGGGCTTATTATCATCCTTTTTAATCAATGAAACAAAAGGAAAGACGTTGGAAGAATTGTCGCAGGAGGAAAATGCTGATGATGCAGACCAAAATTCGGTAACTGACGATTTAAAAAATTAGAATTTTGTCCTACATCTCTATTTCTTTCTCCTTTCCTTTCCTTTTTTTTTATATATGGCTTCTCCTCAGCCTAAATCACCCACATTCAAGTGGCCAATACCTCCTCCTTCAGACCAAGATATTTCAATAAAAGAAATACTCGAAAGATATACAAACGCAGATTTACTTAAACATGTCTTGATGGCGAAATCAGAGGAAGACAAAGTAAATGACTATTTTTGACTTTTTTTTTACAATATATAAACACACTCTTTTTTTTATTTATTTATTTTTAAATTGGAAAAGAGACAAACAGCACAATACGTTTTAAAAACTGAGCAAGCCAAGATCCATCTTCGTCAACTTGACCTCCAACTCGTCAGAATACAACAACAATCTACATATCCTTATTTGGCACCCATTCAACAACAAGTATTAGCTCGTATCACATCACCCGAAGATTATCCACATTCTGCTCATCCATTATGTCGCCCCTATTTACACCAACCGACAACGCCTGTGTCACCTACAGAAAAGACAAGTAGGAAAAGACAACGATCACCATTTTTGGATGATGTATCTCATCGTATCGTCATGGAAGCATTAAAAGCAAAATTACATCGACCTCAAGAAAATAAAAGACAGCGAACGTTGCCTAAATTGATCACGTCGACAACGACGACCACCACAACAACAATAAATAATAGTCCACCCCCTATATTACCACCCATTGATATCCATAGACAACCTACTGTAAATAGAGGCCATTGATTGGTTCTTTTTTTATTTCTCCTTATTTTCATGTATACAAATAAATCATTCCTTTTTCTTTTTTGGAGTTCCTTGTTCATTTCCTGTGACCGCAAGCAAGATGACCAAGAGAGCTAAAAGAGCGACCGCTCCTGATGAGAACAAGACCCAATAGTCCATGATATAATTGACTGCATTGGCTGCATAGCTTATCAACTTGGGAGGCACAGTGGAGATGGGCGTAAGAGTGTCGAGGTGATCGAGAGAGTCCAAGATCTCTTGAGGACGAGCCTGGACATCAAACCGTTCTTCATCCTTATTTGTCTTGAAATATTGTTGATGAGATGAGTCGAGAATGACGACAGCTGGTAAATGGACCAAATTGATACCGTACGAACGAGAGACAAAGGGAGCATACTCCCAAGCATCGAGTTGAGCAAATAAGATGTCATCACGCTGGCATTGCGATGAGAGATCACGAAAAGCTTCATGAGAGGATGTATCGGTGGGGTTAAAGAGACCGAGGACGACCAGGCCAGGATACTCCCTTAAGATCTCGCGTGAGTTATGAGGATAGATGGTGGTCACCAATGGTTTGCTGTGATTCTTGATCCATGCGCTTAAATCTTGATGGCCGTCATACACAAACTGTTGATTGTCCTTGAGAATGACGATCGCAGGCAGACTCGATAGACCAAATCGTTGAGCACTTGAAGGGTCAGATGTGGTATAAAATGGTATTGATTGCAGGTACAAAGGCGCGATTCGTTCGAGTTGCTCGAGATGCTCCTTGGTTTGCTTCTCAGTCACATAGACCAAATTCACATCGCTTTTCTTCAATAGGTCGTCAAAGAGTTGGTTTCGACGAACACCACGAACCGCCGAACCGGTGTGCTCGAGTGCAAATTCGACAAGGGCATCTGCCTTGCGTTCACCGTGGAATTGAATGGATGTACCGTGTATAAAACTAGGAGAAATAGTGTGTGAGATGAATTCTACAAATGTGTGTCTTTTGTTACTATTTCAATGTAGGCAATCCGGTCACTTTATGTTCATTGCACAAGTCTATTAAAGAAATCTAAGACTTTTGTTCGTTATTGTACTTGCTCTAGTTTACCTTTATTCGATTCACAGTTAACTTCACCCACATTCACTTTATCTTTCAATCGATTTGCAGCCATAACCCACTCACCAGCCAATGTCTGACAGTGTCCGCACCAGGGAGCATAAAACTTGATAAACCAAGGCTCTTTACTTTCAATAATCGCTTCTATTTCTTCACGTGTAGTAATCGACTTGCTCTCTCCTTCTGTATTTCTATATGGCCTATTTTGCTGAACAAATTCTTCCAACGTCTGCTGGTTAGGATCAAGTCGCTTCCAAGGTCCACGGTCTAAACTGGCTAAGAAAGCAGGAAAGGTCTCGACTTGTTTATCCCGGCAGTAGCCTTTGTAGTCATCACAGTTGATCCTCACGAATGCCGTATTCTCTTTTCTATATTTAGAGGCTACTTGCTCTACTTGAGTGGCTAAAACAAAGAGTAAGCAAAAACAAAATATAAAAATGATGTAGCTTACTTAATTCCTCACAAGATGCACAGTTTGGCTGAAAGAACTCTACAAATCTAGCAATGCATGTCAATCTTTTATATATACGCATTCTTTTTTAGATCCTTACAGAGCTCCTGAACCTCTTGTTTCGATCGTCTTGGGATCAACTTGTTGAATCGCTGCTTGAACTGCATTGCTCACTGCCAATAATCCAAGTGCGACAGGAAACAAAAATACCATTTTTGGCAATAAAGAACAAAAGAAGAATGAAAATATAAAGGAATGCTCTTTTTTTTATTTTATAGAATATATATAGGTGTGTGTGTGTGACATTATTATTTACACAAAAGCTTTAGGCATTGTAACTTGAGGCCGAGACAGAGCCACCTTTTCCAGTCCAGTTGGTATGAACGTAGGTACCGGGGTTATCGAGCAATTCATAGGTGTGAGCACCAAAATAATCACGTTGAGCTTGGATGAGGTTAGCAGGCAGCTTCTCATGACGGAGACCGTCGTAAAAGTTAAGTGCGGTTGAGAGAGCGGGCGTAGGAATACCGGCTTGAACAGCAGTTGCGATGACCTGACGCCAGGCATCTTGAGCCTTGGCAGTAGCCTCTTGGAAGAAAGGATCAAACAAGAGATTTTCCAGACGTGGATTGTTGGTGAAGGCATCCTTGATTTTGCCTAAAAAGACTGATCGAATGATACAACCTCCACGCCACATGAGAGCAATGCCTGCAAAATTGAGGTTCCATCCATAGTCGGCGCCCGCTTGACGCATGAGCATAAATCCTTGAGCATAAGACACAATCTTGGACGCGTACAGTGCTTGACCAAGGGCATCAAGCAACTTCTTTTTGTCGCCTGTAAATTGACCTTGGGTGGGGCCCTTTAGGATCTTGCTTGCTCGCACGCGTTCGTCCTTGAGAGAGGATAGACATCGTGCATACACAGCTTCACCAATTAATGTCACAGGGATGCCACGGTCCAGAGAGTCGATGCCAGTCCATTTGCCTGTTCCCTTTTGGCCAGCAGTGTCGCGAATCTTCTCGACCAGAGCTTTGCCGTCTTGATCTTTGTAACGAAGGATGTCGCGTGTGATTTCGATCAAGAATGAGTCAAGATCACCCTTGTTCCATGTTTCAAATACGTCGGCCATTTCGTCTTCTGTCAAGTGGAGCACTTCTTTCATAATGTGATAGACTTCAGTGATCAGCTGCATATCACCGTATTCTATATAACATAAGAAACATGATGTATAAATAAAAATGTAGCTTACCTATGCCATTGTGAACCATCTTGACATAATGTCCAGCACCTGATTCACCTACCCAATCGCAACAAGGAGCACCATCAGGTGCCTTGGCAGCAATCGCTTGAAAGATAGGCTTGATGTGCTCCCATGCCTTGGGGTTACCACCAGGCATCAAGGAAGGGCCGTAACGTGCGCCTTCTTCACCACCTGAAACACCTGAGCCAACAAAGAGAATACCCTTGTCTTCCAATTCTTTGCAGCGACGAATCGAGTCTGGGAAATGTGAGTTGCCACCATCAATCACGATGTCACCTTGTTCCAAATGAGGTAACAGTTGTTCAATGAAGTTATCGACAGCTGAACCAGCCTTGACAAGTAAAATGATTTTACGAGGTCGTTTCAGCTTTGAACAGAATTCCTCGACAGAATGAGCACCGACGACCTTTGTGCCTAACGGGAATGATTAATATGCTATTATATATATACATATATATATATGTATATACCTTTGGCTTCGTTTTCTAAGAAGTGATCCACCTTGGAAGTTGTGCGGTTATAGGCACAGACAACAAAGCCGTGATCGTTCATGTTTAAAATCAAGTTTTGACCCATCACGGCCAATCCAATAAGTCCAACATCAGCACTAACATAGGTGTCAAAAACATGCTTGTATTAAATCATTCAAAAACTTACACAGTCATTTCTGATAAGAAGAAAAAGATAAAGTTGACAGAATAAAAAGAGAGAAAAAAGACTCTTTATATACAATGCTTTAAGGAAGGGGTTTTCTTAACAAAAGATGATGTAAAACTTTTATTATGCAGTTGCATCATGCCTACGTTGCCCGCTCAGAGTGCAAAAGAAGCTCCGATGATTTTTTAAGCATCCCAGTTACGTTTGAACCAACAGACTCTTTAACCCAACAATAGCGTGTTCCTGTTCATGATGAACTATAGTCAAGATCAACACGGTGATTGAGTTGCGACCGACAAGGTAAACTTTACTTTCTTGATCGACTCTTTCCTTTAATCTGTCTAGACTCTCTCTAATCGGCTTGTATCGTTCGTCCTGTAGGAACTCGTGATATGACTTTATTTCGAGGCGATTCTCTTCGTTACCGTTCAATAGGTCAAGATCATCTAGTTCGTCTATAGAAGTGGGTAGTGCTGTTTTGGTAGTTTTAGTGTTGATCCATTCAAAAGGTTCATCGGATTCTGATTCGAGATAGATATTCTTTGCTGCGCTTGTCAACAGGTCGCGTGCCTCTTGGACAATCGGAAATGAGGCAGGCTTCAGCTTGGATTCTTTGGTCATTTGCGGTTTTGTAGAATGAGGAGGGTTGATCATTGGATTATTCAGCATTTGCATATAGGCGTCCTCACCATCATTATTATCGGTCATCGTTAAAGTTTAAAATCGAAAAAAAAGAGAAAAGAAAAGAGCACAATCTTTAAAAATAGAACGAGAGAAAATAAAAGTGTGACGTGCATGACATCAATGAAAAGTTTATTGATCTAATCGTCCTCATCGCCTCCATTGGAGTAATGCATTGCACACTTGACTTGAGTGAGCTCGTGTGTTCTGATGTTGATGGCTGTCAACTGGTTACCATAGACACATCCGGTATCTACGCCAAAGGTGTACTGTTGTAGGTTCAATCCCCGCCCGGCGTCATGTCCATAATAGATCATTGTGTTATTTACTGTCAAACTCCTTTGATACGAGTTCCATTCGACTGCCCATTGTGTGCCTACTTTGTCGCGTGTGGGTATGTTGTGTTTGTCTATATCACGCATGTTCATAACTAAATAAGGAACTTGATCCTTGAGTGCTGGAATGCTAGGGTCAAGGCCGCCATGAACCACGATAGTATTGTTTAGGAATGGAAGATGAAGGATGACAGGACAGGACGATAAATAATCATAATCTTCTTTGGACATGTTTCTAAAAAGAAAGAGTATTAGTAAGGATGACGAAAAAAGTGATTGGTTATATGAAACTTACAATGCAATTGGCTCATGATAGTTACTAAATTTAAGTGGATCAGGTACGCTGCCTTCTGGCATCACAGCCTTGGGTGGAGCCATAGATCCTTGGCCGTTAACTAACTCAAATGTCTTGAATCGAACTAATTTATCATCATGGTTACCACGGACACAGAGAGCGCCCAATTCTTTTGCTCGTCGAATGACACCTATGCTGTCTGGTCCCTTTGAAGTTAAATCACCCGCCAAGATGAGCTGGTCTCTATCAGTATAATTCAATGCGTTTATAAGTGCATTGAATTCGTCGATACACCCGTGAATGTCGCCAATGACAAATATACGTTCCTTTTGTTGAAGTGATGTATCATTATTTGTTACAATTTGTGTCATGTGGGAATAAGGAGAAACTGGATAATTAGAATTATTATTTGCACTGTTGCCGAGTGTATTGGCTGCATCCTGTCTTTTCTTGTTGTCAGTGACAACGACTGCGACAACAATGACGATAACAACGATGATGACAGCAGCGATACTGGCTGCAATGATTTTCCATAGTCTCTTTTGTTTCTTTGTTTTATAATTTTCGGGTATGGCGTCTATATATTCTATACTCTCTGTGCTTTTGCTATTGAAAAATGCCATGCTAATAACAGAAAAAAAAGAGCAACTTCTTTTCCTTCCTTTCCATTTTTATATTGCAGCTTCATTTTTGAATCTCAGTTCTGTCTTTTAAGGAAGAGATATTTTCTTCACCTTTAATACATAAACATCACTTCTTGGCACATCATTTGGACAGTACACAATTTTACTATTTTGTTTAATAAAATATTACCATCTCTAATTTTAGATTTGATGTTTGTGCTAAGAATTGCTCAGGCAAAAGGAAAGACAACACTTTGACTTTGCCTGGAATCAGTACTATTTAACCGAGACAGTTTCAAACATAACCGCTAAAGGGATTTTCCATTTATAAAAGCTATTTCGTGATAAGCCACTACAACTGAAGTTTGCTATGAAATCAATGAGCATTGCCATTGAATCTTTGCTGCCGCGAATATAAAATCGCTCGCTTCACACACAGACACACACACATATATATATACATACGTACTTTATCTGTTATTTGTTATATCGAAACTGTTTCTCACAAATAGACACTATGAGTTGATAATAGCAATATGAAGGGTCCTTTTTTGAAGTGTTCGGAAAACAAAAAAAAAACATGAGCCGAGGTTTCAAAAAAAAAGGATTGTTCCGAACAGGAACTTTATCGGCAATGCGTTGCTTTCTATAAGAAAGCATTCACTTTTAAATAACAGCTAATGTTTTCTTTGGCACGTAAGCATAAATGGTTTGATGATGAAAGATATCTTGTCACTACAATAATTTTCTCAATGAGCCAACAAAATAAGCCCATTGGTGATATCATCTTATCGTGCCTAACAAAAATAAGTAAATTTTCAAACCGTTTCCTTCAGTCATCTTCATTGGCAATTGGTTATGCAAAAAAAGAAAAGAAACTGAGTGTCCTATTCGCTTTGTTTCGAAAATATGCATTATACCTTCCTCTATTGGATGTTTCCTTTGATACTATTGATCCTGCAAGTCAAAAATAGACCATATAATACATATCAAGTAATATAAGTGCAGTTTATGATTTTCAGAGTAAGGGCAATATACTGCTTTTTCTATCCTTTATATGATTATGATTAAAGATGCAATATATATACATTGTTTCTTAATATATCAAACAGCCTTTGCTTTATAGTCATCATGGATAGATCTCGGACTTGTAGTCCTTGTAAACAAGAAAGACAACAAAGTGGCGGCTTGGTGCTGTATAAGGAGGGAGAAGGGGGACATAAAAATACTTTGGCCTTAACCCAAAGAAGAAGATGGAGTGTACGGTATTGGAAAGGATAATAATGGAAGATTGGAAATAGTTAATTCAAAGAAGGGTGATATTACGATACTTGACTTCCTTCAATCCTGGCAGCAATGAGCTCTACCTGTAGCCAGCATAGTAACGACGCAGACTTCAAATAGGGTGGTATAATAAAAATCCGCACAGACAAAGAAAAGGAGCTAACCCTCCTTATGGTCTCAAAGGGTAAGAAAGGATGAATTAATTGTCTATGTATGAGGACATTGTTATTAATTGCACACAAAATAAAGAAATACAGTGCGTAAATGTATTAATTGTAACAATTTATTGATGAAATGCGGGTTTGTGTAAGCAACTGTTTAAATGCGCGGTCAAGGATAAAAACATTATTTTCTATAGAATGTGCTTTTAAGTTATTGTTATCTGTTGTGAAATAGATACCACGGGAGTTAGTTCCTTTAGGGATGGATGATCCTTCTCGTATGATGCCATATGTGATAAATAGTATTACCCTTCTAGCTTTAAGGAAAACAATGATTTCAATGACTTGCCAAATTTAGAGTAGAATCAGTTTTCTTCATTTCCAAAAACAGTATTAACCTCATTCACTTGCTTTCTATACTTCTTTTTATTATTTAAATTGATCTCTACATTTAAATGAATTAAGAGTCAATCATTATCAAATAAACCTATTGTTTCTTGTGGTGTGCACTGACCTTTATATTGAAACTACAGGTTTGTCTTACAACCAGTTTGTTTATGTACGGAGTTTAACTGACCAATCTAGAACGGAGTTGGATGAAATCAATGAAAACCCGTTTTTTTCCCTCTCTTTTATAATATCTTCTTTCAAAAAAAAGAAAACAACAAGATACAAAAAAAGACTCTTTATTATAAATGAATGTATATGCATCATCTTTGTGACTCTGCAATAAATAGTACAACATCATCACATATGCCTCGTAATCGTAGTTTATCAGCTTCAAATTCAACCACCAGTTCAGCTTCACCTGCCTTAATATCCCGGGGTTTCGCAAGTATTCGAAGAGCCCACAGGCGTTTGTCGGCCTCAAGCCCTGTTTCACCTTCACAAGAATCATCCTATGAGCCAATACAACCTACAGTAGAACAATCTAATAATAATACTGATCCTCCGATCAAACCACATATTCGACTCGTACCCAACGTTGGACTTTCCAGTCGAAGCTTTGTCTTTGATGTGATCGACAAAGAGCTTGAGCCAGGAATCCTCTATCGCATTGGCCGATTTTCAGATCGAAATACAATTGATCAGCGACTTTCTTTCAAAAGTAAAGTGGTGAGTCGTAATCATGCGGAAATATGGTCTGAAAATGGAAAGGTAAAACCTTCTTTTTTGTTGTTGTGAACAGTAGCCCCTTTTTTATTGACTTGTTTTTTCAGATCTTTATTAGAGATATTGGATCCTCCAGTGGCACCTTCGTCAACCGCCTGAGACTCAGTCCACCCAGCCATGAAAGTCAACCACAAGAGATCAAAGATGGGGACACAATACAATTGGGCGTTGACTATCAAGGCGGTGTCGAGCCTATCTATCGTGCAGTACGTATCCGCATCGAGATCAATCGTGCTGAACAACATTCGAGTCCATTTACCCGTACAGCATTTGAACAGCTACGCAATCAGCTCATTGCGAGCCACGGAGGAGAAAAAGTAGGTGAAGACGTCCAGGAGTGCTGCATTTGTCTCTATGCCATCGCCCCATTCCAAGCTCTCTTTGTTGCTCCTTGTTCTCATGTTTTTCATTTCAAATGCCTTCGCCCAATCGTGTTCCAAAACTATCCAGGATTCTCATGCCCGCTATGTCGAAACTACTTTGATTTGGAAGCCAGTGTGGCAGTCGAAGTCGAAGATGTTTTGGAGGCTATGAACCAGCATAAAAAGGAAATAGCAAATGCTGCAATTGACCCAGTACCAGAGGAGGAAGAGCCCCTGACTAGTGAAAATAACCCAGTGGTCGTCGTTGTGCCCAAGGAACCGGTTGCTCCTGCATCTCCAAATGATGAAGCCACTTCCGCTGGTCATCATTTACCAAGAAGTGACGCACTGTTATCAACCACATTGGTTAGTCCAGTCATGCTAGAGGATATGGTTACTTCCAATAGCTCATCATCATCGTCATGATCATAATAGACTCTCAAAAAAAAAAAAGAAAGAAAGGTGCAAATAGAATTCATATCCTCACGCATTTGTTTTCCTTTTTTTTTTTCTTACAACACATAGCAAAAGGTTTTCTTCCTTACTTTTTTGTAAATTGCATAAAAGAAACATCACTCTTGTCTTTTCTTTTTTTTTTCTGTATAATAAAACAAATTATCACAAAAAAAGCATAAAGAATTAAAAAGGGGGGGGGGTATTATGATCCACGGGTTAAAGGCCCTTCTAAAATCTCACGTATAATGCTAGATGCATTTTCTGTAGGTGTCCTGACTGTAAGACGGTACATGTTTTGTTCCAAGTTGGGTTCTAATCGAAGTAAAACACCAATCTTTCCACCTTGCTGACCAGCATCGACGATGCCCGCTCCTACAAAATTGTTTGGGTTAGGATCTACGTTCAAGAGCAATCCGATGCCAAAGCCTTGTAAAATCGAGCTTGTGGTTGATAACTGAATGGGTACTTCGCTCTTGAGGATCACTTGATTCTCGCGTGGAGGGCCACCAATTTGGTTCCATCGTCTAAAGAAGTTGGCACCGTCCATATTGGTGATAGGCTCTTGGAACTTGGTCAAAGCGACGGGTAGTTTCAAATGAAGCGTGTCTGCAGGACCGTATCGGATGTAAAGATCGGGTGATTCTACAAACAAATTTGTACACTCAATCGAAATAAGTCGTTGGATCTGTGCGCCGGGTGCAAGTAAGATGCCTGTGCTGTCAGGTCCAAGCTCAGCCTTGACCTGGTCCGAGGTAACCATCAGGCTGACGTCGATCAAAGGTGTAGGCGTCTTATTAGTCAAATATAGAGCAATGCGGCCACTCGAGCCGTGGTATTCTGAGTTGACAGAGACTTGCAATTGTGCATTTTCATAGAGGACACCTTCACGGTGACACAGCAGCATATTGTATCCTAGTTCATATCCAGTCGACAGAGGTGTGTCGGTAGGTATACTGGTGATCACAGCAGGCTTTCGAGGCTCTAAACTCAAGTCGTTAAACATGAGTAGATCAGGCTCGCTGCTAGAATAAATGCCAGAGACAGGCATGGTGGCTGACCGAGTGGGCGGTGCATGAGTCGTGGTCTGATGAAGATTATCTGCCGAATTTGAACGAACGGAGACCATACGCTTCAGGGTATCCTGACGTTCTGCATTGGCTTCTCGACCGCCGATCACCCAAATACGTTTCTCCTCTGTATCATCTTGCTTTTGATGCAGTTTGAGCAGTAAAGTTGATTCTCGTTGAGGGAACGGCGGCATCTCTTCACATACGGTCTGTAACAAGTCATCTGTTGGCATTGTCGAGATCGAAAAGTACTCACATGCACGTTGCTGCAGTTCGGCATCCAAAACATATCTGTATTGGTTCAAGACAGGCAAAATTTGGCCTTTGATCTCTGGAAACAGGTTTGCAAATTTGACATAGGTTGTGAGCAGTAGCGCACGTGTTTGAAGAGAGCAAAGATTGAATTTACTGTGAACAGCAGTGAATTGCTCAATTGGGCTGCATCCACTCAAATTGGCGATCAAGTGTCCAAACTCCCCAAGGATATATCCGCCGACCTTAACCATCGTCTCGTTATACTGAGGTGAGCCCAGATAATTTAAAACTGTCTTTGCTGCGTACTCCTGCAGCTCTTCGTTATTGGTCACGATCTGGACCACGCGGAACCAGACCTCCTCTCCGACTTGCTCGCCTGCGGTCGAAATCAGCTGCAGAATAATGTCGACATACCACGAATATGTTGACGCAAATTTTTCAGCCAAGATGGCAATCTTGAGCACCATCTCTTCTCTCATGGCGTAATCGGCGACTTGAAGATACCGCAGCAGCTCGGATACGATGACCTTGGCATTCGATACGTCACACATTGAATAAAGCAAGTCAAGACCACGTCGTCGAACGCTGATATCTTTATCTCGAAGAGACATTAGAATTGTCTCTTGGTGTCGCTTGATGGGTTCTAGCGAGTCTACACAGGCAGCCAAGTGTGCCATGGTCTCAAGTCCAAGGTATCGCACATTTGTCTCCTTGCTGGATATGAATCGACCAAGGAGCGAAGCAGCTTGTGCGCAGATGCTTGAGTTGCTGTCTAGATGGATCGCGAGATTGATCGCTTCAAAGAGTACTGCGTTTTGTGCATTGCTGTGCTGTACGTTCTTTGGCGTGTCTTGAGAGTTGGTAATGATGATCTGTAATAACTCGCTCAAATCACTGCGTAATTTAGGGTCCTCTGTAGGCGAGTGAATAAAACAATAAGAAAAAGATGTTTCAAACGGTTGGGCGCACACACATACCTGGTGGTGGATAGTATTGTAAGAGACGAAGACATTTTACTTGCAGCCAAGGAATGGGTACTTTGTAATACACATAATCAGCACTATATTCTCTTTCTATGAGGATCTACATCACAATTACTATTACACATTGGATCAACCATTTTAAGTTATTTAATTACCCTCTTTAACCGATTCACAGCCTTTTCATAGCAACCACTATACTCTACAGGAAAACTTTGAGCTAATGTAATCACTAATGTCGTCACGCTGAGAGCAACTCCCTTTTTTAAGAGACAAATACATATTAGAAGCTAAATCATGGATTATTTCAACTCATATCTTACCAAGTCATGATCATCCATCAAGGACACAATTCGATCAGCCCAGTCAGTGACAGGTACCACATCTGGATGTTTACGGAACAAACGCAGTAACGTCAATGCTGCTTTCTTTTTTGCAAAGCTTTTTGATGTCCTTCACAGTAAAGAGAAGAATTAGGTCATTTTCTTTGCTTCCCAATTGAAACTTACGGTGAGATCAATAAGCGATGAACATCAGTTGCAAGACTTTCAGCCATTTCTCTACCACCAATATTAGCAATAGCATGTAAAGCCAAGCAATTGTTTATTTCATTCATATCTTCAAGGTCCTTTTTGATTGAATTGACAACAAGACGAACAAGGTCGCTATTTTCATGAAAGAGTAGTGTTACTGCCAAATATCCCTAAGGCACACAATAAGTATCATACAGCTTTTGTTGAAATATATAGCTTACGATTTGTTTTTCGCTGTATTTTGGGCTTGATATCAAACTAACTGCTTCAAGATGTCCAAAATCAATTTCCCAGCCGAGAATATACATGTACAATAATTTGCAAACATACTTTTTCTTTTGATATCCGTTGAGATTCCCCTCTGTATATCATTAGTTTTATAAAATGGGTTAGAATTATAAAGAATATACCTTTAAATTTTGAACGAATGTTGGCCATTTCTTTATTAATGCGTTTTTCTTCTAGTTCTCTTACTCGACCTGTTTTATAAAGATGAGTGATGAGTGTATATCTTAAACTGAGGCTCATGTAGTTTACATTTTCGAATGTCGGCTAAGTAACAAGATTGAGTTGAGTTATTTCTAAATTTACTACTTTATTTCTTTTCTTATTTTTTTTTTTACCAATAAAGACGGTCAAACCACGCATGGAGCTCATGGTGTACTTTTTATTCAAAGAAAAAGGACAGCTGCAGTGAGATGAGCCCCTAATTAAGGTAAACGTGCTGTGTTGATGATCAAACTCCGATTGATTTCTTTATTAGTCCTCTTATTGTTCACTCTTTCATATGTGTATGTTGAGCTAATTTTATCCCATTACTCATACTTGGTAGTCATAAGCTCGAGACCTGGAAGCTACATTTATTTTGTCTGTAACTGTGAAACATGCCAAACACTTTCTAGTCCTTCTCCGGTTTTTAAACCTCCTTTACCATAAGCAGTGAACATAGTTGGGAGTTACATTGAATGTAACAAAGAACAATGTCAAACTTTATTTCTTTACAATTTCTTTTTTTTATACAAAACCAAAGCCTGTAGAGCATTCACTGATAGCTTTGAATAAATTTCGGCGAAGGTCTTCATAAGTCTTGTATTGAGGAAGGTCTATTTGGTTAAAACTATAAAATAATGATAGTCAGCATCAACTCAACCTTGCTATCTATATATACTCCTTACCAAGTGTGAGCAGAGGGTAAACGATTTGTATCACCAAACTCTTTATGTATCTGAAACCTTTGAACACCATTTGAGCCTTGTAGGGCTGAAAATCCACCCAAGGGCACTTTAGAAGTGCCTGTAGCAAATTGTAACAACTTGGCTCTTTCTTCTTGATCAAACGACCTTACAGCACGCCAGAACCATTGAATCTGAGGCGATTGTATCGTATATCCCTCGTAAGCCGTGTTTGCTTTCCAGTCATCTATATCAATATCAGGAAGACCAGAGATAAGCAACTCGAGTTCTTGTTCATTAAATATCTGTATGAGATTAGCCGGAATAATTTCATAAAAGCCTTCGAGGAACGCGTCTACTTGCGGCTTGATCGCCAATACCAATTTTTGCTGTGCGATCAAATTGACATATTTATGCTTATTAACTTCTGTTACAGCTATATTTCTGCCATTAGGTATAAGGTCTACAATTTTGCATGTGCCAAAATCATCCGTTTCAACACTAAAGGTCAAGTCAATCACGTTGGTAATATCGTTATCCAACATCCACACCAAGCTCTTGTAATACTCGGGGTCTACAGTTTCCAGATCTTTACAGTCTACTGGTCGTCCCAAGATGAGCTTATAGAATGAACGCGTAAAATAGGCGTCCAATACACGCCCGTCGTGTATGGCTTTACCAATCACTCTTCCGACAAACTTGAAATAGGACAGATGCTCTGGGTTTACGCCAGAGGCACGGTTGGGTTGGTAGGTTAATCTGTCTGCGGCTGAAGTGATAAACAGGGCATAGTTGGGATCAAACATTTGACCAGCAAGAGCAGAAAACCACTCACGAGATACGCCGCCTTCATCGACACCTTCTTCATCCTGGAAATAAACCTTGAGTTTTCCATATCTTATTTCATCGCCTGTACGATCTTGTAGTTGATGATAGGTATCTTCAAAGATGTGGTCTCGTCGTATACTGAGCTGAAGAGGCGGAAAGCGCTCACGAGAGGAAGAGGCTTTATGTAATGCCTCACTAAAGAAGGCTCGCTTATTGTCAAACTCCAGAATTTTCGGGACATGGATCAAGCAAGAGAAAGGCCCATTCAGAAGAAGTGGGCTATTGCGAATCATTGCGTTGAGTATTTTCTTGTGCTCTTCAGTAAATGCAATAAAACGCTCTTTTTCCTTGGTTATCGTTTCCCTTGTGATATATTCCTTGGAGATGACCATGAAGCATTCGACCAAAGGTAGTAGGACAGTGACTGCGTCCATCAATTCCTCCTTGTTGTGGATAGCTCTTAGACAAGAGCTGAGCATATCCCAAAGAGAAGTGAAATCAAGTTCTTTATAAAGATCAGAAGCAGACACTTTGCTAGTGCTTTCCTGATCTTCACTACTATGCTTACGGTTGTAGAGGAAGTACATAGAGTTCAAGATACGCAACAGTTTCATTTGATGCGATGTTGCGATCGAGAATTGCTTTAATGCCGATGTTTCTAGTTCTCTTCCAGTATTCAGCTTTTGCAATATAGAGAGCAATATGTTGAGGTCCTTGTAAATTTGTTCCCCAGATTGCTTTGCAACCAGCTTTAGACTATCAACTATTTGATCATAGACACCTTCAAGATGAGCAAAGTTTGACAAGATACTGAGAGTAAATCGGAACGTGCGACTTGAGCATTCGTTTATAGTGAGAACACGCACAACGCGTTCAATATGTTCAGTAGGTATCAATGGAATCAAAATGTCACGATGCATCATAGCAGTCTCTGGCTGTGACTCTGCTTTTTCCTTTTGATTCTTGGCTAAGGATCGAATGGGGCGACATATCTTTGCTAGTACTTCCATAAGCTGTTCCATTAACTTGGTGTTATTTGTAAATGTAGGTCGTCTGAGAAGATCGATCAACACCAAAAATGGGTACTTGTATTTACCATTCTCCATCTGTCCAAAGCTTTCGTTTTCTGACAAAAAATAGCGAAGTGAGCGCCAATTCCATGTAATCACATAGTAAAGAATTTCTAAGCATCTTTGTGAGATCAAGTTGGGTGTCTTGCTTCCACTGCTTTTCTTTTTCTTTTCATGATCGCTTGGTTCATTTGACTGATGAAGCAAACGAGCAAAACTATGATCGACAGCTGCCAAATCAGAGCACTCATCTTGAAGAACACATAGCAACAATGACATGAGATCCGCACTGACTTTACGGTTTTCACAAAGATTGAGTAACAATCGATTAAGTAGAGCCTTCACAATCGATTGTGGTACAAAGAGTAATCGCGTCAATACGGCCAGTTGGTATCGATCAACAATACGTATGGTACTAGAGAGTCGAGCACCCAGGGGAGACGACGGTTGGGCATTCTGATTGTCAGAAGATGGGTTAATATCAGTATGCTCCTCTGCTTGCTCGCTAGAAGTATCAGCTACTTCTTCATACTCTCCCTGTTCCTGTTCTTCCTCTTGAGGCTCTGGAGAGCTTGAGCTTCGTCTTCTTCTATTTATTTCCTCTTGTTCTCTCAGTAATTCTTCACGGATATCATCAGGCAGAGCAGCAAGAAATTCGGGATCAAGACCATCGTCAGCAGCTACCTCAATGATGGGTGCATTTCCTTCCATTTGTGCGCTAATAATCTCTGCACGAAGATCTTCTGGAAGCGCCTCTAAAAACTCTGCGTCAAGCCCAGTTCCTGTCAAATCGAATTCTTCCCCACGAATGACCAAGCGTACGCCATCTTCTTCATGCTCTTCTTGCTCTTCTTGCTCTTCTTGCTCTTCTTGCTCTTCTTGCTCTTCTTGCTCTTCTTGCTCTTCGTGTTCTTCTTGTTCCTCTTGCTCTTCGTGTTCTTCCTGATCTTCTTGTTCCCTGTCAGGTGACCAAAACGTTTCTTCTGCATACTCTTCTGCCTTTGATTCTTGATTATCAGCTAAAAGAACCGTAGTCAGACGATCTGCCAGCTCTACTGTCTTTTGTGCAATAATGGAAGGAATAAAGACCATTTGAGCCACCTGAGTCCAACGGTCTATAGTTGGCATAGGCGTGAATCCTAGTAGGAGACGCAATACATACTTGTCATCCTTATCTTTTGAGAGCTCAGAGATACTAGGGGCGTTATCATCGGCTGTAAACTGGAAGGTTGGGCCAATCTCCAAGGCTCTATCTTCTTCGTAATCCTTTTGCTGTTGAGCCTGTGATGCTACAATGGATTTAAGCATAAAGAGTGGGCCATGGCCAATAATATCCTCATAAGGCTGAAGGTTGGATAAGGATCGATCTCGTTCAAACACTTCTTTTAATCCATTTATAGTCTGTTGATTGGTTCCTCGTAGAAGAGGGTGTAAGATAATATCATCCTTTTCTGATGAATACTCTGGACGAAGTCGTGCTTCATTTTCTGCAGTAAACGCCATTGTTACAGCAGGCATATCAACTATATAAACGTGAGTCTAGTCTGTCATTGCATCTTGATATACACTTACACAAATTGTTTTGAGTGTTGATTGTTACTCTACTTCTAACTATATAGAAATAAGTTTCCTATATTCAATCTATATGATTTACTTACAGCCACCAGCATAGCGTCTTCTTAAAGAAAAGTCATATGATTGCACTCCTGCTTCGGATTGAATATCTTCTGTATCTTGACCTTCACCCACTTGACGATCATTCTGGTATTTTATGAGTAACATCACGTATAGTTATTTATTTCTCTTACCGTAACAGATCGATCTCTAGGAACTTCATTGGTCGTCAAACGCCAATCTCTATCATCTTCTGACTCGACATCATCACTAACATCAGATCCCATAAGATCAGAGTCGTCATCTGGATCATAGGACTCGACTGAATCATCCTCGTCTTCATGCAATGATTCCTCAATATCATCATCCTATGTAAATTATTAGTACAGGTCTTTACATTTTGTCATATTTGATTTACCACTTCTTCATCAGTATCTGGAAGATGGTGTCGATGGCTTCGCATCAATTCATCCATTTCTCGATCCTCTTCGTCTTCTTCTTCTTGATCATCGGGCATAGTTTCGTTATCAGAACTTTCATCATCTGCTTCTTCGACAATTTCTATAACCTCTTCTCCAGAGCTAAACCAAATGCTTAGAAAATAATGATACATAAGGCTCATGAGTTACCTAGCCATTTCAACATCTTCAGCCTCACTACTCTCATCTGTGCTGCCTTCCATATCTTCTTCATCTTCAACAACAGTACTATCAAGCATAGCTAACGAAGAGTTTCTGTAGATTTCGTCAACTTCTTCCACAGGAGACTCGCTGCGTCTGAAAGTTCTATAATCATCTTCTTGATCTTCTTCATCTTCTTCATTCGTCACATTTCCTTCTTGTTCTATTTCTGGTATATGCACAGCATCTGGGGGTAACCGGGTTGCTGTCTTGGTTAATCTTTCCAAAGGACGGAGAAGAGCGTTCAGGATCGTCTTAGCATGTGGATAATTGACGTCTACGTCCTGAATCGCGTTCACTAAAAGTGGAACAAAGTTGTTCTCTAGCATCAACTTTGATAAAGCCACAACATTCGCATCCTTATTACTTGCCGGTGGAATATAATCTGGATTGATGGCAGCAGGCCGAGCATTTAAGATATGGTGACAAAGTTCAGATAACGAGTAGTATTTAAGATATTTTTTGCTACTTCGTTTTGCTGAGGTAACGGTATAGTATTCAAAGCACCCAGCAATGGTTTGCAAAACATGGCTTCGGACATGAGCAAGTACGTCCTCTCGTTTGGTCGATACAATATCTTGGTGTTCCGTGCTCCCTTGTCCCACTTGTTGTATTTCTTCTGCAGCATGAGGCTGCTCTTCGTTCTCTTGCTCAAGATTCTCGTCATCGTCGCCTTCTTGACGCTCTTCATGTTCTCTTGTATTACTAGCATGCATCGTATCATAACACATTGCAACGAGGAGCCCGGTTGTCCATATGTAAATACCTTTCTTCTTACGCTCGAGGTCTGTTCGTGCATTCATTGCACCGTACGGTACCAAAATGTTCAAGAGCACATACACGATAGACCGATCTGAATAAGGCACCATGTCTGGTGTATAATGAAATTCAATATCTTTGGGAACTTGAAATGAAATCATATCTTGTTTACAGCTTGGATAAGATGACACCAGTTCTAGTAAGCATTCGACTAAGTATCCAGTATATCCAAGCTTCCAGTTGCTTTCTTCCTTTGTGGCCTGTGCTTTAACCAGTTCCTTCAATAAGAAGTGAATCACCTTTCTTGATTCATCAATCGTAACTAGATGACCTTCTCCTGAAGTACTTCCAACAAAGCGGACGGATGAATTTCCATAGTTTATGCCGCAACGGTACATTTGTTTAACCAGCTTAAAAAAGCATGACGGAGATCTCAAGAAAGCAGCTTGTCCACGTTTGGCAAACTTGTCTACACTCGTCCTTTGGTTGGGGTGCTCATTTGCATAAGCAATCATCCACTCTCGCATGCATTCAATCACCACTTGCTCTGTTTCAATCAGATGACGGAGGATGATGATGACATAGGCCTGTTGTACTTTGAAGTGGCTCTCAAATCGACGTTTGGGTCGTGCCAAGAGTGCTTCTAACCCATCCCCATGTGTCAAAAATTCTTGCGCCATGCTTCGATGCTTTGTAAGTCGAATCAAGATACGCAGAGTTGCCAGTAAATTATCTTCAGAAAGAGTATCAAGCTTTAGCAATTGAATACAGTAAGATAGCAAGCGAGTCGCTTCATGGTGCTCAAGGACCAATGTGCTGTTTTCGTCTGGGCTATCTTCCTTTTGGGCTAAATAAGTTTCCAAAATCAAAAAGAGTGTTGTCAGCCACTTGGGATTCGGAAATTCTGGTGTATTTATCACCATATCCAAGAACTCAGACCATCCTATAAAGCTAGAGATAGCAGAAACCCACTGAGACGCAAAGCCTTGAACGGCAGGTTCTCTTAGCATAAGTGCAAATACGCGTACACGGTTCACACATGACTCAAACAAAGTACGCTTGTCTATGCTGTCCTTATTGATATCACGGAAGAACTGTGCCATCATTTGTACAGTTTGCTCTGGATCTTCGCTTGCGAGGATAACCAAGACATCGCGAACAACAAGATCAACATCATTTCGCTCATGCACAAGTTGAGTCAGAATTTCCGGAAGATGCTCGCGTGCCTTGTTACGGGTGCTTGTCAGAACGGCCACTGCTGCTTCTACATCCGAAAGACCAATATCGTCATCTGGTATGTCCTCATAGTTTTCATCCTGATCATCCTCTGGTACATCCTCTTCGCTTTTCTTTGCATGTGGGTTTAGTATCTTTTCCATAAGCTGCCTTATTCGCTCCAATTGCTTATCTGATAACCCTCCTTCTTCCAGTGCTCGTTTAGCTTCTGCAGATTCTATATCGATATCTAGCTTGCATTCACCCTTAGTGATCAGACATTGCTTGATACAGCTGAGCAAAGCACGAAGAATAAAATGAGGAAACTTTTGATGCGAGGGACGCTCGAGAAAGCGATAGAGTCTAAATGTTTCCGAGCGAAGAAAAGCGATCCAATTTTCTGGGTAGACTAGTAAAAGTTCAGGCTCGTCTCGTGCTAGTTCCTTTAGCGCTACATCATTATAGATGTTAACCGCAGAGAGATGATGAAGGGCAGGCAGCAATAACTCGAGACACAAGTCGGCTCGATTGACTCCACCTTCGCTTTTGTTTCCTTGCTTTTCCACCTTGTACCAAAGAGGTTCAATAAGATGATCAATCATCCATCGTATTCCACCCATCAGACCAAACCAAACTGCGACTGGAGCGATCAGACGACGCTCGCCCTTATCGTCAAGTATGAGCATAGAGAATAGAACAGCCATAGCAGAAATATACTCGTACCAATACTCAGGGCCATCTTGAATCCATTTAAAATTATCTAATAGAACCTTAGCCACATCTTGTGCGATAAAGATCAATCGACGTCGCTCTTCTAAGCGGAGAACTTCAATAGGCTCCAATTGGATGAAGCTCTGAAAGAGCGGCATAATCACCGGACTCACCCCGCCTAGAACTTCTGCTAGTCTTCTTGTGTTAACGACCTTGGGATCTGTCAAGTCGGAGTGTTCAATTTCTTCTGTCGTTCCGTCACTGTTGAACTTTATTTCTTTTGAATGCCATGATTTGGGTACAGCGTTTCTTAAAAGAATGGTTTCCCAGATTAAGTATCTGAACAGAGATAGGGTTAATGTCTGCTTTTGTGTGTGCTCATAGTCTGTTACCTGTGAACACGACCCAAGAACTGCAAAAGGCTTTCTTCTTTTGGATTTTCCATCATCCTTTTACATATCCATACTATCAAATCTTCACAAATGTCTTCTTTTCTGAGAACAAACAAAGAGAGAATACTTGATAATAACCCGACGTGTCCCACTAAAAAGCTAAACCTACGAAACACGCTGTTTCCTTTTTCAAGTAACTGATGATCCGTGCCTAAGAAAATAAGCTATAGTGTATAGATATATTTAGGGTAAAAAAAAGCTTACCATCCACATAAATAAAATCAACTACAGAACTCTTTTGTGTTGGCTTGGATTGAACGATACGATCTGCTTCTTTTCTTAATGCTTTTTCAATTGCCCCAACAATCTTGACCACATCTTCATTGGCCAGCATCTTGAAGACATCTGAAAGAGCACCAAATGCATTACTTAGATAATAGTCAAATGGAAGCATGGGCAGGGAATAATAACGCAAGAGAATCTCATGGCCATTATACTCGATAAATTCCTTGACATTATCAGTTTCCAAGAAGCCTTCCAAGAACTATATACTTTTCATTAGAAAACAATATGCATCATGAAGTTGAACTTACCCTTGCCACCATTTCAATCATAGCCAACAGACGACACTCTGCTTTATGGACCGTGTTCCGCTCTGGCACTGCCTTCCAAGCCAACTGATGACTATCGTCCTCCGGCTTACCTTCCTCTGACTCTCCCAGACGAATCACACGCTGTAGCATACTATGAATACATTGAAACATTTGGCCTTGTAGTGAAGGTTCGTGTCGCGCCAGCTCTGCTGCTGTGTTGCCTACATTGTCACTCTGTGACACTTCCATGGGATTAGCCAGAAACTGTGAAGAACAGATCAAGTCAAAGAAGTAAGGAAGCGGGTTCTCATCTTTAAATAACTCGAGTCCCTGTTTGTTCAAACAGGTCGCTTCAAAGACACTGAGAATGCTCAACAGCAAGGCAGCGTCACAGTGCCCGTTGTATGCCTTGATCGTTTTCAAAAATATCTGCGGCACTTGGACTTCAAGAAGCACGCTGAGTGATGTTGGTTCGGTGTGCACGTAGCTTGAGTATAGAGACATGGCGAGTCCAAAGATACTGGATCCAAACAGTGTCTGATGCTCCATAATCTTCTTTAGCACGTCCGGTACGCTCGTTTCCATTAGGTTGCGTAGAGTGGTTCCTGCGTCGTTTGTTCGGATCATGCGAATGATGAGTCGAAGAATGCCCTTGACAAGGTTGATAGAATCTTGGTGATGTTCGGATCCGTTGATGCAGTTGTTAGTTTGTGTATGAAGAGCCTTGATGGAGGCCTCAAGGCCATTAAAGTTGAAAAAGCTGGGGTAAGCGTTATCCATACTGTCGAATGCGACATGAAGCAATGATACAGCTTTGGAAAGAACCTGGCATATGTTTGAGAAAAGCATGTTGATAAGAGAGAAAGTACTAAAAAACTTACATTTGGTTGAACACGATCGCTGTCAATAATATGGATCAATGTGGTTATCATACCAGCAGAGGACAACATTTGACTGCCTATAGCTGTATCTGTCAGATAGGAAAGGAGAGTAAACAATGCATCCAGAAATGACGGAGAGTACACTAAAGAAAGAAGTGTTAATATTCTCATTATAACATAGAGTATATATTATACCTGTGCCATTAGATAATTGCCTCAGGATATGAAGCAATATACTGTGATTTGTAGCAGCATTGAGAGTATTCAACACTTCTGTCAGTTTATTTCTATGCCTTGCAATTGCATCTAGCGCATATAGAGCATACGTTTGGACATCCTACAGGGAAAGCATAAATAATCGATGTTACTACCACTTTTTTTTTTTTTGCTTACTATTGGAGTATGGTTGTCATAAGACACAAGCTGTGCGATCTGAGGTATCAAGTTGGGTTCGTAAATGTAGAGTCTATTTTGAACTGTTGTCTCTGGCATTGTATGAGCTATATGAAAAGTTGAGTTAGATCATATCTTTATACTCATATATTACAGCCAACCTAAGATAACAATAGACATAAAACGAATCTTAAGTAATTGTCTTGTTATATTATTATTATTCTTATGATTCGTTAATCTAATTTTATTCAATAATTCAAAATGATACTCGCTTGGAACTTGATGCTTCTTAACCAATGTCCAAAAGAGGTCCAGGTCATCCTCTTTTTCTGGCACGATCGTATACTCTATCGTTTCCAGTTCTCCCATATCCTCTTCTTTGTAATATGACATCACTAGTTTGTTCTCTTGTTGTGTATCGTTGGATGATATTATATCATCACTCCTAGCTAGTTCAGCAATCACTTTATCCTTTTGTATCGAGAAATTAGAGTGAGCAGCGGTCGGATTGCTCATCCGTTGTGCTGGTTTGATTAATAATGCTAGTGTTGTCTCTAGTACATCAATATCTGTTGTATATAATAACGAATTCAGGTGCTAAATAAATATTAGAATATGTCAAATCACTATTATCAACTTACTTCATAAGAGTTGTATAAGCTTCGATTCGAGCAGTGATCAAATAGTAATCTTGTAAAATTTAAAATAGAGAGTAATGTTTGCTTTATCGTCGCGTCAAAGTGCTTCTTTTGTACATGTTGAGTTAATTCGTATTCTTTACAGATATTTTCCAAGATTGTATCAAAGCGATTTAATACAGCTACAAATTGAAAGAAATCACTGCGAGGATATTTCCATTCTACAATCTCGTTTGTCCAATGGCTAATTTGGCTTTGATCCTCTTTTTCCAAGTGCTCAATCACATTCTTCAGTTCGGGTGGCTACATATCATTAGCTATGTATGAGCAATAAAAGGAATGAAATGTCTTACAAGAGGAGGAAGAGTCTTTATAGGAACTCTCTTGATCTTCATGACAGTTGCAGAAAAAAAAAGAAATATCCAAAAATAGAAGAAAAAATCTTTATGGACATAATTTGTTGCTCGGCAACCAGACCATAAAGACGTCAGTCTGTTCTGTCTATATGTTATTCATTTACAAGAGACATGTTATAATTGGATATCTCCCCTTTTGGACCATGTTTGGTCTGTTTGATAAAGTTGCTTTCATATCGGACGGTTAAAAGAATAACAAGAGGCCATATTGAGCAAGTGATGGAGGAGACAGAGAGAGAGTCATTCTATTATCGCATACACATGGGTTATGATCTGCACACAAAGAATAAGGGTGATGACTTGTTTGAATCAAATAAAAAAGTATCTGATCTCTTCCTTTTAATTAAATTCTATAGTATCTATATCTTTTATTCAATTATGCTTTATACATTGTATAAACTAACAGCTATTCCTTGAATGAAGGTCAGTAATAAGATCATAACTATGATTTCTATACGGCTCCGTTTTCTTTTTCTTTCTTTTTGTTTTTTTCGTTCTTTACCCCCCTGTTCGTATTTTACTGCAAAAGTTTACTGCTAGTTCATATCTCAAGTGGGATTACTTTAATTATTTTTATTTTTTGTGCGGTTAAAACAGAAAGACTACCCCCTTGCAGCTCTTGTCTGTCTTTAGCCACTTTCCTCTTTCTCTCTCTCTTTTTTTTTTTGTTTTTTCTCAGCTCGTGTAAATTGCAGCAAGTTACATCTACTTGATGCATTAAGAAAAAAAAGATAATCATGTCATCACGGATCACGGTTCAGCCTTTAATGATCCATATTCTTTATTATTAATATGAATAAAATACTTGCTTTCAAAGAAGGAATACATAAAGTGACCCTTGTTCTCCTAAATGATGAGCATATTTACCTTTATTAAGAATGACCCAAACAAGCCAAAAAAAAAGGAGGTGCCCCCTTTCTTTTTTTTTCATTTATTTGTCGCATACACACATATATACAAAGTCTCTTTAAGCAGTAAACAAAAAAGGAGAGCTATACTAACGATCATCACACGTTTTTCTATTTTGGCAACACACACAGAGAGAATTAATATAGACATTTTAAACTGTTTATTTTGGAAACACACAGGAAAAAATAAAAGTTTTTATTATAAATAAATAAAAAGGTATACATATAAAAGTATTTCAAAAGGGGGAGAATGGAATTTAAGGTGTATTGTCAACATAATTCAGAACAACACCAACAAATTCATCTAAAATTTTACTTGAATCAACATATTTTATGCCTTCCTGTTTATCAGCGTAGGATAAGAATGTATGCATCGAAGGCAAGATACGATCACTGAGTTGTTCACTATTACTGCATACACTACTATTACTGCTTGTTGAAGAGCTACTGCTACTAGTACGACGTTGTAGATTAGGGGATAGGTCAGGTAACTGTGGTGAATAACTGTTACTGTAACGTGTCATTTGATGAATAGAAGGTAATTCGATCTTTTGTTGTAATCCACTGTAGAATGGTAGCTCTATTAAATCAGTTTGTTGTTGTTTATTTTGATATGATTGATATTGCTGTTGACTCAAATTGGATGCTTTACGTTCCAGCATCATACGTCTTCCTAGTCTTCGTGCAATCTCTTCTCTTACAAATCCTTGTTTTTCAGGTGAATCGTGTTCTCCAAACTTTTGACGCGCTAGACGATATACTCTGCATCGAAGATCATTCTGTCTATTCTTTTCTCTGTTCTCTGCTCTCCACTTGCGCATTCGATCGTTATTGCTAATATGGGATGAGTTGGCTTTATTATGAATGTATTTATTTCCTTTTACCTCTCTGTTGTCTCTTCTTTAGATATCACCTTCTTTGCATGCCCTTTCCATCGCTTTTGATCACGACTTCTTACATAGGGTATATTGTGGATATTAGGGTTTTCCATGTGTCGTTTCCTATTTATAATTATTAAGGAGAATGCCTTCTATATTTTTTTTTTTGGGTTCTTACAGATTGGAGCGGGTGGCAAATACTAATTAATAAACAAAGGTGAGTTGCATAATATATATCTTTTTTTTTTTTCTTTATTACACTTAGGACATTGTGGACAAGGAAATATCTTTGAAGCAGCTTGTTCTTCACCCAGCATCATGTTTTATATTATTAAATAATAGAAAAAAGAAAGTAAGAAAGAGAGAAGGGAGAGAAAGGGAAAAGGAAATATTTATAAATAAAAAGTGTTTATTTTTTCTCAATCTATCCATAATTAAAATAATACTTTTAAACAAATATTATGATTTGCATCTCTGTAGGAATTGGGGGGTTATGATTTTTTTTGGCGGGAAAAAAGGGCTCTCTTGATTAATGAACCCCCCTTTTTTTTGCCCTTAGTGTACGTGTGTGTATATATATGGGGGTAAAGGAGGTAGATATAAAAGTATAAATGTATGTCAGATGATAAACATGTATTATAGTTTGATTTTCAATAGTTCATTACTACTAACTGGTAGCATTATTTATGTAGTTTGCGCCTTTATGTTTACGCATTGTGACTTTTTACAATTTGTATAAAAAAAGACAAGGTAAATATTTACTATCTTTCATTCCTCCCCTTTTATTGTTATACTAAACGGAAACATATCCCGCATTCCCTCATAAAATATGTTGTTATCATGTTGCTAGGTAACGTACACTCGTGTCACACAAGAGCAGTAAAAGAGTGGTGTGCGTAGATCCTAACCATACATCCATCCTTGTCTCTCTTCTTCCTCTTCTTCTTTAGCCTCTTGTTCTGTTTCTACTTTATATCGACATAATGGACATGTATTATGCAATTCTAACCAAGGTATAATACATTCTTTATCAAATAAATGGCCACTAAATATTCACATTGGTATGTAAGTCCACATATCATTCATATAACTTACCATGGCATCTTGGTCACCTTGGATCCGTGCTTTAAAAGGCCTTCTTTACAAATAATACATGTATCGTCACTTTTTATTTTATTTTTTTAGGTCAATTCTTGTCATCATGTTTACCATTGACTTACTCTTTTAAATCCTTTACGTCAGGTAGCATCTGGATAAATCGATTAGAGGCAGGTGGAGGCCCCTTGATTTGTTGCTGAGATTCTTCCAGTAATTGGGTCACCAAATTATCCAAGAATTGCTCCTGGTCTACGTTCCCCTGAGCTTGCATTTGTTGTCGAAAGTGATTGAAAAGGCTATGCATATAATCAGTTTCTGGATTTTTCCTTCTTTTTCTTTCTTTCTTTACTTGGCTGTTTGAAGCAATTGTTCAGCATTCAGATTAACATCTTGACGAGATGTTGAAGGATTCATGAATGAATCCAAATCAACATCAACTGTTGTTCGTTTCTTTTGTGTTGTGTTTATTCCAAGTTCGTCTATGTCAAATTAGCAAGCTTCTTTTTTTTTCTCTTTTACTTATATCAGTTACCAAAATAACTTGCCATTGCAAAAAGAATAAAAAAAGAGAGAGAGAGAAAAGGAACGCGCGTCTTTCTCTAAAAAAAGTCATTTTCCTATTTTGGAATGGATCAGTAACGGATGGTTATTTCATTCGAAAAGAATAAAGTGTAACATGTCATACAATGTCAAGTAACAAAAGTCATTTCTTGATAATGACATCAATGACAGAAAAAAAAAAAAAAAAGAGTGAGAGAAAAAAAATTATAAAATGGACGAAAGGGCATTGACTTGTTTACGTAAAGAATTTCTCTTGTATCTCTTTTTCACTTACACAAATCAAAAGAGAAAAAAAATGGTGGGCTGATGTAACACAATGTGGGGTAGTAATCCAGGTATAAGAACCAGAACATGACTTTTGATCTCAGTTAGGGAATCAATGCTCCCAAGTTCAAGACACTATTAAATTATAAAGTAAAAAATATACGTGTAAAAAAAAATAAGGGGGGGGGGGGCAAGTCTAGTAACAAGAAAATTAAACATAAAGTTTTACGCCCTTGAATATAAACTTTTCAGTCTCCTTGTAAATCACTCCGTCTTTATACCGCCTTCACGTTTTTTCTCTTTTTAGGAAAATGGTTTTTTTTTCATCTTTGGCAGGTTCAAAAGGTGTATAAATAACCTTCTTTTTTTTTCCCTCGTCTTCTCTCTTTCTCTACTATTCTTTTCTTTTCCCCAATGTCTTCTCACGAAATTCAAGATATCGAGACCAAGTATGAAACGACCAAGGTTACTACTCCTATTGTAGCTGCACCTACCATTGCCAATCCTGGTCCATTGGGTCTTTGTGGTTTCGCTTTGACCACCTTTGTTTTGTCTCTTCATAATGCCGGTGCTGGTTTACCTGCCACAAGTCCACACGGTGTGGTCACTGGTCTCGCCTTCTTTTATGGCGGCTTAGTTCAAGTAATGATATACCCACACTCTATATTTATTTGTTTTAGATTTCTAATTTTATACATTATAGCTCTTAGCTGGTATGTGGGAATTTAAGACGGGAAACACTTTTGGTGCGACCGCATTCTCGAGTTATGGTGGTTTCTGGTTATCCTTTGGTATGATCTTTATTCCTGGTGCCAACATCACCGGAAGCTATGGTGGAAATACTGCCATTTTGGAAAAATCACTAGGTTACTACTTGCTCGGATGGACCATCTTTACGGGTATCATGCTTATTGCTTCTCATCGCTCCTCTGTCGGCCTCGTCTCCCTCTTCTTCTTTTTATTCATCACTTTTATCATGCTCACAGCTGGTAAGCTCAATGAATCCATCAATTGTCAAATTGCCGGTGGTGCATTAGGTGTCGTGACTGCATTCATTGCTTGGTATAACGCCCTTTCTGGTCTGCTTACCAAGGACTCCTCTTACTTTACTTTACCCATCGGACGCATCAACTAATATCTCTCTCCCCCCCTCCTTTTTTTAATCTTTTTTTCCCTCTTCTTTACTTACTAAATAAATACTAATAATAATTATGCAAATTCATCTTTTTCCTGCATTCAAAAATATAGGGGTTATATGTATTTTTTGTAGATCGTTTATACTCTCCCGTTTATCAAAATAAGCCACATCTATTTTTTTCTCTTTCTTTCCCCCCTTTCTCCCTTTTATAATGTATCACGACCTCAATATACCTTATTCGTCTCACCTTGACCGATCAGGATTAGATAAGCTTAGACTCATACTTTCTAAATGCACTCAACAAAATGAGTATACTGTAGCATTGAATGTCACAATGAACCATAATCAACAAGTGAGAATACCTTATTTTCTTTTTCTTTTTTTTTTTTCTCTTTTTTCTGACTTTATACACAAAGGTTCCAACTATCACACCTCCAGATATATCCACACTTGGCTGTAAATACTCGTTAAACATCTTGAAACGCGTGACAATCGATACTGATGCACCACTTGATGCTGTATGTGAATTCCTTTTTTTTTTTTATTGTTTTTGCTCATTACTTGTAGATCGATATTAGAGGAACGTATGACCTGATTGCTCTGCGAACGAGAAACGCTCAGGTCTTTGAAGAAGCCTGCTTACGATATGATATTGATCTGATCACATTTCATTTTGATGAACGCATCTCTTTTGAATTAGATCCAACTGTGATTCAAAAAGCATTGGATCGCAACATCTATTTTGAACTCTGTTATGCAGATGCGATCAAAGGTAATATATATCCATTTATATATATATGCATATTGTTTGTGTATCATGCTCATTATGTTAAAGACAAACAGGCTAGAACATACACCTTACAGATTGCAAGACAATTAATTGAATATACCAAAGGCAAACAAGTGATTATTTCCAGTGGAGCTGATACTGTATCTGAGATCCGTCACCCATTTGACATATTTTACTTGTAGGTTTTTTTTTGCATAGACATACACACACCTATTAAAAAAATTTTTTTAGTGCCAAATCATTAGGATTAGCCAATGATCAAGCAAAGTTTGTAATAGAAAAGCACTGCGAACAACTGTTATTGAAGACGAAAAAGAAGGCAATAAAATCATGACGTATACGCTCGTAAGGGTTTTCTCTTTTTTTCTTTCTCTCTTTCTTTCTTTTTTTTTCTTTTTCTTTATGAGTTATCATTATCAATCTATTAATGAATCAATCACAAGTGATGGCTATGAAACAAAGACTTCAATCATCATTCATGAAATATCAGAGGCAGAAGCATCCAGTTTGTGTGTAGAGGAAAGATCTCAATATGAAATTTTGGATGAGGATCAGTTGACTGAATACGACTTTTTGGCACTCGAAGAAGAGGATGAGACTGAAAGCGAATCCGATATAGAATATCATTGGTTTCCATCACTCATGAGGAACTCGTTCATTGAGTTCTTGAGTGACAACGACGACGAGAGTTTGGTATCAGACGATGCTAGTGAAGCCATTGTTGAAGAAGAAAAAGATGATGATTTAGATGAAAACATGTACATAGCAAGCCATGGTAAACGATCTCCTCGTTATAGATATCAACAAAACAAGAGGATAAAAAGAGATCAGGTTCCGGTAGAAGTGATTCATATTGTTCTTTAAATTATGCACTTTTTTAAAAAAAGAAATAAATGATTAAAACTACGCCTTTAACTGTCCTTTTCAGCCACCCCTTTTCTTCTTTTCTTTTTTTTTTTGTAGTGTTTTTATTTGATGGCAGTCCTGAAAAAGATCAAATCAGCTGCCAAATCGGCTTCACCCAAGGCCCAGTCTAAAAAGAAAGCACCTTCAACATCACAGTTGAAGAAGAAAGAACCTTCGGCATCACAGTTGAAGAAAAAAGAGTTTCAACAAAAGAAATACAATAAGGGAAACAAGAAAAAGAAGGAAGAAGAAGAAGACTCCGATTTTGAAATCGTACCTAATACTTCAACTCAAACAGCTCATGACCAGATCTCGGATTCAGACGACTCCGATCTTGAAGTTGACATGTTTAATCAGTTCAAAGACAAAAAACCAGCTACTACTACAACAACAACAATAGCAAAAAAGATCCCACAACAAGAGATCAAAGTAAACGACGATGACGACGATGAACAGGACGAAAAATTCATTGCCTCAGAGACAATGGCAGCGAATCGTAAAAACAAAAAATCGGGTGGATTTCAATCGATGGGTAAAAATAATCTTGTCAAACTTTTTTTTTTCTAATCTCTTTTTAAAAAACAGGTCTAAGCAATGCAGTATTCAAAGCTGTTCTTCACAAAGGATTCAAGGTACCCACACCTATTCAACGTAAATGTATCCCTCTTGTCCTCCAGGGTGACGATGTGGTAGGCATGGCTCGTACAGGTTCAGGCAAGACCGCGGCCTTTTTGATTCCTATGCTCGAGAAACTTAAGGCACACTCAGCCAAGACAGGTGCCCGTGCGCTGGTACTGTCACCTTCACGTGAACTTGCTCTTCAGACACAAAAGGTATGCAAGGAGCTCTCCAAGTATACCGACCTGCGTAGTTGTTGTATCGTCGGTGGTGACAGTCTGGACGAACAGTTTGAGATGATTGCGTCTAATCCGGACATATTAATCGCCACACCCGGTCGATTGCTACATTTGGCTGTAGAAATGAACATGGATCTGCGTACGATCGAGTACGTCGTGTTTGATGAAGCTGATCGATTGTTCGAAATGGGTTTTGCCGTTCAGTTGCACGAGATTCTCTCTCGATTGCCGCCTAGTCGTCAGACCTTACTCTTCTCTGCCACGCTGCCCAAGATGCTTGTGGATTTTGCCAAGGCAGGTCTTCAGGAACCAACACTGATACGATTGGATGCCGATACGAAAATCTCCAAGGATCTCGAGATGGCGTTCTTTTCAGTAAAGGATAATGAAAAGGAAGGAGCCTTACTCTATCTCCTCAGAAATGTCATTCAGTTACCCAAGAAGACACAAAACACGGACTCCAAGAAAAGAAAGGGAGCAACAGAGGCCGATAAACAGACCATCTTGTTTGCAGCCACCAAGCACCACGTCGAATACCTCGCATCTTTGCTCGAAATTGCTGGTTATCAAGTATCGTATGTGTACGGTTCACTCGATCAGACAGCTCGTAACATTCAAATCACTCGTTTCAGAAACGGTGTGACTAATATTATGGTTGTCACTGACGTTGCTGCACGTGGTATCGATATTCCCATTCTGGAAAATGTCATTAATTATGACTTTTGTGGATCCTCCAAGGTCTTTGTGCACCGTGTCGGTCGTGCGGCGCGTGCTGGTCGTCGAGGTTGGGCCTACTCTTTGGTTACATCAGATGAACTTCCTTATCTTGTCGATCTCGAACTCTTCTTGACCCGTCCTCTCGTCATGGGCGGCGATAAGGAAGAGTATGACTATACAGCTGAACTCGTCCTGGGTACCATGCCTACAGATACACTGGTGGACGATCAAAACTGGGTGACATCTCTGGTCGAGCGAGACGCTAGTCTTCAGGGCGCACACAAGACAGCCATGAATGCTTACAAGCTCTACAACCGTACAAAACCCCGTGCGTCTGCCGAGAGTTATAGTCGTGCGAAGGAACTGATCAAGAAGAGAAACTATATTCATTTGCACCCTCTCTTAGAAGACGAATCAACAACAAGTCAAGCCGCGATTGAACGAGCAAGTATGATTCAAGCCATTTCAGGATTCAGACCGGCCGAAACGATCTTTGAAGTTGGCTTGCGTGGTAGAAAGAAGCAGTCGCCTGCAAGTACGATCATGCGTGAACGACGTGAGGCGGTGGGTAAAGTCATTGCTGCACATAAATCAAAACTGGAAGAGTCATCAACAAGTGAAAAGAAGAGTGTAACAGTTGAGGATCTTGGCGGTGATGTAGGAGAAGATGAGTTAGCAGAGGCATTTAATATACCAGAATCATCAGATAAAAAGAAAAAGAAGAATTATCGAGATGAAGAATATTATCTATCATACACACAAAAGGACGCTAACACCGAGCGTGGATACTCTATGGCCAGTAACGGAAACTTTATTGAACAAGCATCCAAGGCGCAGCTCGATTTAACCGGAGACGATCAAGATACAATCAAGAAGAGTCAAAACATGCTTCGTTGGGATTCTAAGAAGAAGAAGTTTGTACGTGGTCTGGGTATTGGCTCTGACAACAAGAAGATGATCCGTACCGAAAGCGGCGCGCTCATCCCTGCTTCGTACAAGAGTGGTCGTTTTGATGAATGGGCTAAAAAGAAACACATCAGTATCCCTCGTACGGGTGAGCGTGAGCTTGTCAACGCTGCTCATCTGTCCAAGAAGAGATTCCGTCATAATCGAGCTGATGAGGCCAAGCCGCTGGATCCCCTGGCATATGATTATGACAAGAAGCTAAAGAAGCGCAAGATGAAGGAAACAGAGACTATTGTCGAAAAGGACGGTATGGGTAAGAAGCGTGTCGGTAACCGATCGACAGCCAAGAACGAGCTCAAGAATGCTAGTCAGATTCGTAAAGACCGTATCGCATACGAAAAGAGAAAGGAGAAATCCACACGTCCTTCACGAAGAGGAAAGAATCGTAAATAATACTTATGCTTTTGTAAATGTTTTTCTAGACTGTTGCTTTTTTTATATAATAAAATACCTTTTCTTTTCTACAAAGTATTGTGTTTTATTCTTTTTGGAAAGCAAAAGAATTTAAATATGAAACTTTTCATATAATAACACTTGTATGATTTGATGCTGTAACAATAAGCCCGTATCATTAATTATATAGTGCCCTCTTATAGATCAAATGAGCTTGCTTTCAGTTTGGAAGCTTTTATAAAAAAGAGGGGCGGCATTAGGACATGGATCTTGTTTATTTTAACAGATACAATGTAAGTAATACTCCCCAACGGTAATTCGAAAAGACAGGAAGCACTGATATATGACCACTTACAGCTGAAGGAAATGCAACTTCAACGCGTCTGTAGCAGCTTTCATTTACGTGACGTGTATGGTTAAAGCCACCAATGCGCAGGGGAGAGAGTGCAAATTTGTCATTATCCATATCCTTCGAGTGTATGTGTTATGAACAACTAGCTAGAAAAGCACCAGTAACTATCTTGTATTTCGGTCTATATGAAAATAGATGTTGTACGTTACTCGCTCATGGGCGTGCATACGCATTCAAAACAGTACATTCCCACATCTTCCTTAGTCAATAATCTGTAAATTTGAGTGTTTGTGCGGCATGCAGAGTAACCAAAAACTGCTTAATAGATAGAATCCGGACGCGTATTAATTGAAAGTTTTCATGCCGAAACTGTCCTAAAAGCTTATTTGAACGCATATCTACTCTATGGACTCGTTGATTTCCAGTCTACCCTTCATAAAGACGTGATAAAGGACATATATTCTCTAGATCAGTTAACAAATGAAGCTGCCGTATTTTCAAGCAAAGATTAAGATATTATTGAAATGTATGTTCTAAGATGTAACTAAAGCAGTTTCATCTGCATGACCTCGCGTAAAAAAGAAAAAGTCTAAAAGAGCTTTAACTTGACATGTTGAATAACCGGCTTTCATAAGGCTGGAAAAATAAAGTGATTAAGCTACAGTAGTTTCTTGAAGTTACTTTACTAAAATACTTTTGTCTTTTTGAAGAAAAAGAAAAAAAAAAAGAAATGCCACTACTGTTAATGGGAAATGGAAAGGGGTGTTCGTCACTGAGAAGAGTTTCCAATAGTAAAATTATATAAGGGATCGTTCAGGTTATTTCGCCCGTTGTGCCTTTCAAAGTATCACTTCATCTTTTCTCTATCTTCCTCTCTTTGTTGTCTTTGTTTTATTTAGAAAAGACTCGCGTTCCGTGTGAATATGTCTGCGTTCTTTTTTTTGCTTTTTCTTCTAATCTGATTAGATGCGGTTCTATATTTAACTTCCTTTTGCTAATTTACTTCATCATAGTCGGTTATCCAGACGCACATGAGTTTTAACTTAAATACGCCAAGAAAAGTTAATTTAACTTATATAGTTTCTTTAACAGCATATTTATCGTATAAAGCTCAGTGTTGGGTTGCCTAATGATTATGTATTTCCGAGGGATCATGATGTAAGGTTAGATTTAGTCTCGCATTGCACATCCGCTATCCAAATATTTGTAGTTGTAAGGAGCAAGTTAGGACGTGTATTTGGCAGCATGAACAAAGGTTTGTAATATAAACCTATGATTAACAATCACAGATATAAGGTTAAATAAGCCTTAAATCTATAAAATAATGATAATTTGCTTTTCCTTTTATTGCTGTTAAGGTGGACATTGGATCCTCATATTTCATTCCGCAAAGGGAAATTTTTAATATTCTGATCCGACCTTGTTATCTTGGCAGTTTTTACTATGATACCTCGGATAAGCCCATATCTTACCCTACTCATCACCTTCCGTTACAGCAATACCAAGAACTTACGGTTACACTATTTAATTCACTTTTAGGACATCTACATACTTTTTACTGCTTGGTTCATGTGGAAGCTGGTCTGACTTCTGACACTTGTGTATTTGCAAATCTATATAAATAGGCGAGTAAAGATGTCCTCTCTCTTATTTTCATCAACAACTTAACCCTAAACAATCCTTTCTAGTTTTCAATGAGACTTTTCCTTATTGCCTCCACCGCTCTTTCTGTCTTTGGCCTTGCTCAAGCCTTGGATCAACATGTTGCTCAACCTGCTTGTCGTGAAAAGTACACTGGTAAGAAGTGGACATGTATATACATTAATTGAAACTAACTCCACAATAGTCACTAAAGGCGATACTTGTCAATCCATCGCTTCCAAGCACCATGTTACCAAGGACCATCTTGCTGAATGGACCAAGAAGCTTGAACCTAGTTTTGACTGTGACAAGATCAAGCCTGGCCAGCTTATTTGTGTAGACGTAAGACATACTGCACGATATTAATTGTATCATGATAACTTATTTTTGATTTAGTATGCTTCTTCCATTGAAAGAAGAGATGCTCATGAGTACCATCATCCTGCCCAGAACAAGTTCCACCCCAAGAAGCCTACTTCTACCCACGCTCCTCCTCCTCCCAAGCCTACCCATGCTCCTAAGGAACCTGAGCACGAAAAGCGTGAAGTTAATGATGAGCATGACAAGAAGCCCAAGCACCTCAAGCACCCCAAGAAGCCTACTTCTACCCACGCTCCTCCTCCTCCTCCCAAGCCTACCCATGCTCCTAAGGAACCTGAGCACGAAAAGCGTGAAGTTAATGATGAGCATGACAAGAAGCCCAAGCACCTCAAGCACCCCAAGAAGCCTACTTCTACCCACGCTCCTCCTCCTCCTCCCAAGCCTACCCATGCTCCTAAGGAACCTGAGCACGAAAAGCGTGAAGTTAATGATGAGCATGACAAGAAGCCCAAGCACCTCAAGCACCCCAAGAAGCCTACTTCTACCCACGCTCCTCCTCCTCCTCCCAAGCCTACCCATGCTCCTAAAGAACCTGAGCACGAAAAGCGTGAAGTTAAGGAACCTGCCGCCCCCAAGAAGGCTCACCACAAAAAACCTCATCACAAGAAGCCCGCCAAGAAGCACACCACCAAGGCTAAGCCTGTTAAGCCTGCTCGCAACTAAGCAGTAAGATACGCATCTATGAGCCGTCTTCTTTCAAATATATTTTGAATAAATAAAGACGTGTGCTATTTTTATAACTTATAAAGCGTATTGCTTTAAATTTTGATATTTGAGATAAAATACTCTGGTAAATGTACACTGCCTAAAAATTCCCTTATGTACTTAGTGTAATTCGACTGAATACCACTTTATGCTCTTTTCGTTTTTGCTTTATTTTTTTTTAAAAAAGCAGCTGTGCACATTAATCTTCGAAAGAGTAAGGAAGATACAATAACGCATATGCCAGCCATCTATTAAAGATAGCATCTAAAGTGGTATTACCATAATATAATATCTTAATACTCATAATGTATTGTGAAACAGTTCGTTATTTCCATTTCCCCAATAATTCGTAAGGTGCTCAAAAGGCATCAATTAATACAATATCGCTTAATCTTGGATGGGGAATATCTCTACGAAAGAAGGAATCAGCATACATTAAATCCTTGGCTTTATTTAATGAATGTATAATCAATAGTGAATATGCGTCGCCCAGCATCGTACGACTATTTAGCTGCATTATCTGTATGCAGTGGCGACCTCCCTCCCCCTCTTTCTCCGTATGTATTTAGTATTGATAATGCAAGAATACTATAACTAATGACTTTCTTCTTGTTATTAGAAATCTATCAAAAACTTCACCCAATCCCATTCTTATCAGTAATGATTAAAGGGGTTGTTCTATATACAGCATTACATTTTTGGCTGCAGGACATTATTTCCATTTTAATTGACAACAGTTTCAACTCTTTTTTTTCCCTCTCTTATTACAGCTTTATTAATTCGGATATATCAAGGCTAAACTTGATAAACCTACAATGCTGTTTTGCACATAAAGTGGGATAAAGTTTATTGATGCATGAATAAAGATATTCTATTTGTGTATTTTTCACGGAGTTTCAATTGACAATACTAGATTTTCAGGTGTATTTTTTTTTGTTCAGTACAAAGTGTTACCTCATTCTCACACTTTTGCGATTGTTTATTTATACTTGCATCATCTTTTATCTCTCTCTCTCTTTTCTTTCTCTTTCTCTCTCTCTCTCTCTTTATCTGTCTTTTATTAGCTGTCACAATGACTGTATTGCATCATCCACCAGCAAAAGATAGTAAGTAGTATTGGCGCATCCTTCCCTTTTTTATATATACACGATAAGAAAAAAAGCATATTTTAATGCATATGTATATTTAAAAAAGGGGGGTCTTTATCTATTCTTTTTGATTATTTACACACTTTGATAACAAAAAAGGTGAAAATGGACACGCCAAGACGAATGGCAAAAGCCAGGAGCACTTTATCGAACGCGTAAGTTCTATTCCTATTGTTAAAGATAGTGTATCCATGGCCCATGAAATGGCAAATAAGACATTGATTGGCCGATGGACATTATCTACTCTTCAATTGGCTACAAACGATCATGTATCAAATTATTATCATCAATACCTGGAGCCTCACTTGGATCGTTATGGTGGTCGTTCATTAGACTATGTTCAGTCCAAGGTACCTGTTATCAACCAGCCTAGCTCTGAAGTGATTGAAGCCATAAGACAGCCTGTGAAAGAGAAAGTGGATACCACACTTGAAACTGTGACGTACCCTGCGCATATTGTGGCTGAAAAAGTTAATCAAAGATTGGGTATTGTAGTAGATCGTCTAGAAGGTGCTGCTGACAGGTACTTGCCCCCGTCAAAGGAAAGTGTTAGACAAGCGTCCTGTGAAAATCAAGCGGTCCGTGCCTACAATGTGTTACTCGAACTCTCTAGACGATTGACCCAGACACTTCCCAAGACTCGCCAAGAGGTAGTTGACATTGCCAGTTCAAACGAATACATACAGTCAACCCTTAGTCAACTTCAAGTTGCTCAAGATGTTCTTGTTCATTCCTTCACTATGTACGGCCAACTGGCACAAGAGCGTCTTCCTCCTTCCGTGATAGCCCGTGTTCAACAAACGGCGGAACTTATACACCAGTACGGCCAGCAACTGTCCATTCGCGTCCATCCTGAATGGATCAAGCAACAGCTCAGTACAGCCGTAGCTTCCCTTCAGCAACAGCTGGATCTCATCAAGACCGAGTTGGCTCGTACAGATAAGACAACAGTCGAAAAGACTCGTTTGGTCTTCAAGAACATCCAAGACCGTCTCTTACCTCTCATCCAATCCATCCAATCTCAGCTTCTCTTGCTCTTAAAACAATCATCTCACGCCAAAACTGAATAAAAAAAAGGCATTTTCTCTTAATCTTTTTTATTGTTCACCGGTGTCTCGAACACAACCTCAAAGGCCCCATTTTTTCCTCTTTCGGTAACCATTAATTTTTCATTGCGCTCAGAATCGGTTGCCTTGACAATCATGCGCAACTTTTCAAGTTTTTGACGTCTGTCCATTTGGCACATCTCGAATGAGATAGCAGATACACCGCAGAATGTACCAACGGCCCAGTTGGCAGATGTTGGTATCATACCTATCATTCATCACACATCTTTAGGTTATGTGTGAAAAAAATTTTTTTAACATGCTTACGTTTAGACATGAAACGAACAGCGCCCATGGCTACACCAGCAGCTATAATATAACAAGCTCAATATATGCACATTACTCTTTTTTTTTCCTTTTCTTTACCTATTCCATAAAGTAATGCATTACGAGAACAAGGGATCTTGTTGATGTCTTTGAAATCTTCCAACTTGATTGTCTATTTTACATGTTATTCAAACTCTTTTTTTTTATGTTGTAAAATAAAACCTTTAAGGCATCTACAAACGAAGGTGAATCTTGTTGAGACGATGACATTTAGAAATGAAATATAAAAAATGAGGGTCCTTTTTTTTTGACAGAGAGGGTCAATTTTGAGTCACAGCAAGGTTTCTGTAAGATCGACGATACATGTGAAATATTACTGCTCTCTCTCTATCATTCGGAAGGAAAAGTCTGGGTATTCGATTATAAAATGATGATATCTTGTATTACTGTTACAAGCCATAAAGAACACACATATACACACACACGAAAGGCAGAATTGTTTTTCTTTTTCTTTTTCTTTCTTTTATCTTTCTTAGTTTGTCTTTTACACGCGTTATGAACATTTATTATAATTCTCGTGAATTATACGCGAATTATAGAAACTACGCCATGTATCCATTCTCAGGTATGAAGTTATTCACCATTCAAAAAAAGAGGTTAACAAATAAAACAGATGGGTCGTTTCTATCATTTGTGGAAGATCCGTGTCCGGTAGCCGATGTTACACAAAAATCAACTACTACCACAGATGAAGTGAGTTCACATTGATATATCACCGAATATGTATATATATACTTATTTCTTAGGATTCATTTGTTGATGGTACGGTTGACATATCATCATTCTCTCATCTAACAAGAGAGCAACTCATTGAGAGATTAATTCAGCTCGAAAGAGAAAGGTTCATTGAAGCAAAAGGTAAGAAACACAGATAGGATGGTTTAGGTTATCCTAAACAAGGCAATTCCTTAAAGATTATCCTTGTCGTTGGATAAAATGCGATCACAGATACTCCACACTGGATCAGTTAACTCTTCACATTCGAGATGTTCACATTGGCTCGGGAAAGGTATATCATTAAAATATCGATTGTCCATTAACACATAATTACGTTGTATAGGCATCTTATAGCTGTGAATGGGCAAACTGTCCAAGAAAAAAGAAACCATTCCTAAAAAGGCACAAGATGCAAAACCATATGAGAACTCACACGGGCGAAAGACCATTTGCATGTTCTATTTGCGACAAGCGTTTCTCTAGACCGGATTCACTTCAAACTCATCTCAAGACTCATTCCAATGTTCGACCTTATGCTTGCTTTTCCTGTGGAAAGGCTTACTTTCATTCAAGGTCTCTTCGAAAGCATGCTAAGGTTCATCAAGAAGCTGGCTCTTCTTTAGATACATTTATTTTATAGTACTAGTCCCCAGTTATTATAACCCCATATGGAGGCAATAAAGTCTCTCTCTCTCTTTAATAAGGGACGCACTTATGTAGAGCAACACGAGCTTCTTTATGTTTTTGAATGCGATTTATTATTATTATTATTACTAATTACTAATTACTCTGAAATGATGAAGACAGTTTACCAAATGCTTCCAAGAATGCCTTCTTCTTCTTCTTTTCTTTCATAGGCGTTGTTACCGTAGGCGTCATCGATGGACTACTCATGTTTGAATCACTGGTTGGCAGGATATCGATCTCAGACTGCATGAAGGCTGATTTGTTACTAGGTGTCGAAGGATATTTACTGCCAACCGAATATTTCCTCGAACGAAACGAGTTGAGTGTAGGCGATGCAGTGTTGCTCTGGTATTCAAATAAAGATGAACGTTGGTCAGATGCAGTCGCGGTTGATGTAGAGGGTGCAGGTTGAACTAGGCCAGGAGTAGGTGTAGTTGTTGCAGGTGATGATATCGCACGAGACCTTGGATTTTGTTGTTGTTGTCCTTGTTGTCCTTGTTGTTGTTGTTGTTGCTGTTGTTGCTGCTGTTGTTGTTGTTGTTGGATCATCTTTTTGGCGGCAATCATCATTTTTAGTGCACGAATCTGAAGGCTGGTCTGATGTGATAGTGCAGCTGTTTCGAAAATAAGCGGAGCAGTTGACATGTTGAGCATCTGATGAAGTGCGTGTCTTGCGAGTTCGCAAAGTCTAGGCAAGTGGTACATGTCTGAGAGAAGTAAGAGTTGAGAGAGAATGTGAGGTTGATACTGTTGGGCAGTCAAGAGATGATCTGTATAGATAAACTGAAGCAAGGCAACGACAACAGCGTGAGGATAAGGAAAGGAGAGGTACCGACTTTGACGTTCGGATGATTCCAAGATTTTGGCAAAGTAGGGCCATCGCTGGCAAAGAACAGCCGAATTGACAGGAATTGTTTGATTATCGAGCGTCATGATGTAAAAATCACTGATGGCCGGCTCGTTCAGCAGACGCAACCCCATTTCTTGAGCCAGAGACGAGCAGGTCATCTTGGGAAGAGAATAGACGCCAAAGGCTTCGAGATCTACCGAGGCCATATGATCAAAATTGATCTGGCGGTGACTGTAATCCTCGAGGAGACTCCTGTTGGGGTTACCAAACACCAGAAATCGATTCTTGTCCTTGAAGAGCGCACCACGATTCCATGAGCCAGTTTGGAAGACATTGCCTGTCTCAATACGTGACCAGGTCAGTTTGGCAAGGTCCAATGACCAGATGGTATACGACTGGCTTTGAGGAGACAGATAAGTGCCGGCAAGAATCAGGTGATTTCCAAGTGCATGGCCCGTAGGAAATCGGAGACCGGGTGGCATGATGGACCCAGTCATGTAGCCAGAGTAGTCTTCAATCGAGTGATTGGCGTGGATCAGTTGTAGTTCTCTCTTCACATCAGAAAAATTCGAATTGGTGTAAAGGTAAACTCCTGTAGTTTGATCTTTGTTTTCCTGATTCATCGAAGCAGTAGCGGGGTCATCCGTATTGTTATTATTTCTGTTGTCTTCATCTACTTTGGACATCAATGGCACAGTGGCAGCCATCGAACGGTAAGCGCCCACATGTTTATCGAGCGCTTTGATCATCTCCCATTCCCAGGTTTTCAAATTAAGCACGTTCATTTCATCCAAATAATTACTTTCCAAGTCTTGTCCTCCCAAGATGATCAGCCGGTCCTCTACCACTGTTGACAAATGGGCGTATCTCGATTGTGGTGAATATAATGATGGCTGTATCCTCATCTTCTTCCAGCACATTGTCGCAATATCCAAAACGGCCACATCGTCCATCACACATAGTTCGCCTGTTGACAGTCGAGAGTAACCCATGCCGCCAAAGACGATCAATTGGTTCTCCTGGTAGACACTCGCTGAATGAAAATATCGAGGCTGTGGTGGTTTATCAGAGTCTGGAGGCGGAATGTGTCGTGTCCACTGTAAGGTGTTGAGATCCAGGATATATAAAAAGTTGGTCATCTTTCTTGAGGATGCTAACCGGCCGGCAAACACATATACTTTGTCTTTAATCACATTTACTGATGCTCCAACAAGTGGCGGTGGAACTTCTCCTAATGTGCTGTGAAGTTGTGTAATAATTCCAGAAATGGACTGCATTTGCAACGAGGAGGGCATGGTGTATATTTATATGTGTGTGGATATGTGTGTGTGAGTGTATTAAAAAAAAAAAAAAAAAAAGGAAAAACAGCGGCCTATGAAAAATAAACTTATTAAACTAAAGTTGGTTTCACAGTTGTGTTTGCTTTTTATCTTGGATTAAATCACTGTAAGACATAGTGTAAGAAACACGATCATAAGCCTACACACATTTCCAGCTTTTAATTAAACAATCTTTCTCCTTCCTCCGACAAAGAGAGGACAATGACTCTCTAAATACAGTTAAAAAGTAACGTCGTATTTTAAAAAAGATGTGTTTGTGCACACATGCACACATACTCTTGTTGAGGTGAATAAAAAACACGCAATAAAATCTTTGTTTAAAGGAAGAGTATATGAGTGTGTGCGTGTTATACGAGTGTTTTCGTTGTTAAAAGGTAATTGAGGTAAAAAGCATTCGCTGCAGTAACTTGGATCAAACAGTGGGTACGAGGAAAATGCATATGCGTTGCCGCCACTGAGAACAGCAAAAAGATAAAGTCGTAGACTAAGATGCACGCAAAGGATCACTTAATCCTACTATCATCGCCAAAGTGGCTGAGAATTCAATACAATCATGATCTTTATCATAACCTCATGAAGGACAGAGTGTAACATTTCCATGGAAACAAGAGCAGTGTCACTCAGTTTATTGGCAGAAATAGCTCCAGTTAAAAATAACGAGAAACAGTATACAAATGGGAGACAATAAGTTAATATAAACCTTTTTGGGGAGCCAAACTGCATCTCTCTTGATGTTTCTAAATCATATGAGCATAAAACATAGGAGAAGAGAAGCCCTCGCTCACGGTTAAAATAGCACAAAAGTAAAAATTACAGATGATATTAGGGTACGTTAACTTCAACTACAAACAGTCAATAGAGGTTCTTATTGGAAGTACGATTTAGCAAATATTTTATAAATGAAAAAAAATAAAAGGCCACTGTAGACGCATTGGAACTTAGAATCTCATTGCACCCGGGCCAGATCAAAAAAGTTGATAATTTCAGACAGCAAATAATGATAAAAGAGAGCCCCCAAGAAGCAAAAGAATGAATAAAGAAATGACTCTGCCTAATTACATGCTATTATAAAGTGTCAACCACATTTATCTTAATCTCTCAAAAATATCAAGCTTATTTTCTTTTAAATAATAAAGAAAAGACTGATAATCAAGTCCATTAGAGTTATTGATCTTGTAATGTGTGCGAATAGTTTCTTTTTATGGTGTATTCTCCTGACAAAAAACCTTTTTGATTTGGTCAGACAAGAACTGCGCAGCTGAGGTCGCAGTACTTGGCTGGAATAAATGTTTATACAACTCAAGGCTATACTTCATGGGTCTTCAAATCAGAAGTTTTATATTTCTTTTCTGGTTTTAACAAATTATGAAATTGACATAATATTTAAAAGCGCTGGTAAATGAACGGATCCAGATTAACTAGCTTTTTGTGGAATTAATGTCAAAGGAAGCTGTAAGAATATCAATGATGTTTATTTATTGTAAGCTTTTTATATGTATTCGCAATTATTAACACAAACTCTTCATGCACTATTCAATGAGTAGTGATAAAATATTTTCTTATGTGAAATGGAAACAGAAGAGGTTCGAAGCCTCTAGTGTATTTTTTTTTCTTTTAGTTTAGACTTAAGTTTCTTGTGATAAAGGTTCTCTTTATTAAAATAAACAAATTCAGGTGCTTGAAAAAGCAATTCACCGAATCTGCCTAATCCGTTTAATCCGTCTGATCCACTAAATCAGGCAGATTACTATAAACTTGCCTATCCATATTGCCTACCTACATGCACGAAAGATTCGGGTTTTGCTATTTGCATAGCATTTGCATAATATATAACGTAAGTAATTCAATTTACACAGCTAACAGCATATTTGTTGTATTTACCTTATAAATAATCCATCTTGTAAAAGATCACTTGAAGAAAAAGAAAAAGAAAAAAAGACACCACAAAATGCGTTATTCTTATAGACGCTTCATGCCCAATTCTCATTGATCCGTGATAAATCCATGCAATAATCCTGTGTTCTTATAAAACGATGCTATTTTTAATGATGAACTCTCAACATAATAAAGAGATATTACAGGCCCATCAACACATACTTCTCTTACACTTTAGTGTTGTATATAGTATTGTGTGAGTGTGATTTGTCTAGTGCTGTTTGCTGTGCAAATAGCAAAACCCTAATATGATCTTCATGACTTTTCCAACAAATGAGCTGAGGCTGCACACCACTTGCCAAAATGAGAGAGCAGGCAACGCTGTAAACACCGACCAAACTCCACACTTCATTAAATTAACTATTTTTAACTTCACTTGTTTGATATCATCAGCATGAAGGATGCAGCACCGCATCTGTTTGAAAACAGCCCTATTAGAAAAATGCTGCAACATGTCGTTCAGAATCACGCTCTTTGGACTGTTCCTATTGTCATCACTCTCTTTGCTTTATTCACACGTTGGTCAGTGGCATTAAATCCTTATTCAGGTAGATTAGTGCACTCAAGTGTAGACATAATACTAAAATTAACTTTAGGATATAATACACCACCACTGTTTGGTGATTACGAAGCACAGAGACATTGGATGGAGATCACGCTTCATTTGCCCTTTTCTCAATGGTACACATATGATTTGCAATGGTGGGGACTTGACTATCCTCCGTTGACAGCTTATCATAGCTGGTTATGTGGATTAATGTAAATGAGTTAGGTAGAAAGAAAAAAAGACGATACTGTATACTTATACTACACTTAGTGGAAGTAAGATAAACCCTAATTGGTTTGCACTCGACAAGTCAAGAGGAATAGAGTCAGCCGAAAGCAAGCTGTTTCTAAGATCGACCGTGGTTGTTTCAGAGTTTCTGCTATATATACCAGCAGTCATGGCGTTCTGCCAGATCCTTTATGGCGTGAACAATGCTTATCTGAAAAAGTATACTGCAGCCTGTTTAATTTTAATGCAACCAGCACTTATCATGATTGATCATGGTCATTTTCAGTATGTGTGTATTATGTGCATGGATCCCTTTGTGTCTGATCTTTGTTGTAATAGGTTTAATAACGTAATGCTTGGGCTTACACTCTGGGCTATCAACTGTTTTCTGACACAACACTATGTTGTTGGCTCAGTCTTCTTTTGTGCAGCATTGGGATTTAAGCAAATGGCATTATATTATGCCCCTGCTGTATTTGCTTTTCTACTCGGTAGATGCTTTGTAGAGAAGCGAGGAATACTACTATTTATCAAGTTGGGAATAACTGTTATCACTACTTTTGCCATACTGTTTGCGCCCTGGTTAAGATCATTAGAGGATATTCAACAAGTCGTTTTTCGTGTATTTCCTGTGGCCCGAGGGCTATTTGAAGACAAGGTTGCTAATGTTTGGTGCGCGATAAATGTGATTGTTAAACTCAAGCAAATTTTAAGTTTAGAATCTACTGTTAGGTTAAGGTAAAGAAAGAGAGAAAGAAAAAGAAGCATTCATTTACACGAATACGTTTGCACAGTTTGTTTGCCACACTCATTGCCATTGTTCCTACTGCGATTCATCTTGGATTGAAGCCATCACGCAGACGGTTTCTTTATGCATTGATCAATTCATCGCTTGCCTTCTTTTTATTTTCATTTCAAGTGCATGAAAAGTCGATTCTACTTCCTTTATTACCAGCTACTCTGCTCGTCTTGGAAGAACCTATTGCTACTACTCTGTTTATGAATACTGCCATGTTTAGTATGTTCCCTTTACTAAAACGAGAAGGATTGGCTTTTCCTTATTTTGTCGTGACAATCATGTGGAACTGGATCATTGGTGAGCATGATACAGCCAACAGAGACTTGCTTGAAAAAGTGTGTGCCAAGGTAAGAGAAGAGCATGAATTACCACAATCTATATAATAATGCTTTTTAAATAAAGGGTATCTATGGAGCCTTTTTTATTTGGCATTTGGTAGAGACTTTGGTAGAACCCCCTTCCCACTTACCTGACTTGTACACGGTAATCAATGTACTCCTAAGTTGTGGAGTATTCTGTTTATTGTTTGCTTACTTTACATATCGTCAATTTACCACACCCTTTGTTCAAAAAACGAAAACCCAGTAATAAACGTTGATTTAAAAATGCACAAGTAGATTTTGGCGTTTCTCTCTTCACCTGTTTTCGCTGCGGTTAACTCAAATAGATATCTTCAAATCAAAGCCTTCATGAAGGTATCAGCGTACTTTTAACAAAAATATTTTGACTAAAAACAAAGCTTCTAATTGTATACTGAGTTTTAATTCACTTTGAACTGTGTCAATTCACTACCTGTTTTTTTTTTTTTCTTGCATTCACACATATTGTAAGCATGAGACGTGTTGTCGTAACTGGTTTAGGACTTGTTACCCCAGTTGGAGTAGGAGTAAAATCAGCTTGGAAGAATATTATAGAAAGTCAATGTGGAGTTGTTTCTTTAGCAAATAAGGAAGGGTTCGAAAAGTTACCTGTCAGGATCGCTGCACAAGTACCCCTTGGTTCAGCTGAGGATGGCAAGTTTACATCAACCGAATGGCTCGATAAGGGTGTAAGTGGATATTATACACCTTGTTTGATAAAAGAAGAAATATATTGATATACTTGACAGGACGATAGGGTCATGGCAAAGTTTACGCAGTACGCGATTGCAGCTGCTCACCAAGCACTCCAAGATGCAGAGTGGAAACCGACAGATGCTTATGAAAAGGAAAGAACGGTAATGCAGAGTAGATATATAACCTATTGATTCAACTTTCACTCATTATCCAAAAGGGGGTTTGTATAGGCTCAGGGATGGGTAGCTTGGAGGATATAATTGATACTGCAAGTTCATACGAGAAGGGAGTAAGTTGGATGATAAAAAAAGGGAATACTCATTAAGTCTGTTTCTGTTTCTAGGGATTCAAAAAAGTGTCTCCGTTATTTGTCCCGAGAATACTTGTGAACATGGCTGCAGGACACCTTACAATGAAGTATGGGTTCCAAGGTCCCAACCATGCTGTGTCTACAGCCTGCACTACTGGAGCTCACTCTATTGGCGATGCTATGCGATTTATTCAGTATGGTGATGCAGATGTTATGGTAGCGGGTGGTACAGAGGCATCTATACATCCCTTGGCCATTGCTGGATTTGCAAGGTAGATAAAAGGATAACATGTATAAAAAAAAAGAGATGCTTATCATCCACCAAGAGCCAAATCCCTTGCTGCAGTCTTTGATGAAAAGCCATTTGAAGCATCCAGACCGTTCGATCGAGATAGATGTGGATTTGTGATGGGCGAAGGTGCAGGTGTGGTTGTATTAGAAGAGTATGAGCATGCCAAGAAGAGGGGTGCAAAAATATATGCCGAATTGAAAGGATATGGGCTGTCAGGGGATGCTAATCATATGACAACACCACCACCTAATGGTGACGGTGCTGTTCTTTCTATGCAACGTGCTCTCAGGGCGTCAAAGCTGACTCCAGCAGATATTGACTATGTAAATGCTCATGCTACGAGTACGCCTGTTGGTGATGTTGCTGAAAACAGAGCCATTAAGACAGTGTTTGACGGCTACTGGAACAGGGTCAATGTATCTTCTACAAAGGGCGCAACAGGACATTTGTTAGGAGCAGCTGGGTCTGTAGAAGCGATCTTTACCATCTTGGCTGTTCATCATGTAAGTTAAAGAAAAAAACGCCTTGTTTATAGCTTGATGCTTATTTGCATTAGAACATATTGCCTCCTACTCTGAACTTACACAATACAAGTGATGAACAGGAATTCAATCTGAATTATGTGCCACGCGTTGCTCAAGAAAAAGAAGTCAAGGCAGCCTTAACAAACAGTTTTGGATTTGGTGGTACAAATGCCACACTGTGCTTTGCCAAAGTGTAAAGCATTTATTTATCGTAAAGGGCTGTAAGGTAAAGGTTTTAATATGGAAGAAGTCATATTATTGACCAAAGGAACTACACAAGATGGTTAACGTACGACGTTTCATCATTGGTTAATATGTACCTGTCTTTTGTACAGTCTCTGCCCAGCCCTCGGTATTCCATGCATCTTCTCTCGTTGTCTTTCGAGTTTGTAAATCACTGTATAAAAATGCGTTATTGAATATACTTCTTTGGAACAAACTCTTTGACTTACGGATAAGTCCACATATGATAGACCGTATTCAGTTCCCCAAGCTGGGTAAACCAAGCACCTACTGGCTCACAAAACTTTCGACGACACTCGAGTCCTCTTCTCCTGTGTACATGCGGTGTGTGAAACGATCATATTCGCGTGTGAACAAGTCTGAATAACTTACCAGTACATTTCCCACTCTAACAATCGCCCAGGCTATAGAGTAAGATATAAGATTAAGAAACTGGATAATCCATTCTTTTTTTACCTTCAAGGTATATTTACGAAGTTCATAAATATTATTTGTTACTTTAGGAGGGGAAGTCATCCAAAATGAGAATTCGAGCATCATATTATTTTGACGAGAAATCAAGAGAGGACGAAGGCGATTCATGAACTCGCTATAAGCCTACATTTCTTTGTTTTAGTTTCCCTCTAACGCGTGTTTATCTTAAACCTGGTAAACTCGCTCTTACCTCATCTTTGGATAAACGTTCCATGGTATGTTTATGGCCGGGATATCCCTTGTACTCCCAAATATGAACTTGTTACCCGTATCTTGTTTAGTGAACAATAAAAAGATGTATCCAACACATATACTTACCAAACGTGTCTTGTTCTCCAATTTCAACAGACCAACTTCCACACAAATGTAAGTTGTTTGCAGGATCGTTAGCAATTAAAGGCATGTACTTTGACCTATTGACATTATTAAGAGATACATACTCTTACCCTATGACTATACTTACACCAATTCAGTGTATTCATTGACTTTATCAGGCTTAACATTGTGTACTATAGATACTAATGAGATATATGTGACTAGATAAGCTAGCAGTAACTTACTTTGAAGCTCATGGACATATTTTCCTCTTGCTAATACCTTTGAATGAGTTTGGTTCTCTTCTTCTCTTGTCTTTTTTGAGCCATAAAGGACAGCTTCGATGATTTCATTTGCTCTACCTTGCTTTGGTGATGCAGGTTCCTGTTCCTTTAGAGAAAGAGTAGGAAAAGGACGAGCTAGACGAGCGGTAGTATATAAGGTACGAGTGGTTAAATAAGATTTACTGACTCTTGACAACATTTTCTTTATTAAAAAAAAAAAGAAAAGAAAAGAAAAGAGAAATAAAAACAAAGATAGTTTTTAATTGATGGCTGTGTACGTCACTGATGATTTCTCACAACTCTCACTTGCATAAAAGGTACAGACCGTCGCCTAAAATATTAATTCAAAAACCGACAAACTTGGTAAAAAATCAGCGGAGATGTAATTATTAATTTTAAACTCAATATAAAGGCATTTCCTTTTTTTTTTTCCTCTTTTTATTAAAACATGGTTAAAAATTCAGAAAACGCAGTAAAGAAGACAACTAACAAAATTGTAACGACAGCCGATGATTCCGGCACACGATGCTTGGATCATGAAACGGATACCAGTTCATTAAAGTCGGATTATGTGAATGAAATGCATGTAGCTGATTTTATGAACGCACTTGCATACGACCCTATGTCCATGGATGCAGAGCATATATCCGCTTGGACAGATGCACTTCCCGGAAGATCAGTCAGACAAAACGTAGACAAGAAGTTAAAAAAATCTAAGCGTCGATTGAAACAACAAGAAGCTGCAAAGCCAAACGGCATTTCTTATTCACTCTTACGATATCCACTTATAGTAATTATTCTATTACATAATATACACCTTAGAACTTACCACAGACATAATAGTATATCATTGGTTGTATCATTGCCATCGAACTTGTTGCTTATATTTCATTACGTCAAATTGTTCGAATTTGGGAAAATGTAGTTAGTTGGTAAAAGTAAAAAAGGGTTGATCCCCAAAACCCCTTTATTGACAGTTTGTGTTTCAGGCGAGGTGAAAAAAAAAGATTGCGTGATAAGCTTCGTCAGTCAAAGAGTTACAAGGAATGGTGTGAAGCAGCAGATAAACTCGATAGATATATGCATAAGGATGAATGGAAGAAGACTATTCCTTATGCTTACTATGACTATAGATTATTACAGAAAGTAGTCAAGCATTTGAAAACCTATAGGGAAGGTGATACAGTAGAAGATGCCTTGAAAATGATGGATGTGCTCTATGTCTGCTTAAAGCAAAATTTTGCTGGCATTGAAAATGAACAGTTGTACAGTAATACCTATCTAGGAACAAAGGTTCTTATTGAAGAATACGTAGAGGAAGGTACATCATTCACACTCCATTGCTACGTAAACACACTCACATCTCTCCCTCTCTCTCTCCTCTGCTATATACAGTAACAAGATGTATTGAAGCTCTTGCAAGAAACCCACATGTTCCTTTAGACGAAAAACGATTAGCTTTTAAACTATATGCCAAGAACTACGGTCGAACAGCATTTTGTTTATCAGGAGGTGCAGGATTTGGCTATTACCATCTAGGTGTCATTCGTGCCCTATTAGATCGTGGACTACTACCTTCTATCATCACTGGAACATCGGCTGGGTCACTCATGGGGGCAATTGTCTGCACTCGATCCAATGAAGAACTACATGAAATCTTAAATCCCCAATTAGCCCAAAGAATTCGTATTGTCGGCGATAATTGGAAGGCACTGATCACACGCTACATAAAGACAGGAGCATTATTTGATCCTGAAAGATGGTGTCGAGAGGCCATGTGGTATTGTAATGGTTCCTTGACATTTAAAGAAGCATTTGAAAAGACAGGACGTATCTTCAACGTGTCAGTAATCCCTTATGATCCTCACTCACCGCCCAAACTATTGAATTACATAACTGCTCCCGACTGTGTGATTTGGAGTGCTGTTCTTGCTTCATGTGCTATTCCAGGAGTAAGTTAATGTGTGACATTATACTTGGCAAACAGTTATTTAAATATAATTTGTATAAATAGATATTACCAGCTGTTGTACTTATGCAAAAGAAGCCCAATTCAGAACACCTGATTCCTTATAATTACGGACATAAATTTAAAGATGGAAGTTTGCGTACAGATATACCTACCTTAGCCCTCAATACTCAGTTCAACGTGAATTACACTATTGTCAGTCAGGTGAATCCACATGTTCATCTATTCTTTTATGCCAACCAAGGAAGCCCTGGTAGGCCTGTCACTCACCGACAAGGACGTGGCTGGAGAGGTGGATTCTTGGCATCAACAATTGAACAGATGCTAAAATTAGACCTAGCCAAATGGATGAAAGTGATACGACACTTGAAATTGCTTCCCAACATTCATGATCAAGACTGGAGTTCTGTATTTTTGCAAAAATTTGATGGTAATGTGACGATATTGCCCAAGACAGGTCTTATGGATTGGCTTTATACTGTTGCAGACCCTGGAGAACAAAGATTGAAAAAACTAATGTATATGGGGCAATTACGCACATGGCCCAAGGTATCCATCATATCCAATCGTCTACGCATTGAGACAGCAATTGAACTTGGACGCAAGATAACAAAAGAACAAGGAAGACATGATGCAAGCGATGTAGATACTGAAGATGAAAATATATTCCTTAGTGGTCGTCGTGCTAGTATGCCAACTACAGACGAAGAACAACATCGTCGTCGTAAATTCATGGCACAATTCAATGATACTATCGCATTAAAGAAAGGAGGAGAAGAAGGAGACAGAATAGGAGAAAAGGAATTATTAACTGATGACCATGACAGTCATAGTAGCCATGGTGACAGTTCTAGTTAAAAAGGGATTTTTTATTGTTTCTATCAATAAAATCTGTGCGGTATTCTAAAGAAACTTTTTCAGGTACAACAAAAACAACATTTTGCGTGCCTGATCCGTGTACAGATTAGATAGAATGTGTTGCAAAGAACCATTTTGTATTACAAAACATGGAGAAAGTCAACAAGAAAAAAAGAAAAAAAAAAAGAGGTCCTTGCTTTTTTATAAATTTTTTATAAATAAAAATAGGTTGCACGACAGACGCAAGATGATTCTCCGCGTTTATTATTTATTTTAAATGAAAGGAAAACAATAAACAAAAGAGAAAAGAAAGAGAGAAAGGGGGAAGAATTAATAATTAGTTTCTCCCAAAATAAAGGGAAAATCAGTCTCTCTTTTGCTTATAGAAAGGAGATTGAACAACCGCCCTACTTTGATCCCTGTTTCCCGTTGGGAAAATCTTGTGTTTGTGAGTTCTACTTTTTGTGTAAAGTGAATTTAGTTTCTTTTCTTTCTTTTCTCTCTATTATTTTACATACTTTTTTTTTATTTTTCTTCTAATATACATATTCTGTATATACAATCATAGTACATAATTATTCATAATGCCTCCATCTTCAATGAATGAAGACACACGTACTTTTCAACGAATGCAATTACAAGACATATCTGAAAATGAGACTATCATTACACAAAGATCGATGAGTCCCAAAGAGGCTTTGATGGCATTAACCCATCGTGTATCGGACGAAGACTTGAAACAAGCCATTCGAGCAGAGATCAAGCGACTTATGGCTGATTATGATCGCATCGTAACCATGCTACAACAGCGATCAGAGATACTCGAACAAGAATACGAAAATTTACAATCAGCTGAAGAAAGCTACCAGCGACGTTATGAGAAGGCTGTAAGAGAGATGCAATTTTACAAGAAAAAATACGATAAATCAGTGGAATTAAATAAACAGCTTGTTGGTCGACCACGAAGTCCCTCAATGGACTCAAACAACTCATCAAGCTATGACGGTTCTAGGATGCCTTTCATCCCTTCACCTTTTTTATTCGCGCCTGCCCCTCCGCCAGAGCCTGTTGCCCATGCATTCTATCACTCACCCCCACCACCTATTCCCCAAAGCCCACCTCCCTTACCAGATATGCGAAGTCGTCATCTTTCTCGATCCTCATCTTCGTCCACGTCCTCTTCTTCTTCCAACAATCTCACAAGTAATAACAGCAATAATAGCAACTGGGCCTTTGATTCTTTACCAACCCCACCATTACCTCGTATTCGACAAAGCTCTACAATCAGTGGTAATTCAGATAATGATAAATCAATGCAAGCCAGAAAAGGTTCTTGGTCAAACGAGTCGCCTACTACTGCCAATCGAACAGTGAATGTCGGCCATTTGAATCCTCCAATCATTCAACAGCGTAAAGTAGATCCAATTGCATTTGGTGGATCTGATGCACTTTGGGATACTATTGCTAAAAGTAAATCTGTGGACGCAACTTTGGAGAAAATGATAAGGTAAGCAATAATCAGGAACAAAGATTGTTTAGGGAGATACTAACTTTATTATGCAAAAAGTAATTTCCTGAGAAGAGGTGGATCTCCTAATACAGCAAAGCAATCACCAAGTTTTAAAAATATAAAGTATGGTTATGGTATGCTACATGCCATGATAGCTATCAAGGCAACATCGTGTATAGACTTACTGCTACAGCATGGAGCAAATCCTAATGCGATGACACTAAGCGATGTAGAAGAAGACAAGATAACTCCAGTTTATTTAGCTGCAAGTATGGGCTGGCTCCCAGGTTTGCAAACTTTAATTGAGGCTGGTGCAGACCTCGTGATGGCGAGAGGTGCAGGTGTCAAGAATAAAACGGCGCTTCATGTCGCAGCCGAGCACTGTCATATCACCGTTGTAGAGTATATTATCTCGATGACATCTCCAAAATACCACCTACAGGTTGATACAGCAGGTAAGAAAAAAAAAATATGTTTAGTCAATATTAATTCATTTGTACTAGGCGCGAGTGCTTTACATTATGCTGCTGCTTCCGGGCATGCGGACCTCGTTGCCTTTCTAGTACAAACATGTCAACTACCAGTAGAACAAGCAGATACGAGAGGTGAAACACCTTTACATTGGGCATCAAGATATGGACACCTTGAAGTAGCATCTTTATTGATTGAACGATGCGGATGTGATTTCAACTCTTATGTTCCCCGAAAAGTAATTACACCACTGGACCTCGCTAAGGCTGGTAATCACAAACGCTTAATGGAGTATTACAAAAAGATTGGAGCATTAACGACAAAAAAAATGGATAAGAAGAGAGAAGAGGAGCTGGAGAAAGAAGTACCTATTCATTTGGAATCTGCATTATCAAGAAATGGTTTATTTGGGTTTTAATTAAAAAAAAAAAAATAATAAAAAGTAGTATTCGTTTTATTCTTACAAGATGTTATGGACAGTGCATTAAATCCAGGAACACCGTTACTGTTTTGGAGGCCTTTCATTGATATATATTATTCACCGCATATGTATCGCTATGAAATAGGGGTGTAAAAAGACTCTTTATTTAGAGTAGTTCTTGGTGCACTCAATTATCAAAATTGTAAAGTGATGTTTATGGCGAGTTTAGTGCGATTGCCGTTCACCCGACCCAATATCCAGAAGTATTCTAGTTGCAGCATATAACTATCGTCTACATATTATTGTTTATGAGACAAAATGGCACAGCCTTGAAGATGCCTTTGACAGAACAAGACATTTTCGGCTTCGAAAAGATTGACTGGAACGACTTGTGTGACGTATGATCAAATGCATTTTTGACTTCACAACACGAAAAAAAAGGTTAAAAAAGAATATGTCACCTTAATACACATAAGCTATTTTTGTTTCTTTATTTACGGGTCATCATTGAAAACAGCATTAGTTTCAGGGCCTGCGTTACTTACCATTTTCTTTGCTGAAAGGCTGTATGCTTTGTTTCTGAACCTTATTTGGCCTGGCTTTTTGCGTCTTGTCCAACTTGAATGACAGTAAAGCAAAGTATACTTTTTCTTACTTCTTTATTATCAGGTACTTGCTGCTTTTTGCTTCACCGTGTCGACCATCTGGGCCAACTTGATTTCTAAAGAAGTAATACAGCTCCTATTGCTCTTGTTTTGCTTCAGCTGGCAACGATAATAAGAGCCACGAGATTTTACTGAAATCCCTTTTGCAACCTTCAAGCTAAAGTGTAACGGGTTCCTTCTGATTACCATGCTTTTTATAGAATTGTTTTTGTATCCTCCTGTACTAATTATATATTCCCGCTGAGTACATTATTTGATGATAATAAACAATGCGAGCAGTCCCGCAATTGACATCATTTACAAGAACGCGAAGTTGCTGTTGGATGTGGTCAGTCAGTTGGCGTTAGATAGATACATTGCTACATATGTATCCTTCTGCTAGCTTATGTAGCTTTTTTTAGTTTAAACACGGAGCAAGCATCAAAAGTCTTCTTCAGTACCAACTGGATGATTAAATTGTTCCTCATTACACTTGTATCAAACTACTACTTCCAGGGCAAAGTCTTGTAAGGATTAAAGAAAAGTATTTGTTTTTGTTGTTGATTTTTTGAAACACCGCTTAAGGTGGATGTGGAAACCTGTGTGAAACAATAACCTCACAACATCACGTTCCTTATTTTAGATACTTTTTTTTTCCTCTTGTCTTCCTTTCTTCCTTCCTCTTCCCCCCTTTCTTTTTCTTTTTTCTTTCTAAATATAAACAAGTTACTTTTTATATAATGGTACTTGGTGTTAGTAATCCTTTTAGGTCAAAATGGAAACAAAAGTCGACAACTATTGAAATGAAGGACGAAAGCAGTACAGCTGATTCCAAAAGAACCTCGGCTAAAAAAAGTAAAGATAAGACTGCACCGTTTAATTCGGATAGTCTGTTGAATGGAATTGGTGATTATATATTTCAATCCTCTTTGGGTGATGGAAAATTTAGTAAAGTCATCTTGGCCAAACATTATCTTTCAGGAGAATTAGTGGCAATCAAGGTAATAGATAGTGTCACTAGAATTTACTCCTTACCCACTCTGATTAGATGATTAATAAAAGGGCTCATGAATATCGTGTTATGTCAAGGCTTGTCCGAGAAATATCATTAATGGAGATTTTGGATCATGAAAACATTGTTCATCTAAAAGAGACGATTGAGACAGCCGATGCACTCTATCTCGTTATGGAGTATGTCAAGGGGCACAACTTGGAAGAATATCTAAAGTCATTAAATAAAAGTTATTTGCCTGAACATGAAGCAAGACTTATCTTTCGTCAGCTGGTAAAGGCGGTAGATCATTGTCATTCAAAGTGGGTGGTACATCGAGATTTAAAGGTAAATTCAGAATCATATATACGTAATCTTTGTATAATAACTATCGTCCGTAGGCACCAAACATATTGCTAACACCTGAACATCAAGTAAAATTAGCTGACTTTGGTTTAGGAAATAGATTTGGTTTACATCGTCTAAATACAATCTGTGGTACTTGCAATCACACATGCATTGGGTCACGTTACTTAAAAACTTTTGCTATATATAGGCTCTATGCTCTATTACAGTCCTGAAATCATCAGTGCAAGAGCTTATGTTGGCCCTGAAGTCGATTGTTGGTGTCTTGGCATCATCTTGTTTAGAATGACTGCAGGCTATGAACCATTTGCCCATGCCAAAAGTAAGAAAAAAGAGACAAGCGTACGAAACTATAACTAATTTTTTTTTTTCTCTAGCTGTTTCTGAACTCAAGAAATATGTCATTGGCAGACATTATAAAATACCCACTCACCTGAGTCCTGCGTTACAGGACACTATCCAAAAATGTCTATCCGTTGAAAAGTACGAAAGATTATGTTTACGTTCGTGCCTTAGTGGCGATCCTTGGCTGAACAACTACGGTGAATTAGAAGACGTATTTAGTGAGCGTATCCAAAGTCCTTTTTATCATGCCATTGAAGCGACTGAAGCCTACGCTGCATCGGGTCGAGCTGATGATAAGGCAAAACTACAGATCGCTTCAAAAAACACAAAGATGGTCTGTAAGCGTGATCTGGAGGAAGAGAAAAGAAGAGGAAATAAAGTTCCCAAGACGATCATCTATCACATTACTAATCCTTCGACCTACTTTACTGGACAAGCACCACACTCATCCAAGATGCCTATCGACTTGGACGCACAATCTGTCGTTCGTTCAGAGTTACATCAGAACATTATGGTTTCACTAAAACAAATCAAGCTACAATCTATACACCAATTGACGGAATTAAAATCCCCTATTAGCCATCTATTTCGCAAATTTAAACGAGCCGATATCGTGATTGATCAGCATACCGAGCCAAAACAGATTAGGAAGGCAGCATCTGCACTCAGCCTGTCGCAGATCTATCAACGCGTTACCAAAGACCATATTAGCTACTATACCCTACAGTGCAAAGTTAGAAGCGGATCTTCAACTACAGTCGTATCAGGTTATTCTACGACATCTTCCACACTAACTGCTGTCGAACGAAGACCCAGACGACTCTCTCACCGTGTGTCAGTCACATTTAATGCACAACAGCAGCCCCAAGCACAGTCAAAGGATGAGGAGCATGAACAGAGCCAAGAAGAAATGATCAAGATGATACGACTCGTATGTGAACTGCTTGGTATTACCTACTACCAAAATTCGAGTCACCAACTTGTATGTCTACTTACTTTACGAAATTTCAAAAAACCAACACAATATGCCACTACGTCAAATGGCTCATCACTATTTCGATCCAAACTATTCAGCTCAAACGATAAACTGTCCGAGATGCATCGACAACATCAAAAGGCAACAACTTCATCCTTTGCAAGCGTTAATTCTGCTAATCCAAGCTCAATTCAGCACATTCATCCGGGATGGTGGACAAGACAAGTACAGCGACTTTCATCTAATCACTCTTTACTTACCTCTTCTTCAGCAGCTGTTGGCATGATGCTCAATAAGAAGAGGAGTAGTCATGACCTACTTTCGATGGGAAGAATGACACAGGAACAGCAGATGAAACTACAGCCTTCAAATAGTGAAGAAGATAATAATGATGGATATGTTATATTGACAATAGATGCACTATCAGTTAATCATCAAAGTCATGATGAAGGACAGATTGTCGCCGTCAGATACTCAAAAGTGAAAGGATCAACCAAAGTATTTAAGCTAGCCAAAGGTTGGATTCAAATGATATTAAAGTCTCCATCGACAGACATAAGATCCGTAACAGCCAAAAGCAGCTATGACTGTGTAAGTCAGCATGCACAATATACCACTGCTACTAGCACCACCACCACATCCATTCACTAAATATTGTACATCATATTACTTAATTGTCATCACATTTTATATCTCTTATTTGTATATGTCGCATATGTGTATGTATTACTAGTAAATAAACAACAACCTGTATTTCTTACAAATGAAGGGGGGATTATTTAAACAATATTCATAAATGTTGATGAGCAAGTTTTTGTGTGTGTGTTTTTCTTGTTTTTATTGTTTCTTTGTACTTGCTCTTTAAATTATTGGTATAAATAGCTGGTTTCTACATAGAAAGAGGATGATGATATAATGAGCGGTATATGAGATGTGTAATAAGGATTCATAATAGGTAAAAGAATGTGTATTTTTCATATAAACTCTATGAATGAAAGTGACCTTGTTCGACTAGAGCTTGTATAAATGATTCAATAAAAGGTATATAGTTGTGTCTCTTTCGGATATAGTTCTTTTGGTATATTTCATCTTTTTCGTCCTCCAAGCCAAGCTGTTCGTACAGCCTTAGGATCTCATCATGTATCTGTAGCCAAGTATCTATCAAGCTTCCTTGTTTATTATGACTGAGTGAACTGTAGATTTTCTGTTTTTCCTCATTCGGCAGTTGATCAGATCGACTACAATGATGTGCTAATCTGTCAGAAAGAAGTAGGCCTCTTTTAATCCTTTCCTATATTCTGGATTAATTTTTGGGTGATCAGTCAAACACCTATTACTCTTCTTTTTTACACTGCTACTAAGTGCATGCACGTATTCTTCTTCCCAACGTTGACAACTTTTTCTCCAATCAGGTTGATGCTTATCAAGCATACTCTCTATCGCTTGTTTCATAAATAACTTACTGGTCACCTTTTTTTGGTATACTAGCTTTCTACTTTCTATCACAGCCCATATGGAAATAGGCAAGTCAAGCTCTTGGTACCTATCAACCTTTGCTTAGTCATCCCTCCCTTTTGTATAATATATGTGTTTGTGCGTACATCTTGGCTTTTTTTACCAGCTCAGCTTGCATAAAATCCAGCCAGTTATCTTCGTTGCATGACGCTAAGATGCATGGACCATCCTTTAGGGCGTCAAGTTCCCATAGATTACCTTGACGCAGTACATATGAGACCGGATGATACATTGCGCCATCCACTTTCCGACGATATGGCCATGCACTTTAATGATTTATTAGATTATAATCCCCTCCCTCGCGCGCAAGATATATACACTTACTTTATCATCTCACTATAAGCTTCTCTAAACAGCCTATTTTTTAATAGAACGTGACCCTTGAGCTATATATATATATATATAGATACATATAAATATATGTATATTTATAGGATCAGTAAAGGGTTTCAACGTGTTCAAATTATTACTTACTTTTGAAGTATAATTGCTTGTGAGCTGCTTAAATTGGTTTAGATCAGTGCCGATATCGATTTGATTACAGTTTAATAATATGTGCAATAAGCCATGAAGGAGATAAGCCTCGCTATACATCTAATAAAGGTCTTGTTATTTTTTATTTCTATTGACACACAATGAGCATACTTGATTTGCAAAGAATAAATTGTAATCGCCTCTATTTGATTGTTCATTTTTTGATATGATTGTGTCTGCATTGTGCTTTATCAACATCATAAATCCGTATATAGGCCTATGTTACAGTTATCATCTATTTATAAATTTCATTCTTTTTAATAAATACTTGCCTCAGGTTGAATAGATGATCACCCAAGTTCACTTTTTGAACCTCAACATTTTGAACTCCTATTTTCAGGCAGAACTGTGTCAGTGTGCCTGAAGGTTAAAACAGAATGAGTAATGTTCATGAGCAACAAAAAGTTTGAAATGTACCTTCGTCAGAGTCAATATACCTCCACAAGCGGGCCTCGGCTGAAGAGGTATCTTCCGACATGCTTGTAGAAAAGAAAAAAGTGAAAGAAAAAAATAAAAAGAGAGAGAGAGAAATACAAACAAAAGAACACACACATACACACAAATCATAAATAATCGATGACGCATAAATATCCATGCTTGCATTTTTTTGATCTACCAAGAAAGTAGGAAGGGGATCACAGGGCTTTCTACGGATTGTCGGTACCGTATACTTTGGCGTCCCTTTTTTTTCCCTTTTTGCTTCTGTCTATCTATTCCCAATTTAAGGAAAAAGGGAGATGTATCCTTATATATGAAGCTCCTAGTCTAGACTTATGCACGAGTCAACTAGGAGAAGAAGAAAGAAGGAAATATCAAGAACTGCTTGAATATTGACATAGCGTCGGGCTCTCTGATATAGTTTGACTATGGCTGCATGTGAAGCAATGTACATTTTGGAGGACGTGCATATTTCATGCATCAACTGCTTTAACCAACTTTGCTCAAGGAGTGTATTATCCTTGAATGATGATCGATATATACTTGCAACGTGTTGGTTGTTCTAAGGTCTTTTTATCATCTTTATCGCAATATTTAAACATGACAATGTCAAATACAGAAGCTACATTTAAAACTATAAAGACGCTTCAATGAACTGCTTTAGAATCCTTTTGAATAATCACAGAGAAGTAGCTTAAAGTAAAATACTTGGCATATCCTAAAAGAAGTAAGAGAAAGCATGTACCAAAATAAACACGCTCTAGTCTTTAATGTTTTATAATGAATAAAATTTGATGACGCTTTTGCTAGGGTTTCAGTGTAAAATGTCTCAAAATTCATGACATTTAAAAGAATAATTTATTCTATTTTCTACTTTCTACTTTCTATCAAAATGAAAAATACAGACACTAGTTTACAAAAACTAGATAAAAGGGCTGCCGAAGCTTTTCCTATGTCGGGTAAATCGTTTGAAAATGTAGATCGACTTCACATTACTAACATGTTTCAAACTAACGCGCCAAAAGCATCCTCCAATATAACATTGGGAGAAAAGAAGGATAGCACTACCCAAGATATTTCTTCTCCTGCCATCCATGTGAGTCCAAAAGATATTCTTAGCGAAATCGCTACATCGGTTGCTCGCAATCAAAAGAAGAATGTGGTTGTGTCGTTCTTGATGCAGTTATTTAGAAAGACACGAAAAGATACAGTAGGGTTTGATGATGATCAAGTTGATCATAAATTGATATACGAGCAGCTTCAGAAGGCCGATCTGTCAAGAGAATTTATACTAAAATTGGATATTCTTTTTGAAACAAGCGGCAAGTACAAAGATAACAAATGATTAGCTCATAATATTCATGATTCCGTGTAGAAGAAACGTTGGGTCGTGGCGGTGGTGGTAGTGTCAAAGCGATCCGAATGTTTGGCATACAAAAACCTTACGCGGTCAAAAGGTTTCGGAAACGAAAGCAAGGAGAAAGCAAAGAGCGCTATTTTGAAAAAATTTGCAAGGAGTTCCGCATTGGAAGATTGTGTTGCCATGACAATGTGATTCAAGTGCTTGATTTGATAGAGATTGGTCAGACATTATATCAAATCATGGAATATATACCATTTAGCTTGCATGCGTCCATAGCGAGTGGTAAAATGACAGCCGAAGAAATCAACTGTTGCTGGCGTCAGCTACTTCAAGGCCTCCAGTACTTGCATTCAATAGGCATTGCCCATAGAGATATTAAGATGGATAATCTAGTAATAGATGAAAAGGGAATCGTCAAACTTGTAGATTTTGGATGCGCTGTGCCTTTCAAAATCCCCAAGAAACCAAACGTTTATATGTCTTCAGGTAATACATTATCAGCACTTTCCCCATTTTCTTAATCCTTTTCATGTAAAAAGGCGTGTCCGGTTCTAATCCTTATATTCCTCCTGAGCAATTTGCGAATGCTTACTACAACCCATGTCAAGGAGATGTATGGTCTTCTGCAATCGTCTATGTTACTATGGTGACTCATAAGTTTCCTTGGATTGTTGCTCGCCCTGAAGAAGACTTGTCTTATGCACGCTACTTGCGTGAAAACGGTAAACATGTGTTTGTAAAAGCCTTGACAGATAACTCAAAGCCTATAATATTGAAAATGCTGCGACCTGATCCCGAAAAACGGTGTACCCTCAAAGACGTTATGAAGAATTCCTGGGTTTGCAGTGTCGATACATGTACTCGCCATAAGCGAGCTTCCAGCCATACGCATAATCTATTCTAAAGAATTAATAAATAGAATGCTTAGACTATTATTCTTGCTATTATTACTTTTTCCTTAAAACAAGGAGCATAAAAGAAATGCCTATGGGAAACAGCCAAAAGATACAAAAAGTATGGGGTAAGCGATGAATGGAGGGAGGTTACTAAGAGGGGAAACGAAATGACTGAATGCAAAGTATATGTACTTAGAGGTTAACCTGCGGATTAAAGTGATCCAGGGGAGCAAATTGGGAGCACATCCTACGGGATAGACTATGACTATTGCCTGAGATAGGCCACTTTAAATGAAACGAGGAATTATTCCACACTTATAAAGAGACGCCGATGAATAGTACGATCCTTGCTACATATGCATCTTTGTAGCCGATTAGATGGCCATTCCCATCTGTCAGCTAATGATCCAACTGCGATAAGCGCGTACCATTAGAATGTTGATAATCAAATTTATCGAAAGAGAAGATTGATGGACTTTGAAGAACAAGTGATAGATAAAAGACACAAGACAGCAGCAGCATATCTATGCTCTTTTCGTAGGAGTTTGTAAAGAGCTTTAACACCGCCAATAATCTTGTTACAGTCGCCGTAACATACTAGAATAGCTTTGAGTACGGGATCAAGCAGGAGGCTCTGCAGCGATTGAAGTATATAGCCAAGGTGCAGAGTAACGGCACGAGTGAAGCACTAAATAATCAACGTGTCAGATAGCTTGTAAACCCATGGAGTATTAAAAGTCAAACATAGTATTCTAGTGGAAAAGGAGAGATGGCCATCCATTATTACTCATAAGAAGAGGTTATGTAAATGGTTATAGCCAAATTGTATGCGAGCTTCGGTCAAGTAAAAACTAGTACATATTTGAAATGGAGAGATGACTAGATAATGTGCATCATATCGTTTAACCTCAGCCATACTAATCTTGACACCTCAAGGTTCAAGAGAAACTGAGGACCTGCCATATTTAGTAAGGCGTCTGAAAAAGACATAAATATAAAGGAATTTTACAATTTGAGGAGAAGTGATAAAAGGCAGTCTAAACATTTAGTCGAAAGCTTATTCATATGTTTTCTGCGGGGAAAATATGAACGCCGCACATTTGAGGGGAGATCTCTCTGTAGTCCTGTTATGGAAATGTCGATCTGCAGCAGCGAGCGCACACGTAGCTTCTTATTCAAATCAAAATAGCTACACCTTCTGTAACAAACAGCGAATTGGCAGTAGCAGAGGCAATGGAGACAAATTTAATACGAATAGTAAAGCAAATCAATGAAGAGTTTGGGACATATCATTGACTTATTCGTGTGGTTTATGTAATAGTTGCTCGATGTTATAAAAGATTATCTAATGCTGACTCAAAGTGCATACCAAACAACCCATTTATGTTCATCTGTTTGTATATATCCAAATTCTCCTACCCGCTTGCTGCTAACTGTTTTTTCCCTGCTTAATGTTGAATAAACTGTTTGTACATGTAATTCTACAAAAGAGGAGACAGTATAGTACTATCGTCGACTCTTTACTAAAAGAAGAATATGTATTTTTAACATCCTCAAATCAGTCTGCATAAAAAGTATATATCGAGACAATTTAGGATTTTGCTGTTACAGTAAATACGTTTTATAATCTTGCTACTTCCTATTCTATACAATAGAATCAACAGATCGTTTGTAAAATCTTTAAAAAGTATATCCTTTGAATAATCTCTAACAAATGTTATGATCCATCATACTGGTTGCCTAATGCGGAATTTTAAAGTACAATGAGAAGAACTTCCCCTTCGGCTTAAATTTGAGGCGAGTTACGACTGTATAAATTTGGAAAGGGCCATGCAATAGCCGGAATTTCAAATTTTTTCAGGCCCAAGGTCGCACAAACGGATAAGATAGTGGAAATGACTGTCACGATGCATAGAAAAGTAATAATACACTGCCGATCAATAGTTGGTAATACTCAATAAAGCCGTAAGATGAGTACAAAGTATTTATTAGTACAAGGTATTGTGATATCAACATTTTTCGAAATTTACGACTTATTCTTTATATTTTGGACGCGTAAATACAATGTTTGAAGGCCATTTAAACGGAAGTTAAAATATAAAACTGGGCTAAACTATAATCCAATTTTGGTTGGTTGAAATGACATTGATTTTTCATGGCCCGGACGGTCTTTTTATACTTTTTACTTGGCCCTGTTACTTTTCTTGATTATATCATCATAAAATCAGGGCCATGAAAAAATGTATGCATATCTATAGAAACGATTGCTATGCAAGTAAATGATAAAAAGAGACCCTTTGACTACTATTACTATGACTATCATATATATAGTTTCGCGAACTTACAATTACAATAGCTGACTCCACTTTAATTTCATGTGAATTACATAAATAATATCTCTTTTGCACATGGATAATTTTTTTTTCTGTGTAGCCTTTACTTAATTTGGTAACGACAGTAAAAAATAAAAAGTTCAAAAATATTTTTCGCCTTCTTTTTTCCTTTAGGCTCTTTTTCTTACTACTCCCCCCTCTCTACATTAATACCTCCTTTACTTTAACTAAAAAGAGCTAAAGTAGATAATGTTGTCCTCAAGTCATATTATCAGAGCTGCCAAGGTACAATAACAGCATTACAATTTGAACTCATCACTCATTATTCTCGCTTAGGCTGTTGCCCCTGCTGTCAAGACTCACGCCCGTACCTATGCTAAGGCTAGCACTAACTGGGCTGCCCAAAAGGTTTCCATGTCCAACCTCGAAAAGGATAAATACATCAACTACCAAAGAATCGAAGACAACCTCGAAGTTGTTCGTAGAAGGTAAGCGAAAAATTTTTATATTCGGAGTGCAAGGAAGCTAAACAAGTATTTTCTATAGATTAAACCGTCCTTTGACTCTCTCTGAAAAGGTTGTCTATGGTCACTTGGATGATGCCGAAAACCAAGACATTGTCCGCGGTAAGTCCTACCTTAAGCTTCGCCCTGATCGCGTTGCCTGTCAAGACGCCACTGCTCAAATGGCTCTCCTTCAATTCATGTCTGCTGGCCTCCCTAACGTTGCTGTCCCTACCACTGTTCACTGTGATCACTTGATTGAAGCTCAAGTCGGTGGTGCTAAGGATTTGGCTCGTGCCATTGACATCAACAAGGAAGTCTATGACTTCTTGGCTACTGCTACTGCCAAGTACAATATTGGTTTCTGGAGACCTGGTTCCGGTATTATTCACCAAATCATTCTCGAAAACTATGCTTTCCCCGGTGGTCTCATGATCGGTACCGACTCTCACACCCCTAACGCTGGTGGTCTTGGTATGGTCGCTATCGGTGTTGGTGGTGCTGATGCCGTCGATGTCATGGCTGGTGTTCCTTGGGAACTCAAGTGCCCCAAGACCATTGGTGTCAAGCTTCACGGTAAGCTCAATGGCTGGACCTCCCCCAAGGATGTTATCCTTAAGGTTGCTGGCATCTTGACTGTCAAGGGTGGTACTGGTGCCATTGTCGAATACCTCGGTGAAGGTGTTGACTCTATCTCTTGTACTGGTATGGCTACCATCTGTAACATGGGTGCTGAAATTGGTGCCACTACTTCCATGTTCCCCTTCAACAGCCGTATGGGTGATTATCTCCGTGCCACCAACCGTGCTGCCATCGCCGATTACGCTCAACAATTCTCTCATAACCTCCGTGCCGATGAAGGTGCTCAATATGACGAATTGATTGAAATCGACCTTAACAAGCTCGAACCCCACATCAACGGTCCTTTCACTCCCGATTTGGCCACTCCTCTTTCCAAGTTCAAGGAAACTGCCAAGGCTAACGGCTGGCCCGAAGAACTCAAGGTTGGTTTGATCGGTTCTTGTACCAACTCCTCTTACGAAGACATGGCTCGTTCCGCTTCTCTTGTTAAGCAAGCCTCCGAACACGGCCTCAAGGTCAAGTCCAAGTTCACCATTACCCCTGGTTCTGAACAAATTCGTGCCACCATCGAACGTGACGGCATTATGGACATTCTTACCAACTCTGGTGGTGTTGTCCTTGCCAACGCCTGTGGTCCTTGTATTGGTCAATGGGACCGTCAAGATATCAAGAAGGGTGACAAGAACTCCATCATCACTTCCTACAACCGTAACTTCACTGGTCGTAACGATGGTAACCCTGCTACCCACGCTTTCGTCGCTTCTCCTGAAATCGTCACTGCCTTGGCTATCGCTGGTGACATGACCTTCAACCCCATCACTGATTCCCTTACTGGTGCCGATGGTAAGCCCTTCAAGCTTGACCCTCCCAACGGTAACGAATTGCCTCCTCGCGGTTACGATGCTGGTGAAAACACCTACCAAGCTCCTCCTGCCAATGGTGCTGAAGTTCAAGTCAAGGTCGACCCCAAGTCCACCCGTCTTCAACTTTTAGAACCCTTCGAAAAGTGGAACGGTCAAGACATCAAGGAAGTTCCTATTTTGATCAAGGTCAAGGGTAAGTGTACTACCGATCACATCTCTATGGCTGGTCCTTGGTTGAAGTACCGTGGTCACCTCGACAACATTTCCAACAACATGTTGATTGGTGCTGTCAATGCTGCTAACGATAAGGTCAACTCCGTCTTGAACGTCTTCACCAAGGAATATGCTGGTGTTCCTGAAGTCGCTCGTGACTACAAGAAGAGAGGTGTTAAGTGGGTTGTTATCGGTGATGAAAACTATGGTGAAGGTTCTTCTCGTGAACACGCTGCTTTGGAACCCCGCCACTTAAACGGTGCTGCTATCATCACCAAGTCCTTTGCTCGTATCCACGAAACTAACTTGAAGAAGCAAGGTATGCTTCCTCTTACCTTCGCTAACCCTGCTGACTATGACAAGATCGACCCCACCGACAAGGTTGACATCATTGGTTTGACCGATTTCCAGGAAGGCAAGCCCTTGACTCTCCGTGTTCACAAGAACAACGGTTCTTCCTTAGATATCACTTTGAACCACACTTTCAATGCCGGTCAAATCGAATGGTTCAAGCACGGTAGCTGTCTTAACTACATGAAGGTTCAAACTGCTGCCTCTCAATAAATTATTTCAGTTGCATATTGTATTTGTTAGATAATGTAATAAAGAGTAAATAAACTACTTTAAGCCTTTTTTATTTTAATTTCTATTCTGTATGCAGAAGTTAAACAATAATATCGGCATAAAGTTTATCAGTTTAAATTAGTTTAAAAATCAGTTTTTATTTTGAAAGATGCTTCATGAATAAGACTGCTTTTACCTTGTAACAACATCATAAAATGCCTTATTTAACTGTGTCTCAAAAACAAATGATGGTTGCTAGACGTCGCGAAGGCATTTCGGCAGCATAAATTGCCATTGAGGAAAATATCTCAGAAAGAACCATACATCGCGTGTACCAACAGTGGAAAAAAGATGAAGCTGTAGAGACGAGGCCAAAGTCTGGAAGGCCGCCTATCTTTAACGATAGGAAGAGAAGAGAGCTGGGAAGAGTTGTACGTGAAAGACCCTATGCTTCACCAAATGGAATTAGGAAATTAATCAGTACAAAAGCTTCTGAGAGTACAGTTCGCAGTGAGCTGAAAAAAGTTGGCCGTGCGTGATCTTGTTGAATAAAAATAACTCGGAAACATCAAAAAAACAGATAGATCGAGTGAGCCCCTTGGGAGTCCTTTTTATTAACAAAGAAAGAGATTCATGACAAAAAAAGAAATTGGTCTCAAATGCTATTATGAATCAACTTTATGAGCTTAATGTGATGTATTATGTTCATATCTGACGTAATTGATCATATTGCGTCAAAGGATATAATCTTCTTTACATACGTATCTTCAGTCTATTACTTTTTCTTTTATTAAATATAGTTACAAAATCTAAGGTTACGGATTTATACAAATTACTTTCGGCCACTTCCTTTCTTTCGCTTGCTTGTTTCAAGATTGGGTGCAGACACTTTGACTTTACTCATCATTGTATTGATGTTTTCCATATCAGCGACACCTTTGATTAGCTCTTTTTCACGAGCAGATGCATCTGATAGGGTAAGGAATACAGATTGTGCTTGTTTAACAGCTAATATAGAGTATAATTAGCCATGATCCCAAAGCATAAAGTTTTTCTTATCTTTACCTTTTCCACGTTTCAATGAACCTGGTGTTAGCTTTACTTTATATTTATATTTTTGTATAGCTGGATAAGGAGCGCAAACAGGTATAGCAAAATGAAGAATATCTTCCGGTAGAGGATTGCCTGTCAAAGAATCCAAAGCAGAGAGATTTGCCTATTTGTTTTTTGTTTAGTTATTTCAAATGATATATATAATGTAGCATTACTTACAATTTCATCAGCTTCCAACATAGTAATATTCTCTTCCTTGAGCAATTGTCGAATAACGTCAGTGTCTTTTTCTTCACCTACTTCCAGTGGCTCGTCATTTTCTTTTTCTTCTTCTTCTTTCTGACTCTGTGCTAATCGCGCCTTTTCTTCAGCCTCCTTTCGAGCGCGTTCTTTCTCCAAGGCTGCCTTCTCCGCCTTTGCCTTTGCCTCACGTTTAGCTTTTTTGCCTTTGGGTTGTGGGCCTTTGTTGGATCCAAGTAATTCCATACGAAGTTGTCTTTCTTCCTCATCTTGATCAGCATATTTTTCCTTGATCTTCTTAGCCTTGCCTTTACGTCCACGCGTAGATGAAGGAGGTGTAGTCACATTGGGCTTAGCGGGAGTCTGTTGCTTTTGTTTGCCGTTATTCTGCTGCTTTTGTTGTTGCTTTTGCTGCTTTAGTCTTATTTCCTCGGTTATTTCTGTTGCATTTTGCTTCTTCATCAAACGTCTTTCTTTAGCGGTAATAAACCTCTTTTTTGCCTGAGCCTTATCGCTATCAGGTGCAGATGAGGTTTGATCTTCATCAGAGTCATGTCCGTATTCGTCCAGGGCATATTTACTAGCATCAGGAATGTTTTCGTGATTGGATAATGGCAACGATTGAAGCTTGGTATCAGGGAAGGCGCTTTCATCATCGCTGCTACTACTGCTGCTGCTGTCATCACTATTATCATCATCAGAAGAACTATCTTCTTCGTTGACAGATTTTTCGCTGTTGAATATAGAAATATCTAAAATGAATAAGTTTTTACTGTAATGCTATAAGGATACAATTAATAATATACCTGATGACGCGTTAGGTTCTGCTTCTTTGGACTTTTCAGCAACATCGGACTTGTCTGTTTCTTCAATACTATCTACCTTGGCAGATTGCTCAGGCTCAAGTACATCATCGTCATATTCAGTGGATAGGTCGTTTTCTTTTGCAGGTTTGATATGATTACCAATAGAGGATTCATCCAATTTGAATAAATAACCAAAACCGTAGACAAGCTGGACAGGAGGCAAAAAGTTCTTCTTGCCACGAATCATGAAACTACCCGTCGTCAAATACTCACCAGTAGGTGCAGACTTTGATACTTGATCTGGGTAAACCCAGTAAGCGCTAGTGACAATCTTGGAATCCCAGGCTTTACTTTGACAAACAGACATGATACCGGCTTGATAAAGCGTACTAGGAGATATGGGTTGACCATTAGCTTGAGGCTTATTCTTGACAACCACACTAGCAGCTCCATGGAGGTCAGCGTGAACATAAACATCGTCCTTTGAAAGATAACGTTTAACCAGCATCTCGTTTTGTTGCATATCACGACCGGCAATAACAAGGTATCCTTCTGTAGATATAAACCATTGGAACTTTTCAAACCAAAACGGTTTTCTAATCTTGTTGATTGTGGCAGTAATCTTGGTTTCTTTGAGATCTTGTCGAATCTTTCGTTCAGCAGATTTTAAAGCCTTAGTGGATGCTACGATTGTTTTTTCATGTTTTGATGCCGTTGATTTCTTTTGCTCATAGTATTTTCTAGCATTTGCAAACGCTGTCAAACCAATATCGACATCAACTTTGAATGTTTCCTTTGGTTTTTCTTCTTCGTCTTCATTTTCACTCTCTTCATGATAATCAGGATCACTAAAATAAGAAATAAGAATAGATTCAATATTGCCTACTTTTTTTTCTTACGTCAGAACCAATGTTATTTGATTAGTTTCCAACTTTAGAGTATCAATTAGCAAAGCAATAGGATTGCCTCTTCTCTTTTCTTCCTTGACTAAATCATTCAAATCTTGCCAATCCATTTGACTTGCAACTGCGTTTCGAATAATCGTGATAGCAGCATCAACATATTGAAGATTGAGTTCAATAAGTTCGGCTTTACGCGTGTTGGTAAGCTGTTGATTAAGCAAAGTTTCCACTCTCTTCTCTTGTTCTTGTTTGACTGCTTCCAATTTCTTTAATGCAGCTTCTTCTTGTTTACGAGTCTTCAGCTCAAGCTTCTGTGCTTCAATTGATGAGAAAAACTCGTCTACGGCCATATCAAAAGTAGGATACTCCTTGAATTTTCGATGAGTGAATTGCTTGTACAAAAATGGGTGAAATTCATCATAGCTATTCATTCAATTAGAGCAAAGCCCGGTCAAGTATCATTTCGGCACTTACATTTCCATTGCGCCTTCCTTATCATCGCTTGACCTTTTGTCATCCATTAGAATAATGTAACCCTTAGGAACAGCATTTTTCGTTGATTGAATCATATCATCTGCCTTTTTGAATCCCTCAAGTAGTGCATGCATCATAGGTGAGTTTTCAGACGTATCAAAATCAGAAGCAACTTTCATGTTTGGATCCAATTCAGATTCCATAATAATATGTTCAACCATAGCAGGGCCATACTCTACTCATGATTAATATCATTACTAACGCTTGAATCGTTGAGCCTACTTACCGAATTTAATGTTGAGTATCTTCTTCAAGTTGTCTTTTGGTCCAGCTGCTGATAATGCTTCCTTCAATTCATTAGAATCCACCTTTTTAAAGTCGGTCAAGACTGACTTGATATTGTAAATCTCGCCTACTGCCATCTTCAACGTCTCAGTTGGTTGGACAGTACGGAGTAATGCCAATATGCGATATTCATGATCCGTCAAAATGATGTTGCCCTATAACAAGCATGTTATTAACTACTCTTATAACCCCTTTTGTTCTTGAAACATACAGAAGCGTAGAATTCACAAATAATGTGATATCCTAGACTCTTTTCACCACCAGCAAATTCAAAATCGACAATACGATCCACACCAAGCTGTCGTACATTGGTCAACCTACGAGTACGAAGGCATTTACGAAGCTTCAAAAGATTGCTTAATACACTCCAATACAATGTACAGCTTTAAATATTTACCTTTGCACAAAAAGGTGATGGCATGTCAGATTTCTCTCGACTAAACTGTGTTGTATGAATACGAGTACCTGACTCGACTAAAACGAGCTCCTTATCATCAGGCTAAAAAAAAGTGTAAGTTAGCTTTCAATATTTGTCACTGGTATATTCCCTTAGCATACCTTGGCAAATTTGAATAAGAACGTTTTGGCATTCACGTCATATACATTTTGTAAACGGATACCAATCAGCCTTTTCTCCGAATTAGCTGTCAGTTTTTTCTCTCTCTTTTTCCTTTAACTCTAGTTTACCTTTCTTTAAGGTTCATAACTGTCGAACGGACGTCCAAAGCATTGAAACGTTGCTTCATTTTTTTTTTTTTGGTTCAGTTCAAGGATAAAAAAAAGGTATATGCAAAGTTCCTTCAACACTTTTACAATTTATATGGCGATATCGACAGTCACAAGCGCTGTGCCATGAGTTACCACTGCACCGCAGCAGTTCAGTGTACGCAGCTGAAAATGACACCAGGGAATCGCATTAGTTCAAGGTCATTGTGAGTTTGCAGACAGGGCAGTTATTATGGAAGGACAGCTGCTTCTACACCGAGTGATGATATTTGATATTAAAAAAAAAGACAGAATATAGCTTAGATATGTTGCATGAAAGACGGCTATCAGTGTAACTTGTATTCTATTATAAGATAAAGGATATCATGATTCGATAAACAAATTTACGACACTATATAAAGAACGCACTTCTTCCCAACAATGATACGTCAAAAGGGTATATAGTAAACTCAAAAGAAGTAACTCTTTATTAATAAGCAACAGACGCGCTCTTCATATCTATAAACTTGCCACCAGCTATGCCTATAGTAAATTGGTAATGATCTTACGACACTATTATGCTTTTAAAGTACAATAATCAACTATTAGAGCACTAATCTTACAGCAATATGTCTCCATATTATTTCAAACTAATAATCACTTGTCTGATATGTAAACCAAATGAAATTTATAATGTAACATCATATCATTAGGGATATACAATAAGAGAAGCCCTCAAGTGTTGCTTTTTGTAGATAGAGTAACAGCAGAGAGAGATAGAGAGAGAGACAAGGTCAGTAAAATAACAGCGCCACATGCACGTGACTTGAAAATTTTTTGCTGAAATAAAACGAAAAAAAAATTAGTAGCAAAAGGCTTCCTTCTTTACTGCCGTTAGAGACAACCCTTATTCATTACAATGTCTCGTTTTTTCCGTTCTACATCAGATACTGAATCTGAGACTGACTCTTCTGAAAACGAGTCCGTCTATTCCCAAAGTGATTCCGAGTATGATTCTGAGGCAGAGAGTTATCACTCTGAAGCCGCCCAAGATCAACCCAAAAATCGTTTCTTGAAAGGTGGAAGCGACTCCGAGGATTCTGACGATGAAACCAGTAGAAAGCGCCAAGCAAGATCCCAAAAGGATAAGAGACTTGAAGAGATGGAAAATGCCGTAAAGGCTATTGAAAATGGTCAAAAGAACAATGACTGGAACTTGATCGCCACAGGTGAAATATAAAGAAAAAAAAAATTTGACGTGTGCCATAAGAGACATTAACCCGCGTTAAACAGAATTTGACAAGCTTACTGTCACCATCTCCAGAGCTACAACTGGTTTCAACAAGATTCCTATGCCCAAGTTTTACATCAAACTGATGGTTGAGCTTGAAGACTCTTTAGCCGAGAGCCTCAAGAAAGATAAAGGCAAAAAGAAGAGCACGGGCAATACCAAGGCCATGAACAACCTGAGACAGAAGCTCAAGAAGCTTTCCAAGCAATATGGTGAATATGTCACTGCTTATAGAGAGGTAAAGCCTTTTTTTGTGCGTGATATGAAAGTTAACTTACATGTTATTGCACAGAATCCCGAGGAATTCATGAAAGAACAAGAGCAGCCTGGAGATGAATCAGAAGCTGAAGATGAAGGCAGAGAAATTCAAGAAACTCATAGGGAAATCACTGCTGAGGAGGAAGATGGCTTTACTGCTGTTGGTGCAGGAGGAAAAGCAGTTGTCAATCTCACCTCTGAAAATGTTTTGGCTCGCTTAAGAGAAGTGTTAGAAAGCCGTGGTAGAAAGGTAAAGAATGGCACGTATGCATGACAATGGATGGGGCTTATAGTGATATTCTATAGAACACAGATCGTGTTGAACAGATCAGCATTTTGGAATCTTTGTTAGAGAAAGCAAAATCATCCTTCCAAAAGATTTCTGTTTTATTAGCTCTTATTGCTTCTCGTTTCGATCTTAACGTTGGCAAGGCTCCTTTCATGGACGTTGCCACATGGAAGTCTGCTACCAACGAATTCAACAGCTTGCTCCAAGAACTTGAAACCAATAAATCTTTCATGGTTACCGAAGATGCAGAAGATCTTGACAATGAAGACAGAGATGTCGTTCCAAAAGCCGGCGAGGTTATTAAACTTAGAGGATCCATTGTCAGTTTTGTCGAACGCTTAGATGATGAATTTAACAAGTCTCTTCAAAACATTGACCCTCATGCAACTGAATACATTGACCGTCTTAGAGATGAAGCCGCCATCTATGCTTTGTTACACCGTTCTCAGTTCTACCTTGAAACATACAGCATGACATCTGCTATTCCTAGAGTCATCTTCCGCAAGTTAGATCACGTCTACTACAAGCCTGAAAACGTCATCAAGTCACTCGAGATCGCTAGTAAGAAGCTTTTACCTGACTACGTTGTCACCAAGGTTACTACTGCCGAAGAACCCTCTGAGTTGATCAACCAACTTTGCAACTATCTCTATAACGATACTTCAAGTGTATTCCGTACCCGTGCTATGCTTTGCCATATTTATCACTATGCTCTTCTTAAGAAATACTACACTGCCCGTGACTTATTATTAATGTCCCATGTACAAGATTCCATCCACCAGGCTGATATTGCCACTCAAATCTTATACAACCGTGCTATGGTTCAACTTGGTATCTGCGCTTTCCGCGAAGGTTTGATCAAAGAATCTCATGCTACCCTTTCCGAGATTCAAGGATCTGGTCGTGTTAAAGAACTTTTGGCTCAAGGTGTTCAAACTCAACGCTTCAATCAGCCTACTACTGTGGATGTTGAAGCTGCTGAACGTCAACGTCAATTACCTTTCCATATGCACATCAATTTGGAGCTTTTGGAATGTATCTTCTTGACATGTTCTATGCTTTTAGAAATTCCTGCTCAAGCACAGGCTGGACCTAATAACAAAAAGTTCATCTCTAGACCCTTCCGTAGATTACTTGATTATAATGAGCGTCAAGCATTCTGTGGCCCACCCGAGAATACAAGAGACCATATCATGAGCGCTGCCAAGGCCTTAGCATCAGGTGAATGGGAAAAGGCAAAGGAATACATCTTGGCTATCAAGATTTGGGATTTGATGACCGAAACAAACAAAATCAAAGAAATGCTTGTGCGCAAGATTCAAGAAGAAGGGCTTCGTACATACTTGTTTACGTATGCTTCTTACTACTCCACAGTTGGATTAGCACAATTATCCAAAATGTTTGACTTGCCTATTAACACAGTCTCTGCCATTGTTGCAAAGATGATTTTCAATGAAGAATTAGCAGCGTCACTAGATCAAGTTACTCAATGTGTCGTCTTACATCAAGTTGAACTTTCTAGACTCCAAGTGCTTTCTTTACAATATTCTGAAAAAGTGGCCAATCTTGTTGAACAAAATGAAAAATTAACAACAACTTTTTAAATCAATTGCTTTTCTTTCACTTTTCTCCCCTCTTTTTCTCCTCTTCATTTTTATTGTCTATTGAAAATAAAATACAAAACTTTGTGTAATAAAGAGTTACTTAAACAGTTCGTTTGGTTTGAAAGAAGTGCTTGAGATAATGAATTTGAAGGAAACAGACTGTAATCAATAGACCCAATTGGGTAATAGACCACCACTTGACACGAGCATTCGTACTTTCAACAGCTAATAAAAATTGTTTACGTTATAAACAAAGAAGTGCATATGTTAACTTACTGTCTCTGTGTCTACGTTCTCTGGCTACAATGTATTCTTGAGCTGATTTAATAGCAAAGATACTATCTGCCAATTCTTCTATTTCATGTTTCAAAGGATCGGTTTGAACTAGGAATGATGTTGGATACACAGCTTGTGGCAAAGTTAAGGGATATTATTACCTGCAGTACCCTTTTCGTGAACACGCGTGTTAAAACTGATCACCTTGGTGGATTGAGATGTTTTCTCATTAGAGAAACAAAAGGTATATTTCCCAGTTTCCTTGGCGGTTATAGTATAAGCACCTTGGTCATGATGAGAATCTGTTGCCATGATCGTGTCTTGAGGACTTGTCAACTATATGTGTTTAAGATAGAGAGAGATTTAATGCTTGTTATTATTGCTATTATTTTCATTACCCAAAAGTCAATATCATAGTCTCCTCCGTGAGCAACCTATTGAATGTGAGTTTAATGTGGACATACATCCGTTGATGTTTCTTACTTGATAAGTGATAGACATTGAATCATCAAGATTCATGTACTCAAAGAAGCATTCCTTTTTGTGAGGCTCAATGGCAAGAGTTAAAGCGGAAACACTGCCTAAGCAAAGTAAAATGGTGAAAAAGAATGGAGCAACTGCCTGCTTTGAAAACTTCATCTTGAAATTCAAGTTTTATAAAATAAAATTCAAGTTTGTCAGTCGTGTCTAGGTCAATACTTGTTGGCTTCACTCCGACTTCCAATGTGATACAGGCTTTCCTTGCCGTTAATTTGGGGGGACAGATATGCGCATACAGATAATATGCTTCCTGTAGTTTACGCATTTATTAATCATTGATAGACAAAATAGAGAGAAGCAGATACAGCCATCTAATCAAGTATAGTAAAATGTGCTCATAGCCAATAGTAAATGACCATGGCAACAGCATCTACATGAATCTGTTTTAATATAAAAGAGGGGCAATGTTTGTCACAGTTTTTTGGATTTATACTTTATTACTCAAATGCAAATCAAGCTCGTTATTCTTACTATCTGTGCTTCTCTTGCCGCTATTGGTTTAGCTGCTCCTTCTCCTCAAGGCGACCCCAATGCTAATGGCTTAGACCTTAATATTCCTAGCGATGGACAAATTTCTCCTGGTACTGATGATCTAAGTCTTCCTGGGGGCCTTGATGAAAGTACTGAAATTTCGGCTTTGAGTAATCCCGACAACGAACCGATGGCAATACTGGCATGAAGAAGACGTAGTGGTGGTCGTGGCTTTGGTAGCCGTGGTGGCCTTGGTGGTCGTGGCCGTCCTAGAATACCCATATCAATACCCGAGGTGCCATACTCATAAAGAAACCCCATAATGTTAAAGTACAATAAGCTTCAATAAACTTGATACTTCTTTTTATGCATATTCTTTTCAATATTTCTGTTTCTATGATCGACTTGTCAGCAAAGTTACTATTAAAAACTCGCAAGGATATTAATAAGCAACTTGTATACAGAGTGACTCAAATACTTGAAATATATCTGTTACTACAAGTGATTGGCATCTTTTACTTTTATATATCTGTCAGTTGAAAATGACCTGAACAGCACCAGTTTACGGAGTATTTTGTTCAACACTAGTGTGTACCTGTGGTTGATATATACACATCTTATAATTATGGAAGTGCAGCTACACCTTGTTGGATCAAGTTTTAATTCTGCTTCCTTGATACCTAAGAGTAAACCTTGAGAGAACTTTAGATTCGAGATATTTAATCATCTATAGAATGTTGGTCAAAAAGAATAGACCTAAGCGAATATCATCAATTTTGGCCTTGTTTATCAAAGGACAGCAATGTGATAGGAAATCTTCGAAGATCAATTAAGTCTATGGCGCATTCTGTTCTCCCTCCCTCTTATTTCAATTGCCTCTAAATAGAATACTACTCTATTCACTCAAAAGAGCAGCGATAGATACTACCATTCTGCCCTAATTATGTCATCCTAATAGCTATTGACATTAAAAGTACTGTTAGGATATCACCAACAGTCAAAAAGATAACAAATTAAAAGTCAGACAATCTTCTATCACAGTATAGTCACCTTTTTGGTGTTTTTTCTTTTTTTATGAAATACGCTATTTAACAATATAGCTGAAAGCCTTTTTATCCAAATAATTGCCCCAGAATATAGTAATGACGATGGTCTGACTTTTTTATTTACTACAGTATAATCAATCAAGCCCTTAAAGATAGCTACGCTAACATATGCATCTAATGCAGCGTAATTAATTTGATCTTGTGTGAGCCTAGGAGCATTCCAATTTCCACACCTAACGTTATTTGTTTTTTGGTAAAGATTTCAAAACAATAGCACAGATTTTGGCCAAGGATAAGGACCTTTTCTCTATAATCCCTCTATCCATACAAAATGATCCTAGCTCAGCGATATTTTTTGAGTTTATCTTGTATCCCTTCTGTAAGCGCAGAAAATTACCATTTACATTTTCACATTTTCACACTCCAGAAGGCATCTTAACTTTTCAGGAAAGTCATCCTCGGTGAATTCAAAAGTGCGAACAGGTAAGTTTTGTTTTTATAACAGAATTGGATAAACAATGCTTCATTTAAAGATGCTTGTGCTCTTCTTGATCTAATATTAAAAGTATCATGATTTCTTGCTATCCATTCACAATCGAAATCCAAGTATACGGGATGATCTTCTTCCAAATTATCCAAAATGTTCTGACATGTAAGGTTGATTTCTTCAGAATCAGAAAATACAAACACACTCATTGTATTAGGAAGTGCCATAACAGGTAAAACCGAACCATAATCATTGCTAGACTGTTCTTCGATGTTTGTTGGCTTGCATACAATGGTCTTACTGTTATTTTTCAATAAACTTGGTAGTACGCCTTCCAAAAAAGTTCGATCGCTGTTTACATTGTCAGTGTAAAAAAGCAAAGGCAGCTGATAGTCATTAAGCTTGTAAGGATTCACTAAAGTGTTGAAAGGCGAAACAAGATGAGAAAGTGTCTTGGGTGGGGCCATTGCCTGTATTCTTATCCTAGTCGATTCAGCAGTCATAAAGTTGTATATATCACTTTTATTCATTTGCGTATAACGCACGAAAAACGACTTTTTCGCAAACACTTATTTTTTTAACAAAAGGTAACATTGTGGAGTGATACATCTGCGTTCAGTAAAAACAACTCTATAAGTATAGTATGCGTAGCTCAAAGAAGAAAAAGCAAAGAAGCTTCTTTATTGAAGATAAACAAACACCAATACCTATACGCGTCAATAAGCGAAGGCTCAGTGATGAAGAACCAACACAACCAGACTTCGCTAAAAGAAGCAAACGACAACATAACAATGACCTTACCTATCTTATATGCTTTGACAATTCAATGCATAATTATATCTCTACTGTGATTTTGAATAAGATAAGGCATAGCAAAAAACTTGAAGCTGATCTCCTGAAAGCGAAAAATGACTTGTCAAACAAGACGAGGCTTCCACCCGGAATTATGACAAATGCTGCGTCTTTTGCCGATTTGGAGACTAATGTGATGAGAAACTTCATGGAAAACAACGGCCAAAAGTTGATGATTGAATTATGGAAAGACTATGTAAACGAACACTTTGATTCGATCGCCAAAACCCTCAGGGACAGAAACCTTTCCTTTAAAAAAGAAGAACCTTCCTCTTCATTAATCCAATCAGGTTCAAGTGGTATTAACGTGGAAGAACAATACAGGACATTCTCTATTTCAGTAAACAAAGCTTTACGAAAAGAACTTCCTGAAAACATAGAAAATGTTGTCAAAACAAAAATAGAAACATCACTTGAAAATTCCAGTGACTTCTGCGCCCAGTTTTTATTTATCATAAATGCAATGTCTATTGTTATCAAGAGCGACGGTAAAATCATTCCGAAAAAATCTACTGAATTCGATATGCTGCAAGTGTTGCCGTTTGAATTTGTTCAGAAAAATGGTGTACAGCCCGTACTTTCATCTCTACCGCTTCCCCACAATATGCCAGATGAATATCGGAGAGAATTAGAAGTCTTATTCACCGAGCAGCATTTATCGCTCATTCAGTCCCACTTCTTTGGTTCAGGTGCTCAACAAAAAAATCTAGAAAAGCATCCCGTAGAGGATTTTTTATTTAAGGAATTGGCTTCAAATGGAATCACCAAAGATTCTTACAATACAATGCTCACAACAGAAGAGATGAAAGTCGCTCTTGCTCGAATAGTTACTAACATCAAGAACATGTGGAGTACCAACGATATTTTTAAAAAACTTCTTGATCGCCTGCTGGACGTTCTGTTAAGACTACATTTGGCTGGAGCTAGAACCAGCAAGTACAATTCATACGTTGCTCGAAAGGCCAAGAATAAATATACAGTAGATGATTCATTTCTTAGCAGTAATAGCCAAAGAAACTTAATTAGCACAGAGTACAAGAAAAAGCGAAAACGGGAGCAAAAGTTGCAAATGATAACCGACAAAGAAAAGCAAGCAAAGTATAAAGACCAAATTAGTAAAAATGACCAAAGAATAGACTTCTTCAGAAAACTTAACAGGCATAGCGTCGCTTCGGTAAGATAAAGCTTCTGCTCTTTTAATCAAAATAATTAACAAACATATTTTGTAGTCTTCTACTGATAAGGTTGAACATGATGAAGAATCAAATTCAGACAATGCAAACACCGATGAACCATCTCGTTCGCGCTTGAAGGGCTTGAAGTCAGTGACTAAGCATCTCTTACTATCATCTGGTGAAACCATCACTGTAGAGGATATCAAAAGAGATATGACAGATGCAACGGAAAAGGAAATATCAACCATGAGCCTATTAATTCAAAAACTTAAACCTTATATACCTGCTAAACAAAATCGTTTTGTAATCGGCTATCAAATACCATTCTGTCTATTAGCAAACGACATCTTACATGTCACAGGCAATAAAAAGTTCACTCGCCTGCTTTTCCCTCAACCACGCCCCTCACAGCTTCAGGCACTGAAAATTAATGCTACATCCATATATCAGATGCTTACCTCAGAGCCCAATCCTCTCAGCATTGCAGATTTTGATAATAACAAAATTGATTCCATCGAGTACGCACGATCGAATAAAGACGCTGTATTCTGCTCAATATTTGATATGGCTCAAATCAAGAAAACCTGTGAATCATATAATCTTACTTTTGCTCAAAATATCAAAATACTACCAGGTATGCAAACGTGTAGAGTATTGTGTTCAAAAAAAAGTCAAGGAAGCTGGCGTTGTTGCAGCAGAAAAACCAATTGACCATCTTTCGCGTATTTTGAATTACCCTGCGGTCATAAATGAAAGCAAGAAGAACCCTTCTGACTTACAATGTGAAATCGATACTTTGCAGCATAACGTCAACAACCTAAAGGATAGTCTACGTACCTTACTCAAATCTGATTTGGTGACGAAGCTGACTGCAGAGATAAAGACAATCAAGGTTGAATTAATGAGTGAACATAAAGACGGGGTGATAACAAAACTCAATGCTACCAAAAAGAAAAGACGTGACGCATATCTTGCGATTCAAAAATGTCGGTCTAGCAAATCCGCCCTAAATCAAGAGCTTTACTATAAAAGGATGGCCATGCGTTACAAAAGTCAGATTGCTAAGAAGGAAGAAGTGACATCTACTAGCTCCACCAAAGAGGAAAAAGAAGACTCATTTTTCAAGTTGACTAATGAAACCCGTGGTGTATATGAAGTTACCAAATGTCGTTTAGTTGAATCACCTGAGGATTTTGTCTTTTCTGGAACTGATAATGGTATCATCAATATGTCAACCACTACAGCATTCAACTTCGACAGGTACAAATTTCACTTGAAACTATATAACCGATATCAAATCTTGAAGGAAACAAATATTGATCTTCAAGTCAACAAAGACTATCTGAATTTACCTCCACAACAGGTTATAAATTCTGTAGACATTGATGTTGGCTGCTCTCACCGTCAAATCAGAAAAAATTGGAAAGAGCAAAGAAATACACTACTGACGGAAAAGAGATATCAAAGGTCGAAGTTATATTATCGGAAGCGCCTATTACAACAACAAATTCCTATATATCTGAGTACCAAGCTTCTTTTAACCTGCATGTAGGTTATTCTGGTCAATTACGAAGGTTCTACTCGTCCAAGAAGAGGGTAAACTTGCAAAGAGCTGAGGAGATTCAAAAATCAAGATTTTTAAATTCCATAATTGACAAAGAAAGGAGGGAAATAGTTTCAAAAAGAGGTAATATATAACTTGGTATGATGGTTGTAGAAGCTCAACTAATCCTCATAACCCAATAGATTGGGATAAACTAGTTCAATTCATCGGGGATAGAGGCACAGGAGTAGGAACTAGAATAAAAGGCCATCGTAGATACGGGGGGAGGTGGCTTGAAATAATGCGTGGAAAAAGAGGCAATGTCTGTATTACTAGCGAATATAAGACGTCTCAAACATGTGTCTATTGCTTCGAGCAATTAGAGCATCCACAGTTCATTGAGCAAAAGAACGGAAAAATGATCAAAAAACTCACAAAGGGTAGCTTAATGTGCATCAACACAGAATGTGTCTCTGTCAAGCATGGTAGATCCACCAAGTCTCGGGATGCTCTTTCATCTCTCGCAATTGGTTTGTCAGGCCTTATTTCATGCGTACTTGGGGTGCCTATTCCTCATTTTTCTCCAAATCAAATCAGTCAATACAACACTGAAAATTTTGAAACTCAAGCGTCTGCCCTTCTGGAAGAAGAGAAGAATAGCTAATTGCGATGCAATTATGGAATAATTTGGTAGGATTTTTTTTATCAGAACCAAATCAAATCTCTAATTTTGTGACTTTCAATTTGCCGAGTACTTAGATTTATTCCAAAACAAAAAGAACAAGAATGACTCACCTCGCCCCTACAAAAAGAACAATAATGACTCACCTTTAAGTCACTAGTATATAAAAGGGCCTTTCTTTGCCCTTTATTTCTCTTCTTCTTTTTTTTTTTGAAAAAAAACAAAACAAGAATAAGAGAAAGAAGCTTGTTTCTAGTTTTTTTATGTCTATTGCTTTTTATTTAATTACTTCTGGTCTTTTGGCATTCGATAAAACTTATATTGATAACATTTTAATCAAGTAAAACAACATGCATATCATTGACTCAATTCCTCTTTCTACTCCTCCTCCCTCTGTCAATTCCCGTGAAGGTGCTGCTGTAAAGGTGTCTGAAGAAATACTCTCCAATGTGCCTCTTGTAGATGTCAAGAAAGTTCTCGTCGTAGGCTCAGGTGGTCTCAGTATCGGTCAAGCAGGTGAATTTGATTATTCAGGTAAGATAAAATAAAATAAAAAAGATGATTGTCATTTTCTAATTCATTTTTTAGGTTCACAAGCTATCAAAGCTTTGCGTGAATCAGGTATTCAAACTATCCTTGTGAATCCAAACATTGCCACAATCCAAACTTCGCATACTCTGGCTGATAAAGTCTACTTCTTACCTGTCACATGTGAATATGTCTCTCACATCCTCGAAAAGGAGCGTCCTGACGGTATCTTGCTTACATTCGGTGGCCAGACAGCCTTAAACTGTGGTATTGAGCTCGATCGCTCGGGTATCCTCAAACGCTTAAACGTCAAGGTTCTTGGTACACCCATCAAGACCTTAATCACCTCTGAGGATCGTGATTTGTTTGTCAAAGCGCTTAATGGTAATTCATTCTCCGAACTGATAGGCGAAATTAGATAATCTTACATCTCTATCTTTTTAAATAGAAATTGATATTCCCGTCGCCCAGTCTACCGCTGTTTCAACTGTCGATGAGGCATTAGAAGCTGCCCGTGTGATTGGCTATCCTGTCATTGTCCGCTGCGCCTACGCATTAGGTGGTCTTGGCTCTGGTTTTGCTGATAATGAAGCTGAATTGCGTTCATTAGCCACCAAGTCATTATCCCTTGTTCCTCAATTATTGGTAGAAAGATCAATGAAGGGCTGGAAAGAGATTGAATATGAAGTCATGCGTGACTCTGCCAATAACTGTATCACCATCTGTAACATGGAAAACTTTGATCCTTTGGGTGTTCACACTGGTGAATCTATTGTCGTTGCTCCTTCTCAAACATTAAGCGATGAAGAATATCATATGCTTCGTACAGCTGCTATCAAGATTATTCGTCACTTGGGTGTTGTAGGTGAATGTAATGTTCAGTATGCTCTCAACCCTAGGAGCTTAGAATACAGAGTCATCGAAGTCAATGCTCGTCTGAGTCGTTCTAGTGCTCTTGCTTCTAAAGCCACTGGCTATCCTCTTGCCTTTATTGCTGCCAAGATCGCACTGGGTCATACCTTACCTAGTCTCCAAAATGCAGTTACCAAGACAACGACAGCTTGCTTTGAACCTGCTCTCGATTACGTCGTAACCAAAATCCCTCGCTGGGATCTTGCCAAGTTCCAGTATGTTGATCGCCACATCGGTTCTGCCATGAAATCTGTCGGCGAAGTCATGGCTGTTGGTAGAACATTTGAAGAAAGTTTGCAAAAGGCCATTCGTCAAATCGACCCCCGTTTCCTTGGATTTGAAGGCCTTCCTGAAGAGTTTGAAGACGTTGATGATGTGCTTCGCAACCCTACTGATCAACGTTTATTTGCTCTTGGTCAAGTCATGTTAAATAAGGACAAGGCTATTCGTGAACGATACACGGTTGACAAATTGAACGAGTTAACCAACATCGACAAATGGTTCCTGTATAAACTACAAAAGATCGCTCGTATTCAGTTGACGCTGTCTGAACAAGCAAACATTCCACTCAATCAATTTCCTGCTGAACTCCTTTTGGATGCCAAGAAGACTGGTTTTGCTGACATCAAGATTGCTCAATTGATTGGATCCGACGAGCTTTCCGTTCGAGCATTACGTAAACAACATGGTATCGTGCCTACTGTCAAACGAATTGACACCGTGGCCGCCGAGTTCCCTGCTCACACCAACTACCTCTACACGACTTACAACGCAGCCAAGAACGATGTGTCATTTGAAGATAAGGGTACTATGGTTCTTGGCTCTGGTGTCTACCGTATTGGTTCATCTGTCGAGTTTGATTGGTGTGGCGTATCTTGTACGCGATCCTTGCGCGAACTTGGTGAAAAGACAATCATGGTGAACTACAATCCAGAAACTGTATCGACTGACTTTGATGAGTGCGACCGTCTGTACTTTGAAGAACTCAGCTTTGAGCGTGTGATGGATATTGCGGAACTCGAAGGCGCCAAGGGCGTTGTAGTGAGTGTGGGTGGTCAGCTGCCTCAGAACATTGCTCTCAAGTTACACCAGAACAAGGTCAACATCCTTGGCACCTCCCCCGTAATGATTGATGCCGCTGAGGATCGTTTCCAATTCTCAAAGATGCTAGACAAGATTGGCGTAGATCAACCTGCTTGGAAGGAGCTTAGTAGCGTGGAAGATGCATTCCAATTTGCACAGGACGTAGGCTATCCAGTTCTTGTTCGCCCCTCTTATGTTCTGTCTGGTGCGGCAATGAATGTAGCTTATACTCCTGAAGCACTTAAACACAATCTTACTTATGCCACGAGTGTTTCTCCTCTGCACCCTGTTGTGATCACAAAGTTTATTGAGAATGCCCAAGAAATCGATGTTGACTGTGTTGCAAGCAACGGTGTCGTCCTCGTTCACGCTGTCTCGGAACACGTCGAGAATGCTGGTGTGCATTCTGGTGATGCTACCTTGGTCTTACCTCCTCGTGACCTCTCTCAACAGACGATGACTCGTTTAAAGGACATCGCAGACAAAGTTGCCGAAGCCTTCCAGATCACGGGACCATTTAATATGCAGATTATCAAGCAGGACATCCCTGGTCAGCAAGAACCTTTACTCAAGGTCATCGAGTGTAACCTTCGTGCCTCTCGTTCCTTCCCATTTGTATCCAAGGTATTGGGCGTTAACTTTATCGATGTGGCTACACGAGCCCTTGCCCAAAAGGGAGTTCCTTCTGCAGTCGATTTGATGAAAAAGGAATATGCTTATCAAGCCATCAAAGTACCTCAATTCTCCTGGACTCGTTTGCAAGGCGCTGATCCTTTCTTGGGAGTCGAAATGGCATCTACAGGAGAAGTCGCCTGCTTTGGTAAAGACAAGCATCAAGCATTCTGGGCCGCCATACAAGCAACACAAAACTTTAGAATTCCTAAACAAGGGACTGGTGTGTTGATTGGAGGAGACCGTGTAACAGACATGAACGATTATATATTTATAGCAAAAACATTACATCATCAACTTGGACATCCTATTTTTGTGCCTACCGAACAAGATAAAGCAGTGATGGACAAGAATGGCGTTCCTTCTGTTTGTTTGCCGATCGCTTCATGCGCGGAAGATAAGAGACAGCTTGGAAAGTTGTTCAAGGAAAATCAAATCGATTTGGTGATACATCTGGCCAAGGTTCGTGCACCAGACCAATTGGATGAAGGCTATGTCTGTCGTCGAGCAGCTGTAGACTTTGGTATTCCTTTATTGAATGATTCCAAGGTTGCAGTATTATTTGCAGAATCATGTGTAAAGCACAGAGTTGAACATAGCAATGGTATTCCTGATGAAGTCAAGAGCTGGAGTGACTTTGTTGATGCAAAAATTTAGATTTCATTATAATAAATAGAGTTTATTTCATCGTGCATAAAGCATTTTGTGTGTTGAACAGTGCGTGTATTATAAAATGTCGCACGAAGGGGGAAAGAATCAATGGGAAAATGGCTTTTTTTTTTTCTTTATGCACTCCTGTTGTCCCTTGTTTTATCATTCATCTAAAGCGTGGCAGAACATGTCAATTTTCCCCTTTCTTTAAAAGTTAAATTGATTTAAACAAATCTTTAAACAATAGATGGTTGAGTCTGTCAAAGCTTCATAACTTTTGTCTTTTAAACCTTATTAAGTATAGCTATGTTCCATAGCCTTCTATTATAAAAAAAAAAGTGCTGCTTAAAATAATGTAAAGGAAAAGCACATGGATTTTCATAATAATAATAAAAAGAGTCATATTTATTTGAATTTTTTTATACAGAAACAGGCTGATGTTTAAAGATCGTAAGAGTATATATATCTAAACAAAAAAAAAAGAGATGTAGTATATAAATGTGTAATATATATAAAGAGAGATAAAGAGAGAGAGAAAGAGATTGTGTGCTTGTGTATATATATAAAAATATGTATAAAGTAATAATAAAAGTATAGTTTCGTTTTCTTTTTCTTGTGTATGTACATTATAGACAATTTCATAAGTTGTGTATACATGTATAGAGAAATCAGTAAGCGAGATTACTGACAACAAACTTTGCTTGAGAGATAGTGAGCTCTAGTATCTCCCATGCTGAATGATCTTGGTCGATGTCTATCTTCATTTACATTGGATTGTTGAATGTTGGGAATAATAAAGCTAGTATCATTAGGCATTGGATTATTGGTTCTGGCAATCGATAATTCTTCAACCATTTTGTTAGACGAAGCTAAAATTTGTCGAAGTTCTTGACAAGCTTCATCGGCTTGATCTCCCATTGCATAGTAATTGTATCTTGAAGGCTTTTGTGGACATGGTGCAATAATATTCATCGATACAAAAAACTAAATAATGAATAGCAGAGAAAAAAAGAGAATAAAAAAGAAAAGGGTCCTCACTCCTTTAAGTTTAAAAATAATTCAAATTCCGAGATCCAATCATACGTCACATATATTTTTAACTCTCGCATCAAGGGATTAAAGTTAACAAAGTCTCCTTTTTACGTTTAATTTTTTTTTTTAGTGTTGAGACATGAATAAGGAAAACTCTTTTACAAATATTGAAAAAGCTAGTATTGATTTTGGAGAAATTTCTATTAATGATGGGGCTTATTTCAACTGAAGAGACATGACGTATTTCTAATAAGATTTATAGAGTTTACAACGATTTGATTCTTTTGAAATAACGCTTATGATATGCATTGCTTGCCTCTAATAACCGTCACTAATAAAGAATGAGCGCCATACAACATTTGATGCGAGATATTCTGGCGTACATCCTTCAGAAACTTGTCATAAAGTGGCTAAACATTAAAGGGAATAAATGAACAAGTATTTCTCCGAAACTCTGAAGTGTGGGTAACTTTAAAGTTACTAAGATTTTAGCAGCCACATCGGATATTGAAAAGTACTTTGATATTACTCTGAATCATCTTAAAAGATAAGGTACAATCAACTTATTGCAAACCTATTCGAATCAAATAACAATGTACAAATACACGATTTTTAACTGACGCAAACAATGGATAATCACGAACTTAATAGGAACATAGCGTTTGCAATAAATAAAAAGCCTTGCTTATGAAATTGTTGTCAGCTTGATGTTTACTTGATATTTTTACAATTAATCAATAAAGTCATGATGTTTTCAAAACCACTGCAGATGACGAATGCTTTCCAAAATCAAATTATGCTATCTTCTTTCGCTCAAATAATAAAGATATGTACAATTGATGGCGGTTTAAAGGTCAAGAAGCTTAATTTTCGATGGTAGCATGCCTAATTTTAAAACAAAACAAAAATGCAAGTTCACAGCGTTTACTTATACATCTGCTTCAGTACTTGGTAAACGAAAGCTGACTGTGGAAAAACCATCAATTACCAAACAAACAAAGATTCATCACAATAACGACCCACAATACAGAAAATACTTTGATGATTCTATGCGAAACTTTCTGAGCAACAGTATTATTAACATAATACAAAAAAAGAAAAGAGTATCATTGGAAAATGAGCTAAAAAAGCTCCAAGCGAAGCTTCAAGAATCAACTACTTTGCCAAGAGGAATAATGTCAATGGCAGCAGATTTAGCAGGTCTAGAAAATAAAGTAATGGCAGATTACATGGAAAGGAACGGAGAAAAAAGAAACCATCTGCTGTGGATAGACTTTGTTAAAGAAAACTTTGAGACCACTGCAGCAAATTTGAAAGAAAGGAATCTGGCTTTTCCACCAGAAGCGTCGTCGTCGAAAACGGAATCAACTACCATACCAAAAGAATGCCAATATAGAACTTGTTCTATATCTTTAAAAAACATAAGAAGAAAAGACTTTTCTACAGACATAACAAATATAGTAGACAATAAAATGAAAGAATCAATGATCAAATTAAGCGACTATCGCTGTAGATTCTTTCCAGTTGTACAAATGATGATCCTAACACTAAAAAACCATACCTTTGTTACAAGCAATGGCCAAATGGTGCTAAAAGAGATGTAAGGATATGACATCCGAAAACCGCTGCCAGCAAAATTTGTTGAACACAACCAAATGGCGCCAATTCTGTCAGCCTTGCCTCTGTCAACCGAAGCAATAGAGTATCATTCACACGAGCTTTCTTTGCTCCTTACAGAGCAGCACCTAAATTTGATACATTCTTATTACTCTGGAGCGAAAGGCCCAAACCAAAAAAAACCTGGAAAAACACCCTGTTGAGAGTGCCATGTTCAAAGCATTAAACACTACAAAAGGCTCATATCATCAGAAAGAACTCCACAATGAAGAAATGTCGATTGCTTTGACCTCCATAATCACAAACATCAATAATATACGTGGCAGGATATGAAATGCTTGAAAGAGAAGCGAAATCAGCATCGCATAGAGATAATCAATTGTCGCAGTCTTATATTAAGCTTAAAACAGGGCTTATATCGCAAAAGAATGGCTATTCGATTTGATAAGGCAATTCAGGAACAAGTGAAAAGAAGTAGGCAAGAAAAAAAAGATGATTCAATCAAAATCAACTCCTAAACAACTGGTGTATTCGATGCTACAGATTGACTGATTGACGCCGCGAACGATTTCACTTTCTCTGGTACTGATAATGGATTAGTAAACTTGTCAACAAGCGCGCCTTTCACTTCTCAACGGTTCCAATTCCATATTCAACTGTACAATCGTTATCACCTCTTGCAAGAGCCTGACATTAATATAAAAGATGAGGAAACAGCTTTCTTGAACTTGCCACAGTCGAAAACCATCAATGCGAATGAAATTGATATAAATCGTATGCACAGGAAGAATAGAAAGCATCTAGAATGGTTAAAGAAAAAGACATCTCAAGGAGAAGAAGTTTCTACTTTAGAAGCCAACTTGGAGAAAGCATCCTTCTCAGCTAGCAACAATGTTGAGGAATTTCAGCAGAACTATCGTGTTCATGAGGATTGATCGAAGAAGTTGAGAAGTTTTTATAGCGGTTCAAACAGAGCCAACAAATTACGAAGTCTCGAGATCCAGAAGAAAAAGTATTTGGACAAGATAACAACACAAGAACGAAAGTCCTTGGCCAAAGCTAACACTGGTGCTGATAAAAAGCAGCTGCCTATGTTCATTGGGGATCGTGACACTGGTGTCGGATCACGTATCAAAGGGTTTCGCAGATACGGAGGTAGGTGGAAGGAGCAGCTGCACGGTAAGCATGTCAATATGTGCATTACAAATGAACATATGACATCGCAAACATGTATATATTGCTACCAGAAGCTTTGCCATCTAAAAGCTATGTTGACAAAGAAGAGTAAACAAGTGTCACAAGAAATCAAGGGCGCCTTAATGTGCGTGAATCCAAAATGTGTGGCTGTGAAGTCTGGAAAATCAACCAAGTCTCGAGATGCGCTGTCTTCACTGGAAATCGGTTTGTCTGGCTTGACTCAGTGTTTGATAGGCTCTCCTCTTCCACCATTTGCCCAATCTCAAATCAGTCAATTCAACACTGATACCTGCAGCAAACTTTCATGATCCTTCGTTTCTGTAAAAGATCACTTGACGAACATGGTGTGCTCATACGATAGCAAGATTCATTTTTTAGCTTCATTCGATATTCTAATTTGGTCTTTCTTATAGGTCGTTCCTTGTGAAGGGTAATAGTGTTTTAGATTTGTAGTAATTATGTGACTTACATTTATTCTTGCACATTTAGGCTTTTCGAACCAAAATACTACAATGTGATCAAGCTGATCGTAAGAAAGCCTTGTTTACTCTGCTCTTGATGTAGTTGATAGAGTATATAATCGAGATTAAAACCTGAGAAAATGGTTATACGGATTTTTAAATGGAATTTAACCATAGCCCATCTTGGCTTATCCCCTTCAATGAGCCCACAATGATAATACTGATACTACGCAGAAATGAAAATAAATCTCATCTTTGTGATATCTTTAGTAGGACTGTTTGATCTGACTAAGATAAACAAAGGAAAACATTTTGAAAGATAGGGACATACGTTGCATACTTGTCAAATGAGACATAAAAATACGTTCTTTGTTTGCAAAGAAAATGTGATTTTTCCGTAACTAAGCCTTTTATGGCCTCTGCTTCGCATTTTATTCAATGATACCACAGAGCGTTCGTCAAGTGTTGAAAGCAAAGAAAATTGCTTTGAAGCATAACTTCTAAAATATATATCGATCGATGACAGCTTTGTAACAATCAAATAAAAAAAAAGAATCGGCGCATTTCAACTGGACTTACGTTGGCTCACATAGACATCTAAATGTGCGAAATTGTCGTCAAACCATATACAGTCTAAAACCTGCTGGGCAAAATGTCTATTTTAAGTAGCAATGTTTACATAAATGCTACATTCGAAGACACACTGATCATTACTGTTCTCACACTGCTTCTGTAGTACAGTTCAAAACGGTCAAGAATAGCAAACTATGAGAAAGCATTCCTTAGACTACAGTTGGTTTATTCTGATAGTATTTCCCATTTAACATGTGTATACATAAGCCAAATATATAGGTTCTTACTTTGTACAGTCTATTCTACACCTCTTGCTTCTTTAGTTATTCTAAAAACATGCCAAGAGCGTGTCGAGAGTACAATGACCAAATAAAAAATATAAGTGATATAACGAAAAACATGATGAGACAATAAGCAATAACTTAGCGCATTTTTTTTGCTAAATGTCTGATAAATAAGCATAATGATAGATTTTATTCAAGCATTACTTTAGCTGTTAATGATGTACTTGCACATCTGATGACATGAATGTGAAACAGAACTAGTTGGACGCCGGTAACACACGCGCTTGTTTAAGGTATGGGTAACCCGTTAGGAACCATTTGATATAGAACTGTTTGTACCTGTTTATAGATTTGTTTATCGCTTTATAATATCCTTTTATCCTTTGATACAACTATTGCATAATGCTTTTCTGTACCATTTCCCCCTTGGGCTTTTTTGTCAGATTTATCAAATATGAACAATGTTTGCATTTGTATAAAGCATACGTCAATCGAATAATAAAATCTTAAAGTTTGGAAATGCTGTGCATCTCGGATTTCCTAAATGATTCTCGAGTTCTTTGTCAGTTTTCTTTGATAACAAAGTGCTTAACAGCTGAAGTATATAATACCCAAATATGGTAAAAACTTATTTCCCATTTTGGCCTTACAATGAGCAAAAGTCAGGCAGAGTCGAATTTTTCTTCTTCTAATATCAGTTGAGGCTTGATAAAAATAAAGGGAAAAAGAGCTACAAGTAGCTTTAAATAGATATACATTTTCAGTGGAGGTCATATGGATTAACGTCATTTCGACTAATGGTTTTAGTTTTAGTTGCTTAAATTTCATCTTATTTCACTTGCAAAGTCAAGCTGTATTATGTAAATGGGCTGAAGTCTCCTTTATGTTGAAATCTCGATGACTTTGATGCGCGCAGTAGCCTTTGTGATCAAGACCTGCAATACTTCAGCCCAAAATGTTGAGGCAATGTTGTTATTGATGCCTAATTAGAGAGTTTTTAAAAAAGCAAAGCCTCTGTTACACACCGCGCAGATAGCCGATTTTGGAGTTTTAATGATTTAAAAATAGAAAACCTTTATACTATTTAAAGTGTATCTCTTTTGGATCATTCCTTTCTCTTTTTCTTTACTATTTTACTATTATCTTTTTCTTTTGTCATATAACGAGATGATGGTGCGATCTTCAAAGTTTATTTGGGCTGTGTGCCTTGCTACGTTAGTCTTTATCATGTTCCTAGTCACATATACCACAACACAGTCTGTCAGCTTTCAACTACGGTTCAGTGTTAAGCCAATGACTAAACACGTTCAAACCACCTTGACGAAAGAAGACACTGAAAAATACATTACATATTACCCACATTCTGGGCTTCACAATCAACGACTCGCCTTAATTAACGCCATTGTTCTCGCCAAGGCTATGAATCGTACATTGATTCTTCCAGAAATCAATGTTGGTAGAGCAACCTCTTGGGCCCCATACTACCGATATGAACAAAAGATTGCCATTTGTCCTACTTACTATAAAACCGCTGATGACTGTGCTGATTTCCGTAGATACGTTCCTCTTCCTGCTGAAGCTATCTTTGATCTCAGTGCTGCTCGCGCACAAGGCGTTCGTATCATTTATCGTACTAGTATGTCTACAACATACTTTCAAGATGAATGGTCTGCTACTGACGATGATATCTACCGTATAAAGGATGAAATTCGCCTCTCTTACCGCTTATATGACTCAAAGGAAAACAATGACAGTATGCGTAACTTTACGGAACGTGTGGATATGCAAGACTTGGCTGAACGACAAGAAAGGTTTATCGTCTTTGGTTCATTGCACTACACGCACCGATTGGCTCTGAGTGACCCTCAACTGATCTGGTTCAGACATCATCTCCAGCAAGAAGTGAGTATTGGCCACCCGGTAGTGATCAAACAAGCCTTACGAGTTCTTTCCAAGTTGGGTGGACCTGACAACTTCGTTGGTGTTCACTTGCGTCAAGGCGATGGTTTCTTCAAGAGAGCAATGGCAGAAACAGTAAACGCTGTCAGATTGGCTTTGGAACAGGACACTCTATCCAACATGCAAACAGATCAAGTAACTATTCCAAACACACGCCCTCTTACGGATGAAGAAGAAAACATGGTTCAAGAACTACAGCAAATTAGAAACCCCGACGCCCTTTTAGTCCAGTGCCTCAAGATCCATCGCAAGGATAACCATCCAAGACTGCGCCTTATCTACATGGCTACTGATACTCGTCAGCCACGTACGACACTCAGTGGTTTACACCAAGAGTTCCCTTGTCTGTTTACCTTGTCTGACTTTCCTGATATCATTCAAGACATCTTGAGTGCTCAGCCCATGGCTATTGGTGATAAATATATTGACAGCGTCTATGAGCGAGTAGGCACTACTATCAACTCACTCTTGATTCCTATGGTTGATGCAGAGATCACTTCACATGGCTCAGCCTTCATTGGTACAAAGAAGAGTACCTTTTCTAGCTACATCTTTAATAGATACAATCGATTTCAAAGCATGTATGCACCACTTGTAATTTAATTCCATAATGTATTATAACACATCCCCCACCTGTTTATATATATATATATAATAACTGCATATACAATTGTAATATTTATTTCATCCAATAAATAGTAGATATACATATAGATTTCTAGAATGTTAAAAATGATGCGACATAAAAGTTTGTTTCTATTTTTGTTGCTTGTTGTGAATGTATGTGATAAACATAAGTTTCAGCCTCAAATTTGGGCTTCTATTTATAGTAAATGAGGCTATTTACATATAGAGTACTTCATCGTCTGAGGACTATTAAATAAAGTTAGTATTTACTTTGTACTAAATATGCAATATTTACATCTTCTTCATAATTGCTATTAAACAGCGAATTAATAAGGTGTCTATATTTTTTTTTTTTAAATCGCTCACTTACGTGTCACCTAACAGGTCCTGTAGATCCCTGACTTGATTTTTGAGTTCATTTTTTAAAGATACCAAGTGGCGGATATGTTCAACGGCTAATTAAGTAGAAAAAGAGAGTGAGTATTAACGTAAACATACAATTATAAATCGTTATACATTTTTGCAATATAAGCGCCTCACTTCGGTTGCCATGATTAAGGGACGGGACAATGTCGATTAGCTGATCAAACCCAATTTTAATATTCTGTCTTCTTTTCTGCTCAGATGCAATATGGTTCGCTTTCTTTTGTGCTTCTGATAGCAGCTCATGGGGCTGCTTACGGCGTCTTCGTACCTTTGTTGTTGTTGTATTGGATGGAGAAGTGTTGTATGGATGATAGCATTGTTTCTCGGACATTTTTTTAGTCCTTTCCTTGTAGCTGTCACTACTATTGTTACTGTGTATGCTGCTGGTTTCATAAACTGAAGACTTTATCGAGCTTTGCTCATCTTCCTTTTTGACTGGAATGTATGCTTGAGGCTCAGTAAAATAGGTATTTGATGGTGCTTGGTGGTGAAGTGACGGGTAATGCGTGTCATAGGGAAAAACAGGATATGCAAAAGACTGTGTTGCTGTGGGTTCAAATAAGGTAAACATGTAAAAACCATACATTCATTAGTCCATACCTGGAATATCATGCTTTCCTACTGGATAATAGAATTGGTTATTGACGGTATAGTTCATATTTTTTATTCAATAAAGAAAAAGAAACGACAAAACTGAGTATGTTTATATATTAGCGAAAATAGCTTGCCTTGATGGGTTAATGATAATAAAGATAGATACACACATGTGATTGTTTATGTTTTTATTTCACATGTATGACAACCAGACAGGTCTCTTGGTATTTTTTTTCTTTTTCATGTGCTTTGACCTACTGTTATTTATAAAAAAGGTAATTGTTGGAGAACAATAAACTCTTATTTACAGTTGCCATCCCAGCCGTTACCATACAATACCGTTACCATAACATATACCAACAGAGATCATTTTACACCTTTATTAATCAAGAAGGTCTAAAAAAAACGTGTAAGTGTCTTTTTCGGTAGCAAAGATTACACGGCCCTTTGGTTACACTTTAACTCTTTTTGTTTTCTGTGAGAAAGTCTCATTTCTTATTATCAATACTGATCTATTCATTTATCTAATTATTAATACAGACTACGTTTCCAGATAACAATATCGTCTTTAGCCAATTCTGGTGTCGCAAGCTGATAAAGACTATATAGTTGCCATAGATGAAACTAATTGCGTAAAGAGTCCGTTCTCTTTTCTGTAAAATGTAATCCGGGTACCGGCATGGAGTATAAAATATTGTCGTATTTAATCCACATAACTTATTCCTTATATGGGAGTCCTGCTGTGCTTAATGCGATCTTGTTTCCTTTTGTCAATGAATTACGTCTTTTTTCCCTGTATTCGGCGTAAAAAGGCTTTGTAAATTCTTGTTAAAAAAAATAATCGTGCCATATTTAGGCAAATCCTTATTACCATCTTCTTATAATATTATCATGCTTGGCATTTTACCTTTACCTAGTAAGACTTTTTCTTCGCTGACCATTCATTGGCTATTATACATGTGGAAAAAAAAAGTTCACATCATTTTTTTCTCCCTCTCTGTTGTCTGCATTGACCCTTTTTTGTCTCTGTTCGGACATTGATTTACTGTGACTATTTAAACATCCAGTTCAAAAAATGGCGTGTCTGCGGGGTGTATCCTTTCTTTCTAGGTTCTTGCTTTATGCAACTTGGTCAAGCAGACGTTTTTCATGTAAATGACACGATACGTTCTTTATATTCATTATACTTATTTATTCATAGCATCCACTTGCTGTCAGTGATACAACTGCAGGAAACGGAGAAGCAAAAAAAGAAACGGAGCATCATAGAGGACGTCGTCCATCGGCAACACATTCTGTAGGGAGTCAAAAGCAACGGAGAAAATCAATAAATTCTTTTGAATCAAGACAAAAGAACGACCAGGCGGTTCAGTCAATTCAAGATATTATTGGTGACATAAAGAGAATACCTCCAGTATCCTTTAGCGATGATCACTTCTGGAAACGCGGCCGTCGTCACTCGGAACCTCATGGTCGCCATATGCTATCCAAAAAAGCAGACACTCTGCATAGGATCGAGGAAGTCAAAGAGAAGGATGAGAATGAACATGTTCAATTAGTGTCACCATCAGAGGAACATCTGACGAGACGCAACAGGAGCAAATCAGGTAAGTTTTGCATATTGTTTTGTTTACTTATGTGGGGTAAAAACAAAAGACTTTAATAGTACCAAATACACTACCACCCATAGAAGAGAGTCATCGAAAGGCTATTTATCCCTCTTATCTAGACCTTCCCGAAGCACTGGCAGCTATACGACAACGCAAACTGTTTGCAGGTGTCTTGCAAATCGACGTACAAGATAGCTCGGATGCAAATGTCGAGTGTGACGAGTTGGATGCTTTAATTTATATTTATGGCTCTAGAAATAGAAATAGAGCATTACATGGTGATGAAGTGGCTGTGGAATTGGTTAATGTAGAAGATATGATGAATGAAAAATATGCAAAGATGCAGGCACGAAAGTTTAGGCAAATTCCTTCAGATGATGACTTGCTTTGCAGTTCTGAAACTAATGAGACAAAGGTGTATCCAAAATATTGCGGCAGAGTTGTTTGCATCCTTGAACGGCCAAAAAACATGATTTTTTCAGGGTAATTACAGTTCTTTATTCTAAAAAGAGAATTGATAAATAACCAAGATACATTAGAACCTTGTCCTTATATCGACCTCTTTCTGCCTACAAAAAACCCACAACAACAGAAAAGCCACATGCTTCACCAAAGATCATCTGGTTTATACCTATCAATAAACGATTACCACTTGTCGCAGTACCTATCAAGTTTGCTCCCGCTGAATTTGTAAAATACCATGAAGAATACAAAAACAGAATATTTGTAGGTAGTATTCAGCGTTGGCCAGCCTCTTCTTTGCACCCATTTGGCAATATTGTAAAGGAAGTGGGCTGGATAGGCGAATTGGGTGTACAATCGGGTGTTCTAATGGCAGATCATCATATTAAAGACACGAGCTTTTCTGACACTGTGCTCAGAGCAGCTACAACAATACCAAAGAAAGTAACACCAAGTGATCGAAAAGGAAGACGAGATTTCCAAAAAGAGAATATACGTATCTTTACCATTGGGTCTTCTGAAAAAGGTAAAGTATTTAATCTCTATAATTAATATATCAATGATAAGCTTATTTTTTTCACTTAGGTGCGGAGGTTGCATTCTCAGTATCAGTACCTGAAAAAGCAACTTTTGAAGTCGGCATCCATGTAACCGATATTGCTCACTACGTCCGTGAAAAAACTACGCTAGATAAAGCGGCCAGAGAGCGATCCTACGCTATTGAGCTGGTAGAACAAACCATTCCAATCTTGCCGTCATCTTTTTTGGAATCTCATTGCTACTTATTACCAAATCGCGAACGACTTGCCTTTTCAATTATGTGTCGATTTACAGAAAATGGAACATTACTGCACGCATGGGTAGGAAGAAGCATCGTTCGATCAAAAGGACATATCAAACACGTAAATACAAGTGGAGAGAAATCAGAGATCGAATCTGATGCTTTCATACTTTTGGGTCTATGTCGTAAACTACAGCGAAACCGTATAGAACATGAGCATGGCTTAAACCTAGCCAAGCATTATGTAGCGTTCAAATTAGGAAAAAGTGGATATCCTGAAGAGATCATTCAAATGGACGAAACTGATGAAGATGTTCTGATGAATGAGCTGCTAATTATTGCCAATATTGAAGTTGGTCAAAAGATATCCAGTAGATTTCCCGATCAGGCACTTTTATACAGGCAAGAGCAGCCGAAGATGTCAGCATTTGTGAGTTCTTTAGAAAAACAAAACGAAAAAAAAAAAAATGGGTGCACTAATCGAATGTTACATAGTCGCTGATTCAAAGCTACTTTAACTCTCAATGCGACTCTGTACACGATCTGATGAATTATGTAAACGAAGAAAAAGATCACAAAAAACAACAAGCATTAAATTACGTAATAAGCAAGGGTCTTCCCAAATCAAAGTTTTTCAGTGCAGGATCTGTTGATATTGCCAAGTATAAACATTTTATGTATGGTGCACCACTCTATGCTCTCTTTACTGAGCCTACACGCAACTATGCATCTATTATTACTCAAAGACAACTTATGATAGCCCTCAAGGGAGGCCAACAAGAAACTGATAACTTTGATGCGATTGATAAGGTAGCGAGGCACTGCAATGCTATATTAGCAGCCAAACACTCCGCAGAACAAGAAAGTAAAAGACTGTATACGGCAGCTTTTATCTACCGCCAATCTCTCAAGGACATGAGGAACAAAAACGTTGAAGCTGAATGCTTAGTAGCTGGATTTCAAGCACCTGATGTTATGTTTCTCTATTTCCCGACATATGGTCTTGAGTTACCAGTTGTATGTAATGAAAAATCAATGCCTGGTCACGCTTCTAACAGGGGTGTATATGATGCAGACAAGCAAAAGATGACGCTGACCTGGCATTCTGATAAAGATGACGTTCAGACAGTAAGCTTCCTTTCAACTGTCTCTGTTCAGTTGTCTGTGGATATGCAGGCAGCAATCCCTGTGTTCTTTGTTAAACTTTTGTACAAAAAATAAATTTGGTGCGTGTCTAAAACATTCCACTAACCAAAATTGAGACCTGCTGCGGCGACACACTCCTGTCGCCGCAGCAGTTCAGTCATTCAATAAATACCAGCTATCATTGTGCCAGTTTTAGAAATTGTAAGCTACACATTATGGTCACTAAATTATTTACTCAGAACTTGAGCAAGTTCAACATTTGTTTGGATGATGATGCTGCAGAATATATTAGTGGTATGCTAGAAAGTATGTCCATGGACGAAGCAGACGAAATCAGAGCGTCCACAGAGAGCTTTCTTATTGACGCCAATACTGATGAGGATACGAGGAGAGCCTTTTATTCTAATTTGTTTGAGAATAATATATCAACACCCAAAGAGATCAAAAATCAAAAGAAGTTGCCAAAACCACTCCAAGGAACAGAAAAAACAAAGGAGGCATGTGTGCGGAACTTTAAACATACAGTTTGAATAACATGAACCTTTTTAGGATTTACCATCAACACTCAACAGTACAGCTACCAAGCCACCAAAGAGCGCGACGAGACGAACAGGAAGACGTGAAAAATTAAAGGATCAGGATACCGATGATAAGGAGCCTGAAATTGTTGCGATTAGTCAGCAAAGTCGTTTTCATACAGAGACAATTGAAAACTTAAACAAAGAATTGGACCTCAAAGGCGTGAATATATCGATCAATCAAAAAGACCTCCTGGTAGACGCCCACTTGAAGTTGAAACCTTTCACTCGGTATGGTTTAGTGGGTCAAAATGGCGTCGGAAAATCAATGTTGTTGAAGTGCTTGGCAGAGAACATCTTGATTGGTGTGCCCCAAAACTTAAATATTCTGCACATTTCGCAACTTGACGAGTTTGATGAATCAAGAATGGTACTGCAAGAGATTTTGGAAGCTGACAAGAAGGCATCGGCGACAATAAGAGAGTTTGAAGGTAGTATCTAATGGATCTATTGATCTTGGTATTGTATTTAACGGCTGGGTAGCTCTTCAGTCTGTTATGGGAAACGAAAAGAATTTCAAGGCATCCAATGATCTTAACCAGATAGTGTACTCTATCATGCAGTCTCGTCTACGCGAAAAGTTAGATCAAGCTTCTAAGATTGCCATCAAGCGCTCGGGTCTACGTGGTCGTGAAGCAAGAAAAGTGCTGATTGAATGCGAAAAGGAACTCGAAGAATTTAACAAGAAGAACCCACAAACCTACGTTACCTCTGGTATGGTGACGGAAATTATCAATGAAGTCTACGAGAAGATAGAGCTGATTGATCAAGATGAGCGAAAACACCGAGCTGTAAAGCTACTGAAAGGTCTTGGATTCAGTGAAGAACGGATCAATGCGCCAATCTCTCGCCTATCTGGTGGCTGGCGCATGAGAGTTGCTTTAGCAAAATCGCTTTTCCTAAAACCGGATATCCTTCTTTTGGATGAACCTACAAACCACCTAGACCTGCCCGCCATCCTATGGCTGCAGGAGTATGTCATGAATGAAACGGATGATATGACTGTGGTTGTTGTTTCCCATGATCGTGAATTCTTGAATAATGTTACAGAAGAAACTATCATTCTTAGAGATAAAACACTCAAGTATCACGCTGGTAACTTTGAAGACTGGGAAAGAAACACAGAAGAACAAAGAATACGAAAACAAGCTCTGTATGATGTAAGCTATTTAATATATCTACTTTCTGTCATATGTTTATGCTGTTTTAGAGCACAGAAAAAAAGAGAACAGCTATCCAAGCAAGTATCCAACATAACATGCGACAAGCTAAAGCTACGGGCGATGATAAGCGACATGGTATGATTCAATCACGAAAAAAGAAGCTGGAAAGATTAGGCATGGAAAAAACTGAAGATGGTAGACGCTTCAAGCTCAACCGAGACCGTGGAGGCTATCACAGCAGCCTCCGAGAAGAAGTCGTTGTTGAGAAAGCGGTAAAGACAGCGGCTATCAAAATACCACCTCCTACTGAACTGCGTTACCATGGTCCAATGCTTACTATGAAAGAAGCTGCTTTCCGTTATGAAGGAAGTACAACCTATGCTATCAAAAAGTTCTCCATCAGCATTGAGCCAAATGCAAGAATTGCTTTTATTGGACCTAATGGATGCGGTAAGACGACTCTTTTGAACATGCTAGTAGGTAAAGTACAGCCTACATCAGGAGAAGTCTACAAGCATCCTCTTCTTCGTATCGGTTACTTTTCACAACATGTAGTAGACCAGCTCGACCTGGATGTCTCACCGGTTGAATACATGATGTCTCAGTATCGCTCACTTTCAGAACAGGAATGCCGTTCTCATTTTGGCACAAGTGGTCTCAGTGGAAATGTTGTTCTTCAAAAGATTCGTTCTTTGAGTGGCGGTCAGCGAAGTAGAGTCGCACTCGCTCTGATTCTGTATGAGCAACCTCACGTGCTTGTGCTTGATGAAATCACAAATCATTTGGACATGGGCACTGTGGACATGCTCTTGGATGCTTTGCGAAAATACACAGGCGCAATAGTGTTGGTTAGTCACGACATTTGGTTTCTGAAGCAGATGTTCGAGCAAGAACTGGATAGCGATAGTGATAGCGGCAAGGAATTTGATGACGAAGACGAGGCTGCAGTCCAGAAAGAGATTTATACGATAAAGAATGGTAACGTTAAACGATGGGATGAAGGTATTGATGCATATGTCGCTTCAGTTTTGAAAACAGTAAGAAAGATAAGCTGAATACCGTAATTTTTTATAATAAAAAAGTATTCATCCTGATCCTTCTCAATTGGTGAAGCGTCATTAAGAAAACTATTTTTATGTATACTCATAATTTGTTGATGAAAGGCAGCTAGATCAAGCTAATATTAATGATAACCAGGAAGAAAAGTAAAAAATTAATTTGTCTTTCTCTTAAATGTGGTGAAGCCAGTGCCTGAATCGATGCACGGTGAAGCATAAATTTCGAAAAAGTTGTCAATTCAATCCTTGACCACTACTTTCACGTTCAGCTGCATCAGCATTGCCAAAACAATCTCTTGAACAGCAGGAGGAGTTATACTTTCTTAGATAAGTGTATTCAACACTGCATAATCAAAGAAAGAATCAAGACGAGAAATAGCACACGCCAACAAGAATAAGCACTATATATACTATTTTGTAAAGCGCACGACAATACAAATGTAGAAAAGCTGAACAAGGCCAGATGGTGCACCTCAACAAAGATCTCCTTTCTCAACTTTGAAGTATTGAGAATATCAGGTAAAAGCAAATTTGGAGCCAAGATCGATACCGACCATTGTACGTATTAAACTAGGAGCTTGATAGAAGAGGTGGTAGAAGCAAAGCAAGAATTTCCAGGCGCTCAGGTACTAGCTCCTTATCATGTTTTTCACTTTGAAGAAACAGTCCGGAACAACATATCGCCCATAAAAATAACTGAGCATGAGGCTGTACTCCACACGACCGAGAATATTCAAGTGGTAGAGAAAGTTCACAAATTTTCCATGAACCCTCCTTCCGAAACTGTGGAGCCTTTGGTTAGGAATCCTGAGATAACAGACGGAATCTCTGCTCTGCCTGATCATATCAAAGGTGAAATGATCGAAAGTTATAAAATGGATAAATGGAGATATCACGAAAGATTTCAGCATCCAGTGGTAGCAGTAACTGTCAATGAAGTCGAAGTGGGCTTTTGGGTTGGTGATTTGGTTGTTGTACATGGTAAAGTGTATATTCTTTCTTGGTTTTTCACAGTCGATCATAGTTCTGTTATGGTTGAAGCCTATGAATATACTAACAACACATATATACATGCTCATAACCAGCCTTCTTTATTCTGAGATAAAGATATAAGGAGCATACAAATAAATTAAGGATATACTTTTATATTTGCTATCAAATGGCTGATAAACCACTATTCTAAGCGTGGATTATAATTACTGAGGATTTGATTGACTAATGGTTCCTGAGTTCATAAAGAAAACTTTTAATTTGTTCCTGACACTGATCTTATTGTTCATGTCATGGTCTGGGTTATGATACTGCTTTTACCATAAGGACTATTTTTAAAGAAGTGTATCTTTATATAAAGAAGTTATGACTTATATTCAAAGGAGATATTCTATTTAATTTGACTTATCACTAAAAATGTGTACATGTAATTTTATAATGTATGAATTCACTCTATTCATACTGATTACAGTCGCTTATCTCAATGTCAGTCATAAGTAGACATTGTTCTACGATAGATCCTACAGAACCTGCTATTTTGCCAATAGAAAAACAAAGGTCCAATCCATTTAAATACCGTATATTACTTATGGCAAGGATAGTGAAGGTACAGATGAATCAATGGAAGAGGTATATTATACAAATCAATTTGTACTTGGCAATCTATGTACAAAGAAAAGAAGTAGTCAAAAAAGCCACTGTCAAATTTTAGCCTAAAAAAAGTGTATCCACATCTTTAAATAAAAAACACGAGTGTTTAGTCTGAATGTTACCTAAAATAAAACAATTGACCGAACAAGGTAATTTTATTTTACCGGTTATCCTGATTTAGAAAAGTTTTATCCCCCTCAGATCTAGGCCGGAAGGCCGGTGACAATCATAGTGGAGAACGCCTTTCCTATTTAAAGTAACGTGATAGGCTGCTTTAGTTACCAAGTCAGTCTTTTGCTTTGATGACAAATCAACATACAACACTTGTTCATGATGTTAGAATCAATCTAGATGCTTGTCTCATTAATAATCCCTTAGAACTACTAGTGGCCGCACTTTCAATAATAAAGCTATTATTTTTTGCATATTTTTGAATGTCATTTGTGTAGCATATTTATTAAAAAGGAGTGCAATTTACCACGTTTAAGGTAGAATGAGTTGATCCGCTTCGGCAAGATGAAATAGGCTCCTTCTGTCGAATGTAATCAACTGCTACTAAATTTTCAACATGAGAATTGTCAAATATATCTGCCATGATCTTAATCTATTATACTTAGTACCATGCAGAAAGTAAATATTCTAGCTGTAGTTCATTTTACAGACAAGACGGTAATATTGTTCTAATTCTATTCATTCATGTATGATTTGATTTTCACTCAAACAGTTGTATCGTATCAAATAAAATTACCTTGTCTAAAAAAAATAGAAGAAAACAAGTGACTAAGGGAGGACTTTGACCCGAGATGATAATGCGACCGTTTTCTTATCACAGTTTGATTACGGAATTAAGACATATATTTAGTGTGCCCATGGAAGCGATAACTATGGAAACGTTTTTTTTTTTTTTTTTTTTGATAGATCGTATGACAAAATGGTGAAAGGAGATAAGCTGACGCATAAAATACGTACAAGACTAGTTTTCCATTATTAAAGTTTGTCCTTTACGCATCAAAAAGAAGAATGATCAAGGTGACCCCATCGATATAAGAAAAAACAACAGATAAGAAATTAATTGCAAGTTACACTACATTGTCAATTTGTCAATTTCGCCGCTCGTTCTTTTTTTGTCCTGTTTACTTCTATGGATAGAGTTGTCTAATACTCTATATTTATGCATCTTTCTGTTTGAAAACTGCTCTGGGAGAAATTTACCCGGCAACAGGGAAAAAGAAATTTCGAAGGTACTATTTTTGTGAAGAGACATGAAAATTTCATTGGTAGAAAAAAGCGTCATCGGAGCTTACTACTGCTTGAAAGCCCTTACTCAACCAGAACAAATAAAGCTGTCTAATCAATTCTTTTGAATCATAATTTATTCATTTCTCAACCTACAATGGTTACCACTCTAGTTGATCCATCAATGAACGTATATGATGTAATTTGGTGTTACCTAGACAATGGTTTTACCGCAGATTCTGTATGGATAAATCACTTGGCAGCTGTGTTTATTAATTTGGAAGCCGAAAGGATGGCGGAATAGCTCAGGCCTGAACTATTAATCCGATTAGTTAATCACGTATATAAATACCAAGATGATTCGGGGCAATTCTTGAAAGCTCTCCTTTTTCTTTTACTTCATATACCTGCATTCATTTTTACCAGTTGCATCTAATATCATATCCTACCTCATCAAGTTTTTATTTCATTTAATATAATAATTTGATCCAGCATGGATATGCCCGCATTGCAACACGTTCACTCGGTTCATCAAGACCGGGATGAAGAATTTAGACAAACACATCATTCATCCGATGAATCGACTATAGACGAAGCTCATCAAAAAGAAGAAACCAACAGTGAAAAAGAATATACAATCGCTCGTACTACAACCGGTGGCTTTGGTGAAGCTGGAGGAAATGCAGTGAATATCGAAAATGCCATTTCCAACTATGAAGACCTTCGTAGAGAATTAACCACTCAGTCTCGAATGTCTCGCATAAAGTCTACACATGTTTCTGACGCTGCCGATACCGTCGAAAAGGGAGACGTCAAAGACTTTGATTTGACTGAATTCTTAAGTGAGCAAAACGATCAAGCTGTGGCAGCTGGTATGCATCCTAAGCATATGGGCTTGATCTGGAAGAATCTTGTCGTTCAGGGTCTTGGTGCTGACGCCAAGGTCATTCCTACAAACTACACCTGGGTCCGAGACTTTGTAAAATTCTGGAAGTGGGGCAAGCGTTCTGGTAATGACTTTACAATCTTGAAAGGAAATGATGGTTTCTGTAAGCATGGTGAAATGTTACTCGTCCTCGGTCGTCCTGGTGCTGGTTGTACTACTTTACTTCGTGTCTTAGCCAACATGCGTGCCTCTTATACGAATATTGAAGGTACTGTGACCTATGGTGGTATTGAAGCTCGTGAATTCTCAAAGTACTACCGTGGTGAAGTTTGTTACAATGAAGAAGAAGACCTACATTATCCTACATTGACTACTAAGCAGACATTGAGCTTTGCCTTGAAGAACAAGACTCCTGGTAAACGTTTGGAAGGTGAAAGCAAGAAGGAGTTCATCAACAAAGTCCTCTATATGCTCGGAAACATGCTGGGTCTTACCAAGCAAATGAACACTATGGTTGGTAATGCCTTCGTTCGTGGCCTTTCTGGTGGTGAACGTAAACGTCTTTCTATTGCTGAGCAGATGACTACCCGTAGCTCTATCAACTGTTGGGATTGCTCTACTCGTGGTCTTGATGCCTCATCTGCTCTTGACTATGTCCGTTCTCTTCGTATCATGACTGACATTTTGAACAAGACAACTGTTGCTACTCTTTACCAAGCATCTGACAGTATCTTCCATCTCTTTGATAAAGTCATGGTCCTTGATGAAGGTCGCTGTATCTACTTTGGCCCCACATCTAATGCAAAATCCTATTTTGAAGACATGGGCTTTTACTGTCCTGATCGTAAATCCACTCCTGATTTCTTGACTGGTCTTTGTAACCCTAACGAACGTCAATACCGCGAAGGATTCAAGGAAAAGGTGCCCGTCAATGCTGTTCAATTCGAAAAAGCCTATAAGGAATCTGGTCTTTACGCTCAAATGATGAAGGAGCGTGACGAATACGAAAAACATATTCAAGAAAATCGTCCCGACGAGCAGTTCCGTCAAGCCTTTATTGATGCCCATCAAAAACACGCTCCTACCAAGTCTCCCTTTGTGGCTACTTACTATCAGCAAGTCAAATCTCTTACCATTCGTCAGTTCCAACTCATTTGGGGTGACAAAGGTGCTTTGGTCTCTCGTTATGGTGGCGTTGTCGTCAAAGGTCTTATCATGGCTTCCGTCTTTTACATGATGCCTACTGATGCTACTGGTGCCTTCTCTCGTGGTGGTTCTTTCTTGTTCTCTCTATTATTTAACGCCTTGATCGCTCAGTCTGAACTGGCTGCGTTCATGCAAGGTCGTCGTGTCTTGGAGAAGCACAAGCATTTCGCCTTGTATCATCCTTCTGCTTTTTACATTGCTCAAGTTATTGTTGATATTCCACTTGCTATCGTTCAAGTCATCGTTTTCGAAATCTGTGTTTACTTTATGATGGGTCTTGTACTTGACGCAGGAAAGGTAAAAAAAAAAAAATTTATAGCTCTTATTTTTTCGGTTGCTAACTTTATTGCTTTGGTAGTTCTTTACTTTCTTTATCATTCTAGTGGTGACTAACTTGTGTATGAATGGCTTCTTCCGTTTCTGGGGCGCTGTTTCACCAAACTTCTTTACTGCTTCTCAGTTATCATCCATTCTTCTGATTGCTGCCTTGGTGTACTCTGGTTATCAAATTCCTTACAACAAGATGCATCCTTGGCTCATGTGGATCTATTGGATCAATCCTCTGGCCTATGGTTACAAGGCTTTGATCTCCAATGAGCTGACTGGCATGAACTTCTCTTGCGAAGGATTCAACTCAGTTCCTTTTGGTCCCTCTTATACAGATGATGCCTACAAGACCTGTAATCTACCTGGTGCTGTTCCTGGCCAAACACACGTTCTTGGCGATGATTATCTTCACTATGCTTACGGTTATGAGACCTGGCAACGATGGATCGATTTTGTTGCTGTCGTTCTCTTCTTCCTCTTCTTTACTGTCTTAACTGCTCTTGCTATGGAATATGTTGATCTCCAAAAGGAAGGTTCCATCACCAAGGTGTACAAGGCTGGTAAGGCGCCCAAGGAAATCGATGAATCCAAGGCCCTGGAAGCTGTTCAAACCGAACAAGACGAAGAAATGGAAAGTGTCTCTACTGGTACTACTTTCTCTTGGCATCACATTGATTACACTGTTCCCGTCAAGGGTGGTCAACTCAAACTTTTGAATGACATTGGTGGTATTGTCAAGCCTGGTCATCTTACTGCCCTCATGGGTTCTTCTGGTGCTGGTAAGACAACTCTTTTGGACGTTTTGGCTCAACGAAAGACCATTGGTAAAGTTGAAGGCCGTATGTACTTGAATGGTGAACCTCTTGGTCCTGATTTCGAACGATCTACTGGTTACTGTGAGCAGATGGATGTCCACAACCCTAATGCTACTGTACGAGAAGCACTCAAGTTCTCTGCTTACCTTCGTCAACCTGCTGAGGTTCCCAAGGAAGAAAAGGATGCCTACGTTGAACAAATTATCCGTCTTATGGAAATGGAAAAGATTGCTGATGCCCTCGTTGGTGATCTTGAAGCTGGTATTGGTATCTCTGTTGAAGAACGCAAGCGTTTGACTATTGCTACTGAATTGGTTGGTAAGCCCAAGCTTCTTTTCCTTGATGAACCTACCTCTGGTCTTGACGCTCAAAGTTCCTACAACATTGTTCGTTTCATTCGTAAGCTTGCCGATGCTGGTTGGCCCGTGCTCTGTACTATCCATCAGCCCTCTGCTACCCTCTTTGAACACTTTGATCATTTGGTGCTTTTGGTTCGTGGTGGTAAGACTGCTTACTTTGGTGAAATCGGCAAGGATGCCTCTACGATGATCTCTTACTTTGAAAGAAACGGTGGTCCCAAGTGTTCTCCTAACGCTAACCCTGCTGAATACATTCTTGAATGTGTTGGTGCTGGTACTGCTGGTAAAGCCAAGGCTGACTGGGCTGAAATTTGGAAGACCTCTCCTGAAGCCAAGGCATTGGAAGAAGAACTTGAACAAATCCACCAAACGGTCGACCATAACCGCAAGAACACCAACAGTCCTTACTCCCTCTCTTTCTTCCAGCAGTTCTGGCTCGTCTACAAGCGTATGAATGTCTCCTGGTGGCGTTGTCCTACTTACAACATGGGTCGTCTCTTCAACGTTTGTTTCATTGGTCTCATCTCTGGTTTTTCCTTCTGGAAGTTGGGCAACACTCCCTCTGATCTGCAAAATCGAATGTTCTCTGTCTTTACTACTCTGCTGATGAGTAACGCCTTGATCATTTTGGCTCAACCTCGTTTCATGCAAGAACGTGCCTGGTTCCGTCGTGAGTATGCTTCTCGTTACTATGGTTGGGCTCCATTCGCACTCTCTTGTATTCTTGTCGAAATCCCTTACTTGATCTTCTTCTCGACCATCTTCTTGTTCTGTTTCTACTGGACAGCTGGCCTTCAAAACGTCTCTGATCGTGTCGGTTTCTTCTACATTCACTTTGTGGTCTTCTTGTTCTACTCTGTCTCCCTTGGTTTCACTATTGCCGCCTTCTCAAGCACACCACCTATGGCTGCTGTCATCAATCCATTCTTCACGTCCATCTTGATCTTGTTCGCTGGTATCATGCAACCTCCTTCTGCTATGCCAAAATTCTGGAGCTCATGGATGTACTGGGTGGATCCTTATCATTATCTGATAGAAGGTCTTGTCGTCAACGTCATGGATAGTGTTCCAGTACACTGCGGTGAATCCGATTTTACCAAAATACCCGCCCCTCCTGGTATGACCTGTGGTCAATACATGGCTGATTTCTTCAAATCTGGTGGTAGTGGTTATCTTGGCAACGAAAATGCTACTGGCATGTGTGACTACTGCCCTTACAGCTATGGTAATGAATTCTATGAAGAAAGAATCGGATGGAGCTTTAGTAACAGATGGCGCGACTTTGGTATCCTTTGTGCTTACTCTATTTTCAACGTCTTTGCCTTCATGTTCTTTGTATTCTTATTTAGAAAAGCCAAGCGATAAAAGCTTATAGCATTATACATATTTATATATAGACACCTTTCATTCTGTACGCTTTTTTTCATATAATGCAATAATAAAATTCATATTTATTTAAAAATTTAAAAATCTGTCTTCTTTCCAGTGTAAGCTTTTTTTACAGGCAACTGCTGTGGCAATCTTGGTGGCTGTTGATGTGTAGGTGATTGAGCTGGTGATGGCTGTGGTGATGGTTGTGGTGGTGATTGGCTATTACTACTTAGAGCATCCAGGTGCTGTTGAATTTGTTGATCTAGCTGCTGTCTTTGTTGATCTTGATCTGTTTGCTGTTCTTGCTCTTGTGCTTGTTCTACCTGCTCTTGGGTTTTCTCAGTAGTTGGTGTGCTAAGTGAGTTCTTTCTAGATTTCTTTCCTTCTGCTTTCTTCTCTTCTGCCATTCTCTTCTTTTCCATTTTTACCTCTTCTTTTTGCGCCCTCAAACCTGTCATAGAAATGAGCACACCATCTAGCGCTTATGTCCTCCAAAAAGAAAAACACTTACGTTGTTCTGCTCTACTAACTTCATGAGCAGCAGTCTGTTCGAATTCAGTAGCAGCTTTAAAGTCGAGCATTTGCACTCTTTGTTGTCTTTGAAATCCTCTTGGTAGAGTAGCTAATCATTTTTTTTTTTTTAGAAACGTTGTACCATCATCATGCGTCCTACACGTACCTGATGTCCTACTTCCACTTGGAGAACGTTGAATAGGCTTTCCTGTGGGTGGCCTCTGTCTAGGCTTTGTTATGAATAAACTTGAACCACCAGAAGGAGGACCTCTGGGCGGTGGTCTGATAGGTCTTGGGAAATTGCCAGAGGTAGGAGTTGTTGGAGGAGAGGCAAAGGTGTTGATTGGATTAGGAATGTTTGCAGTAGGTGAAGTAGCTGCCATACGTTTTCCTATATTTGACATATCAAGACCAGGCCGCTTCTGAGCAGCTACTACAGACGATTCGACTTGTTCAGCGCGTTCTTCCATAGATACCAGTGCTATGAGTTGATCGCCAGGATTAATAGGGTGAATGAGATCTTCTGTATTTGAGGTCAATTCAAAGTGTTTTGCTACTGTAGGTTGCCATGATGTAAAAATAGGTGAAGCTACGGTTGGCACAGGTCGTACTTTAGGATCCAATAACATATATTCAGGGGAATGAAAATGAATGCCATTTTCTCTAACTGTATAATAATGTGTGATTAGATCAAGTAAAAAACTATCAAATTATATATAGATTTTACTGAATGATTTAACTCTGTTCAGCACTGAATCAGGTTCATTCCAATATTCAATATTCACATTGAGTTGTTGTGTATCAGGATATGTTTTAAGGATGTCTGCTATTATATTTACAAATTTATCATCGTCTTTGCTGGCAATATTACAAATCTACACAAAAGAGGATCGATCAGTAAGTCACGAGTTCATTCTTTTTATCCTAACCTCTTCAAAGTTTTCACGAATAGCAATCAAATCTCTACTCTTTAAATGTAGCAAAGACAATAAAATATCTAATTTTGTTTGTTTGTCAAAATCCTTAAAAGACCCTGCAATTAAATTAACAAGGTCCTCAGACAGTTTTCCTGCAATATGAGTGCTATCCCAGCCTGTCTTTGGCTCTTTTGAAATAATTGACTTTATGTAATTCACTGTGTTTTCCTCAAGAGCCATAGTTTTTTTTTTCAAAAAAAAAAAAAAAAGATATAAAAGAATAAAATAATTAAAATGCATTTCTGACAATCACGTCAACGCGTCACAAAGATATCAAACAGACAATTTATTGTTTATATCCTTTAATGAAGCATAGTTGTACATCCGATACATCATCAATAACGCGATTATAGCTTTGTTGTATTGCCTCTTGTCCTGTGTATAGATAATGACGATGTTCGTCAGGGATCTTGTAAGTGATATACCTACATTCATAAAGATAGGTATCCCGTAGATTACTTAGACTATTATCTGAAGGTGGGATTGGTGGCTGCGTAAAGGAAATACTGTAGATCATGACGTCCACTATAAATGGATGATACTGTAAAAGGATAGGTATGAATTCATAGGATATTAATAGTCTTGATGAAGAGATATACAGTGACTTCAGCTTGGGTAAACAAGTTGCAAAGTAACTCCAAACACTTGAGGGTGCATGACAAGGGAACCTTTCAAATTCTCTTGACAGTGGATAGTGCTTTCTAAACGATAAAGAGAGCACGGTCATCCTTTGCAGGCTTGTGATCGCAGTTAGTGAACGAGCGATTTGTTCAGGGTAATAGTCATGCAAAACAATAGCCAGCTTTTCTAGCAAGGGGGAAGCTTGTGTAATCTGTTCTAGTGTACTACAGCTGATAGAATCTGTCAACGCCAGCTGTCTAAGGTTAGGGCTAGCCTTGATATACATGCTCTGGGGAATCCCAGCTGCCTGCGAATTTTGAAAGTGAAGTGGATGAAGGAATCCAAGACGGGCTTCTGATGCGGCAGCTGTTAGTAAATGAGATGTAAGTTGAGTTGTATTTATACTGGGCTCAATCAGCACTTGTCTAAAGAGAAGTCGCTTTAAGGTAGGTCGAAATAGGTCCATCATAATTTCTAATGTACGCTCTTTTACTGTACAGTCTATGAGTGTTAATGAGGTCAGTCTGGGTTTATATCGGCAAAGGGCATCAAAATCATCATAGGTATCTTGACAATGGCTTATAAACACCTCTGTCAGATGTGGACAGTACTCAAAAAAGTATCGTAGTCCATAATGTTCTGTCCTGGGCAGCGGATGAAAATCAATACGTAACGCTTTCAAGTTACACACGAGCTGTGCCATCAGTCTGGAATTGATCAGATCGAAATGTGGACTAGTTGTTAAATTTCGGTATAAGGAACAGACATGATCACCTAGAACAAGTGGGATGGATGATAGTGCACTGGGGGTAGCTAATATATCTGTAGCTATCTGGATAATAGACTCTTTCTTTACATCATGCTGCCGAGGAAGTATAAATTCTTTGTGTTTCCAAAGAAAGGGAGAGCATAGTTTGTATAACCGTTGACAGCATAAAGCGATTGACTTTAGATGAGTGTAGCTGTGCTCAGGATAACACCATCCCAAGAAATCAGTGTCATCATAGGGCTTTATAGATGATAAATGGATAATATACTCCAACACTTCATTTGGTAAATTCAAAAAACGTGATTGCTGCATAATAGAAAAAGAGAAAAAAAAAGTTATTCTAAAAGTTTATATCTGGTCTGAACCATCACGCGCTCAGTATCAATGACGCATTAAACCGTATAAATGGTAAAATATTACTCTTATTCTATATTAAACAAAAGGCATCAAAGTGGGTGTTTTGGATTTATAATCTCTCCATTCTTGACCAAAGAAACGCTCTAGTGTGTATTCTTCATATGTGATACGCTCAGAAAAGAACCTTTGAAGTACAAAGATAAAGCCTATAAAGCAAATAGGGTTGCCTAACAACAGCTGTGCACCCAATGCCCACCAAAAGAATCCAAAATAAGAAGGATGTCTCATTATTCTAATAGAAAGAGAGTTTAGATAACAATCAACCCATAATTTGTTGGCTTATTTTACTTGTAAATACCATGAGTGACTAATACATGGTCATTCTCTTTCTGATCCACGATATGATGAGAGAAATTGTGCTTTGCAGAAAACATAGCTACAGTACGACATCCTTGACCGATAATAAGCAAGAACAGACCTAAAACATAGTGCCAATATATATATATATATTTCTTTATATATTTACTACTATTGTTTACCGAAATAATTCAAATAACCAAATTGTTTCCAATTGGGAAAGAAATAATATTCTATAATAAACTCTACAAGAGCAGCCGTATGAGCTGCATGATACTGTCGACCATGGTTAATCAAATAAGCTATATGAAATCGATGAGTCTTTATCTTTTTTTTTTTTTTACTTGCTTATTTACAATCAAGTGACAGCTTCTCTGCATTAAATAAGGCAGTGGCAACATATTCCAAGAAATGAAAGGTAGGTAAGGCTACTAAAAAGACGCCTAGTTGAGGTATTTGACCATAGAAGGAGTATAAGAGACCACCACCGCATACTAATCCTAATAAAAATCCATAGGCAGATATGTTCTGAGCTGTGTGTCTTCCATCAAAAATTTCAATTCTATCAGATCGTCTTGGTCTACGGTCATGAAGTATTCGCTCTACACGCAAACGACCTGATTCATCTTGATTCATTATAAAGAAAGAAAGAGAAAAAAAGACAGTAGGGGAGAATACAAAAAAAGGAACAAAAAAAGACAGGCAGACTATAAGTCCGCAGGTGTAACAGCATATGGAAAGGCCTCTTTATTCTCTCTCTCTTTATTTTACTCTCTGATACCATGTTTAACCCTGCAAGATTAAAGGTACAGCTCAAATTGGCCATCAACCGACTAAAGATGCTCCAAGCCAAAAAGACTTCTCTAAACCAGCAATTAAGGAGAGAAATTGGCACCTTGATAGAAAAAGGGAAAATAGAAAGTGCAAGAGTCCGAATTGAGCATGTCATTAGAGACGATTTTGTTATTGAAGCAATGGAGAACTTGGAACTCTATTGTGATTTACTATTGGCTCGTTTTGGTTTATTGGAAACATACAAGTAAGACTTTTCTTTTAAAGCAAAAAGGAAAAAGATACCAAGTTATATAGGACGTGTGAAGTAAGTATTGAAGAAGCAGTTCATACCGTTATCTGGGCTGCTCCTCGATTAAGCGAAGTAAAAGAATTAAGTTTGGTATGAATAATCGATATATACACCTTATATTTATTCTCATCTTTGGACATCACTTGAAAGGTAAGAGACCAGCTAGCTTCCAAGTTTGGTAAAGAGTTTATGATTGACGCCATGGAAAATAAGAATGACAAAGTGAATGAAAAGGTAAGGAAAAAAAAAAAAGAGAACAAGATGACAAACTACGTAGTTTAGATTATTATAAAACTTCAAGCCAATGCACCTGATCCATACTTGGTAGAACGTTATCTTGAAGAAATTGCTAAAATATATGATATCAAGTGGAGATCTGACTTAATTGACCACTATGAGGAAGAAGCTGATATGGATAATATTCTGGACGATGATAACAGTGACCATGGTGATGGAGGAGGTGGACAAGGAGAGGTAAAGAAATATAAAGTTGATTAAGATGATTACCAACCGTATAAAGTTACTTGCACCTTTACAGGAAGATCTATTGGACACTCAAATTGACTTACCAGAGATACCCACTAATTCACCTATAAAAAAGACAGTAAAGCCAGCAGAAAGCGATCCTAATGATTTTGATTCCTTGGCTAAAAGGTTGGACGCATTAAAGCGAAAATAAGACTTATAGGGAGGGTAAACATCTAAATACCATTCCCCAGTTGGCCTTTCAAATAAAAGAGCGTAGCACGAACAGTTATTTGACTCTTCTTATTCAGCCTCAAAATGAAGTGGCTGGCCCTGTTTCAGTCTTTTTTTTTAATAGCATAAACAAAGGTGAATGGATATGTCTACTGTGTAAGCTTATTATTCAGTGTTGATCCTCATGACTTTTTGATCCGAGATCATTGTTTCTATAGATGAAGTAACACTGTAAGAATACCAAGAGCACCATGCTTTATATCACAGTGGCCAAAAAGGGGGATTTATGAATTAGACATAAATAATAGTTAAATAATAGTGATACAGTAGATATCATGGCTTGTAATAGTCATTCAAGACGACGCTATCAATGGGAAATAATGTATTGCTTAGAGTACGTTGGTTCAAAAAGACTGGATGCATTAAAAAGGAAATAAAGGACTGCTTTTTCATCACCAATCTTTTAAAAGCGCTGGATGGGCTCCTCTCATTTCCCTTTTCTTTCTTTTCTTTTCTTTTTTATTGTGTTATTCCATGGACACGTCAAATAGCCTCGATGATGAAGTGTTAACAACGCCACTTATTTCTGAAACAGATGATGTCGAAATGAAGGAGACGACTGAAGAAACAGTAGAAGTAGAAAGAACAGCAGACTATAAAGCAACGTCAATTGCGTTGATTGAAAAATTACTTCAGTTTTCATCGCCTAGACTTGATGCAAAGATTGTAAATGTATTATTTCTTGAAGGTATTTATATAAGTACAAACTATATAATGAAAGCGTCTGTAACTGATTATGATCTTAAAGGCATGATGGATATTTGCATGACACATATTACAAGGCTTGATTTGACAAAGGAACTAATTGATTTGTCAAAATGTACTCTTGAGGATAAATTGAGACACGCCACCCATGAAAGAGATATAAAGGATATTGAAGCGTTAAAAAGATCGTATCATGCTATGGAACTATTATCTGGTACAACGGCCAATCATTTATGGGTCCAAAACTCTAAATTTTATACAATTGGTAAGATACTTGGTTTAGAAGAAGGAGCTTTTTATTTATTCTTTCTTATTAGTGAACCATCTCTTTAATGTCTTTTTACCAAACTCAAATGGAAACTTCAATCACTTCTTTAGGATATTTCAACATTTGGTAAGAAGATACCCTTGTGATATGCTTGAATTTGTTATCTTGCGTGATAATGCTGCTATTCTCTTTCACTATATGCTACCTTATATAACAGAAAGTCCAGTCATGGATTCTATTCTTGGTTTGATCTTTGTGAGAGATATCAACCCAGAAACAAGAGGACAAAGAGAAAGATGTCATACTAGGTTACAAGAACTACAGTTTTTAGAATGGATATTTCAAGCCATGCAAATGACTGGTAAAGCTCTAGTTTACTCTTCGTTTTAAATACAAACACTACTTTATAGAATATCCAAAGTTTGTAGAGGCATCACAAGAATTCTTTGCACGTATTATCGAAGAGTCATCTCAAGTTGAAAATGGAGATATCCTATTCAAATCTTTAAATAGAGACATGATCCAAATGCTCGTAAAGCGAATTCATAATAGTCCACCCTCCAAGATACGTAAACAGATGATACAGATTGTAAAATTACTAGTAAAAAGGTAAGGGAAAAGAGGAATATTATAAGAAAGAAAGTCATCTCATATGTATATATATATAAAGCGGAATGTTGAATACCAGAGCATCATCTACGCCTGTTCAGGGACCACTTTACTTTGTCTCTGTCAAATCACAAGAGTTACTCGCCGAATATTTATCCGAATTTTCTTCTTTGATTGCAAAGGATCGTGGAGAGAACTGCGATACAAAACAGTATGTGACACATATTATGGATAATGAGGATATTAACTAGACCGTAGATACCCTTTGACTACCTCTGATATTGATTTATTAGAAATTGTATATCAAATATTATATAACATAAACGAAAAACCACAGATGCTGGCGTCTATTCATGTCGATTTTTGGAATATTCTTGTCAACTCGTTCTTTGAGAAATCGTAAGTGGGGGAGTTTATAAAATAGTTACAAGACTAATAACAATTCCCATACAGATCAAGCAATATCTATCATACGCTGTTTTATAGAATTTTCTGTTTAATTTTATCCATTAACGATGAGCATACGTTGAAGGCTGTTATAGAAAAACCTTGTTTAATAGTAAGGCTTATTGATGAATATCAAGACAAATCAAAGGAGACAGGTAATATAATAAACGCGTTATATTATTCATTATTTTAATTTTTAAAAGATACGCGAGGTTATATCTTGCTAATGTTAAATCATCTACGGCTTATGGCTGACTCTCAGCAATCAAAATTTATTACCCGTACAGTAGCATCTCATACTGGTCTTCGGGAGTTTTTACCTACATTAAGGAATGATACCCTTACTCAGCTTCAACACATTTATACTTGGAAGTTGGATGCATGTCCTCGACCTCCAGCTCATATCGGCCCAAGTCCTCCTATCCAAGTAACTCATTTTTCTCCTTATGCAGGTACCATACCCTTGATGTCCAACATGGCTGACTCAGGACAAGATGGAATTGATCTTGGTAGTGATTGTGAGTTTAATTTATCTTTTTAGTTTTCGAGTTATTTACTTTTGACCTTAAAGTTGCATACAGTTTAGGATTTAGTGATTCTGTAGAAAGAGAAGAGGGGTTTGAGACTCCTGGCTATCTATCTCGTAGAAACTCAGATCAATCACTATCGTCTACGCAAAGTGAATCTGGACAACCGATAGTGGGCATCGTCTTTGAGAGTCTGACACCAGAAGAGCCGACACCAACACCTTCTGTTTCTAAAAAGAAGAAGAAAAAGAAGAGAAGCAAAAAGCATAAATAAAGAAACCTACAGCTGAGTTTAAATTGTTTGTGTATGTTTTTTTAGCACAATAAAAAAAATTGTTTTCCTCTTTTTTTTCCTTTCAACAATTAAACAATGTACAGTTCTGATGAAGAAGAGCTCGAGTGTCCTCTCTGTATGGAGGAATTAGATATTGCTGATAGAAACTTTAGACCTTGCCCATGCGGCTATAAGGTAGACATTTTAGCTCATTAGACAACAACAACAACAAAAAAAAACTAAAGCAACAAAAAGATTTGTAGATTCTGCTGGCATCACATTAGAGAAAACCTTAATGGAAGATGCCCTGCATGGTATATTTTATTAGAATGTAACTGAAAAGTGTCTAATGTTTCCCCTCTTTCTCTTTAAAAAGTCGAAGAGAATATTCAGAGCAAATTGCAGAATTTGAGCCCATTAGCGCTGATGAGTAAGCTATTTTTTTGTTTGTTGTAAATGTTGATACTCACTATTGTTTAGAATTCAACGAATTAGAAGAGAAAAGAAAGAAAAAGAACGTCAACAAAAGGATATGGAAGTTGCCAATCGTCGACATTTGGCTAATATGAGGGTTGTCCAAAAGAACCTTGTCTATATTATTGGTCTTCATCCCAAATTAGCCACAGAAGAGATAATAAGATCGAACGACTATTTTGGACAGTTTGGCAAAATCGCAAAGATTGTAATCAACAAGAGACAGATTGCACCTACTTCACACGCCAACGGAGCAACTTCTATGCAGCCAAGTGCTGCAGTTTATGTTACTTATGTTAGAAAAGAGGATGCGGCCAAAGCTATTCACGCGGTAGATGGCAGTGTCATGGCTGGTAGAATCTTGCGGTAAAATCATTAGAAGGAAAAGTATTTAATTTACTAATTCTATGCATAGAGCATCTTATGGTACAACTAAATATTGCACTTATTATCTACGTAACATGACTTGTCCAAACCCAAACTGTTTATACTTGCATGAGCCTGGAGAAGACGCAGATACGATATCAAAAGAAGAATTAGCCACTGGGTAAGTTGCCAAAATAAATAAACGCGTGAGAGAGAAAATAAACGTGTGTAATAGCAAACATCGAATGAGAGATCAAATGTCATATGATAACAACAATAATGATGACCACGACCATGACGATGAAGATGGACACAGATCATCACAATATAGTTCACCTTCTATCTCTAGCTCTGATTTCCCTCCTGTGTCTTCTACAGTCAAGAGAGCTACTACTTCTACTACTGTTGCGGGCGACGAGGAGCGTTCAGCGCTTCCTGCTACAGCCTCATGGGGAAAAACAAGCACACCAGGTACACCGACGATTAAGAGCAGTGGCCTGCCTGATCGTACTTTGACTCCTGATGCATTTGGGCCACCTTTATCAGTCGCTGTTGCTCAACAGCAACAACAGCAACAAAAGCAGCAAGTGTCTCCTACTGTCTTGAAACGTAAATTAGAAAAGAAAAAGCGCAAGGAGTTACTTCAAAAGCAACGAAAGGAAGAAGAAGAAAAGGAGCAACAACAACAGCAACAACAGCAACAACAAAGCCAATCATCGAGTTCATCATCAGAGGATCAAGAACAACAAGTCCAAGAAGAAGACAAGAGTTATTATCCTTTTGATGGCCTTGTTCAATTTGTTCTTGGACATGCTTTTGAAGAGGTTTGTTTACCGAAATTAACAAAAGAGGATGAAGAGGAGCCTGTTGGAGTATCTGGTCTGCATGAATCTTCATCAGATGATGATAATAGCAATAACACACCAACCACACCACCTTTAAGCTTAGAACAGCTCACCATAAGTGAAGACATGTCACCACTCGAATTCTTCACTCAATCTATTCCTACACCCAAATACACAGGTACATTCAACCCATTTTCTCATCAAATTTTGAGAAGTAATACAGCTATCTTTGACTCTCCTGTGCGCAAACATTCACGATTTGGGTTTGCTCAATTTTAATTTTTTTGTTTTCTTTTCTATATTTCTTTTTTTTTTTTCTTTACACAAATATAATAAAAAAACTATGGATAACAGCAATAGTGTTTTCATTTGTAGTTGTTGTTCTTTTGGTGATAAAGGAAGGCGTATTGCAGTTTATATTGCCAGCTTCTTGGTAAATTTTTTATACAGAGTCATGATATACGCGTGTCATATTGACCATTCAACAGTTTGCACTCGGCTGGTGGGTATTTATTGATGGACTAACACTGTTATGGAACTTGCCTGACAGAAAAGTAGCACCAGGCATAGAAGACTGGATACCTGGTATAATTGCAACATTAGGAATGATCATGTATTAAATTCACCTTTACTCTTTTTGGGGAACATGTCACTTTTTCTCTAACCAATTTTTTTTTATAGTGTAAATTTGATTGATAAAGAAGCACTTCGAGGCGATGGATATGATGAACATATGGCTTGGAGAGCAAGATTATTTTTATTCCTGGTACATATAAAAAGATGAAGAAACGATGTGTATCTATTCATTATCTTTTTTTTTAAAAAAAAAATAAGGGATTTGCATTGATGGCAGGTGGTATATCCGGTTCAGTGGTAAAGAGAGAAGAAAGAGATTTACACAAAAGTGTATACACACATTAATATGTTTATTCAAAGGCTGTCCTAGTGACAAAATACATTTACAAGGAAGGCTTAGATATACCCAATATGTACTTAGGAATAACAGACGTCGTTCAATGTGTATTGATCATGATAAGGTAAAGGTTAAAAAAAAGGGGTACATGTTTATTAAACTATTAAAAATAGTACTGCTGTTTTATGGATTGCTCAAAACACAATGGAAACAGGATACCATGTTATAATGTAATGTATTGTTTTTATTACAATAATAAACATAAATATTTATATATATATGTGTGTGAAGCTATGATACAAGAAGAACAGAGATTATAAAGTGAAATTAAAAGCGTAAGTCCCAACCGATCTTGGGTCCCAACTTGGGTAACACTTCAACCACTGTATGCATATCTTTATCACCTCTACCAGAAAGACAGATAACAATGTCCTTATCCTTGGGGAGTTCTTTAGCTAACTCAAGAGCAGCATAGATAGCATGAGAAGATTCCAAAGCAGGAATGATGCCTTCCAATTGAGTCAATTTTCTAAATCCAATCAAGCACTGAGCATCATCAGCTACACGATACTCGGCTCTACCACTGTCCTTCAGATAAGCATGTTCAGGACCAACACCAGGATAGTCCAGGCCGGCACTGACAGAGTGTGTTTCAATAATTTGTCCCTTGGTATCTTGTAAGAGGTAGGTACGAGTGCCATGAAGGACACCGGGTGTACCCTTGGACAATGTAGCAGAGTGCTTTTCAGTGTGAACACCGTCGCCACCAGCTTCAACACCAACAATACGAACAGATTCTTCTTCTACAAAAGGATGAAACATACCAATAGCATTAGAACCACCACCGACACAAGCAACAACAGCGTCGGGTAATTTGCCTGCCTTCTCAAGCATCTGTCGCTTTGTTTCTCTGCCAATTACCGATTGGAATTCACGGACGATCATAGGGAAAGGATGAGGGCCAATAGCTGAGCCAACAAGGTAGTGTGTATTGGATACATTAGCCACCCAGTCACGCATAGCTTCGTTAATTGCATCCTTTAATGTTCTAGAGCCATCTTTGACGGGAACGACAGTAGCACCGAGCATTCTCATACGGAATACATTCAATGCTTGACGACGACAATCTTCTTCACCCATATAGACTACACATTCCAAGCCAAACTTGGCACATACAGTGGCAGTTGCCACACCGTGTTGACCAGCTCCTGTTTCAGCAATAATACGTGTCTTACCCAAGCGCTTAGCTAAGAGAATTTGGCCAACTGCATTATTGATCTTGTGAGATCCAGTATGATTCAAGTCTTCACGCTTTAACCAGATACGTGCACCACCGGCCTCTTCCGTTAAACGGCTAGCGAGCTGAAGTTGAGAAGGACGAGAGATATAGTCATAGTAGGACTCGAATTCTTGTCTAAACGAAGGATCGTTCATGGCATCGATAAAGCAGGATTCTAATTGAGTAAGACAGTCAACGAGGGCCTCAGGAACATAAGCACCACCAAAGTCACCAAAACGAGTAGCTAATTGGTAAAAGTTCTTGATATCATCAGGTGAGAAGGGTCCACGGCCAGCAGCATCATTAACTTCAATATCTGCTTGATTTGCTTCACTAGCAGCGTAGGTTTCAACAGAGTGTTTGCGTCCACAGACTTCAGCAGCGTACTGTTGAATGACCTCGGGCACCTTTTGATTTTTCTCAAGAGCATCCTTTGTGACAGTAATCAGGCGTGAACCGATAACGACACCTTCGGCATGAGCACCTACTTCAACGAAATGTTCTCGAGTCGATACACCAAAGCCAACAGCTAATGGGACTGAGGTATATTTCTTAATACGAGCAATGATGGCTGGTAATTCGGCATTGATCGAATCTCGGGATCCAGTGACACCCATACGAGAGACAACATAGATGAATGAATCTGCAATCTTGGACAAAAGTTCGATACGTTGCTCGGTAGTGGATGGTGCGATTAATGGAACATAAGAGAGACCGTGCTTGTAACAGATGCCGCGGAAGTTGTGGGATTCTTCAGGTGGTAAATCAACCAAGATATATCCGTTCACACCAGCTTCTTTACAATCCTGTACCATCTTTTCTTCACCATAAGCAAGGACAGGGTTGTAGTAGCCCATAAAGACAATGGGTACCTTGAGGCCTTTTGCACGAGCATCACGTACCATTTGAAGACACATGGGAATATCTGTACCATGTTTGAGTGATTGCTAATGTTCATATGTGTAAGCTTTGAGATTAGAGCATTCAGATTACAAACTTACAGTGCTTGCATATTGAATCGTAGGTCCATCGGCAAGAGGATCAGTGAAAGGAATACCTATCATACAAGCATTTACTCTTTCATTCTCACCCCCTCTTTCTTTCTTTCTCTTTATCCTTACCTAATTCAATAACATCCGCACCACCTCTTTCCAAAGCCAATAAGTTTTCTACTGTATCTTCAGGTGAAGGGTATCCAGCAGTAATAAAGGTAACAAAGGCAGGACGATCTATAATAGAATAAGATACAACTCCAACTCAATGCTATCTACCACTCATACTTTGTTCTTTGGCAGTTTTAAACGCGTTGCGAAGTCCAGCAGACATAATTCTATTTCTAAAAAGGTAAAATCCCAAGCTATCAAAAAACTCAGAATTTATAGAAAATAATCAAGGCTAATTTGATTGGCGGAGTAGATGAGTCAGGATTAATAAATTCCTTAAGTCCTGAAGACCGAAAGGTATATTACTAAATTCCTGTAGACCGACAGAACAGCCAAAGACGGGATTAATCCTGGTATATGATAACGTTATCTATCTTCTATATGCTTATTAAGATAAGCTTGTGAAATTCGTCTTGTATGTATGCTTATTAGCTTTAGAGATTATCAGTTTTATGCAAGTCAAGCTGCGGGTGAACCTGATTGGATAACCGATATTTATCGGCATAAATGCGCTATTGTGCCATGATGGAGCAAAAGTCTGTTCACTTCAAAAAAAAAAACAGCTACCATCAGTCTCACATATCACATACTATTTAAAAGCAAAGATCCAGGACTATGTTTACTACTAATATTTGTGGCACTTTGGAAGAACGTGTTGGCTGGTGCCATGGATCAAAATAATAGTAATAATAATACAAAGGAATACGATTCAAGTAATCATCTCGCTTTGAGGCAGAATATCTACATAATCCATTCAGATCACTATAGATTACATGGTTCCACAACAATTAAACCATTCCATTGGTGGATCAAAGTTGACAGCATAATACAAAGTAGCCTTCAGTGACTTTATAATCGCGCCATTGATCCTCTTGTCAAGTCCGTTGATACATGGGCAGTACAGGCTAATCTTTAGAATACGAAAGAAATTAGTTCACAGAATGCGAGTCATTATCTGTCAGGATGCTTAATAACCAAAGTCTGTGAATGTAAAATAATAAAGTGCGTGTTTTACTAGAATAGCAATTATTTATTATTACAACTGTCAACGTAGCAAATTATAAAATACGGGGCCTTTGGTTAGCTACGCTCAAAACATTCTGTGCTTGAAAGGCATTCATTGGCTGCACGTGGCCCGCTCCATCCTTGACGAAAGCAGTACCTTCTGAAGAAGGAGGTAAAAATACAACATTCGTATTTGGTGCTTTGGAAAGGTTGTTTAAGGTGTCGAGATATCTGATCTGCATAGCAGAAGGTGTATTAAGTATATCAGCAGCCTCTCTCATCAGTTTAGCAGCATCCACTTCAGCTCTTGCAGTAATGACTTTAGACTGTCCAGTACGTTTAGCTTGAGCAGCTGCAGAAAGCGATTCTTGAAGTTCTTTTGAAAAGCTAAAGTCTTTGATAAGGATCGATTCAATCTACAGCAACATTAAGCAACCCTATGCGCATTCCTTATGTCTGTGCTAAATTACCTTTACTCCCCAGTCAGCAGCCACGCCTCCAGTAATATCCTGGACCTCTTGAGCTATTGCCTCACGATTTTCAACACATTCTTGTAGTACTTTACCGCCCAAGATGTGACGAAGTGTTGTTTGGGTCCTTTTTATCTATTATTAGCTATCCAGCTTGTTTTCGCAACGCCTTTTATTCTCATTACCTTTCTATCAATGCCTTTTTCACATTATTCACTCCAAATGTAGCTTGATATGGATCAATTATATGCCAATATAAAACTGAGTCGATCAAAACTGTCACATTATCTTTTGTCATGATGTACTGACGAGGAATATCTGCAATCTGTATCTTTACATCCACTTTCTTTATTGTTTCTGTTAGGGGGTTAATCTATATTACAGAAAATTAGAATAAGCATACAATCGCGTTGATTCATGCATACTTTGACAAGACCAGGATCAACGCACTTGTAAAATTTTCCAAATCGTGATATGAGACCAACGCTGCCTTGCCTGACAGGTTTATATGGATTGGGAAAACAGAAGCAACCGGGAATCTAAAATTGTTATCTGTAAGCAAATATTTTATGATCTATCGTGTTATCTTACCGTGCCAAATGCTCCAATGATAGAACCTAAACCATTCATCATATTACCATACCAACCCTAAACCACTTTGTCAATAACAAGAACGCTTTCTAATCGTGCTTATATTACATGTTCAATAGTACTTAAGTCAAGTTCTAATGCAAGACTAGGTTGTATTCCGTTGGTTGCAAAGTCTCCTTTAGCTTGTTGGATCATACGTGATGGTTGACCAGACGTGCTTGGGCCACCTTTTGCTGTATAACCAGACTTCATCAATGGAAAGTCGTCTTCAGCGTGACTATTTGTGCGGTTTGACATATTGAGTGTTTAAGATAATACAAGAGAAGAAGAAGAACAAAGAGAAATAAAAAAGAGAGATAAAGAAAAGGGAAAGAAAAGAAAAAAAGACTTTTATGCTCAAATTGAAAATGCGCCAAAAAAAATATATAAAAAAACAGAAAGTCATCAGGACATGTATTTTTTTTTCTTCTCTTTTTTCCTGCAAAGTACAATACGAAAAGTTTAAAAAGTTGCTAAGCAGTTGGTGAGACCCATTGAAGGGGGGGGGGG